AAGATTTGGAGGGCAGCCAATGTTTGGAAGATTTAAACAGAATCTAAGGACGATTAAAAGCGTCGAAAGACAGATCGACGAATTTTATTTAACCCCAAAAATAAAAAGTGATGCGACTACGCAGCGCAACTGTTAACTGAGTTATTTACTTCCTGTGTGGCAATTAATTGTTCCGTTTAGGATCAGAGTGAGACTTAATCTTTGTTCTCAAGAAAGAAATCCTGCACAAGTCTGAATTAATTGGTGACGAAACCAGGGCATATGAAGCTCTGCACCTTACGCGTAAACAGACAGAGGAACGTAGTGTTGAGTTGTATCTAAGACCTTGCAGAACCTATGTACAATCGCACCCTGCAACGCATAACGTTATCGCTCTGCAATTTCTTAAAAGAGATTCCAACGTCTTTGAAAGAGGTCAGAAAAGAACACTAAAATGAGTTGTTAGTCATCAGGAAGTGTTATGTGACGGATGGTTGTGAAAATTAGATCTCGTTAAGCTTCGCTTCCGCCGGTAAGGAATGATCTGGTCACCGCATATGAGGTCACAGATATCCAGAATCATCAGAATGAATATTTCCCGTATAGTCTGTCATCGCGGATTCTCTCACCGCCATCCATGGAGGATTGGCCCTATGAGGCGAAAGATCAAGTAAGCTCACCTTTTTGCGCTCAAGTTTGCTGCCCCAAAAACTCTTCACCAGCAGCCATGGCCACTGCACTTTCGGTTTGAGTGAAGGCCGGAGAATTATTCAGGACCATCCTAGTGACCAAACTAGGATGTAATTCTTACATGCTAAGTGTTATCTGTGGAGTGCCAGCTAAACCCCTCCCTAATTCCCGCTCTGTCTCTTGTGTCTCCTTCTGATGCCTGACCTGCTTATGCATTCATTCACTTTTTAGCTAGTATTTTAAGCTAAATTTTTTATCACTTTCTCTTAAAGTTTACGCATCTGCCGTAGTTACGATCTTGGTTTTTGACTACAGCAGCTCAACAACTGGTGAAAGAACTAACTCCAATTACAGCATTGCCACCACCTTAAAACGCATTTTAGTTTAAATTAAATGTGACAAAGCCGAGACATGACCAGCTACGCAAAAGCTCATCAAAAATTACCACCTCAGTACCGAAAACCGGGCTGAGAGAAATTTGTTAGTTACACATTGACAAATTAATGAGATATTGGTATTCAAGTGATGGTTTGTAGGGATTAGATTGGTCACAGGATTTCATCATGAGCTGACATTAGTTAGAGAACCATTGGAAAACCTGGGAGTATTGAACAGCCGTAGAGTCCTAGTTTGGGACTCTTCACAGTACGCACCCACCGGGATTCGAAACCAGGACCTTCCGGTTACAAGGCGAGCTCGTATACCATTAAGCCACTGGGACCCGATCCAATGGTCCTTGAATTCTAACTTCTGCCGATTCACGACATAGCGCGACCGCTAGCCAATGTCTTTGGCGAGTATTTGTCCTCACACCCGACCGGCTGCACCCTACTGGTCCTATTCAGGTAGGTAGTTACCTGGGTTCCAGTGGGAAGTCGTGACCAGTAGGGTGCAGCTGGTCGGGTGTGAGGACAAATACTCGCCAAAGACATTGGCTAGCGGTCGCGCTATGTCGTGAATCGGCAGAAGTTAGAATTCAAGGACCATTGGATCGGGTCCCAGTGGCTTAATGGTATACGAGCTCGCCTTGTAACCGGAAGGTCCTGGTTTCGAATCCCGGTGGGTGCGTACTGTGAAGAGTCCCAAACTAGGACTCTACGGCTGTTCAATACTCCCAGGTTTTCCAATGGTTCTCTAACTAATGTCAGCTCATGATGAAATCCTGTGACCAATCAAATCCTACAAGCCAACACCTGAGTCATTGAGAAATTGAAAGTTACTCGATGCCTGAATGAAGTTCTATGCGTATCTCATCATCGTACACTACGTATCCTTTCGCACTTGTGTGACAGCCATTTCTTCCTTGTTTGGAATATACAAGTATCATCGTGAACGAGGTGGTCTTCTGATTTTCCTCTTTCCGCGCCAGGACTATTAACCACTCAGCGGTACATAACAAAATGTTACACCTTTGGTTGGCGTGGCTTTGATTACCATCTCGTGATTTGCAAATGGCATTAATTCTGAGTGATTAAATGCACAGCCATTTGCCATCCGCTGCAGCTGAACTGATTATAGTAAACTTGTCTCTGAATAAATGAAGGTGGCGTGCATACATTTAGATAAACTCCACCTAGTCAATGATTTTGGTGGTCTGTCATGAAGCCGAGTCCAAATGACTGATGAAGGCAACGTATCTATGCCAATACAACAAATAAGCAAGCTATAAATCTTACAAGTGAAAGCCGCACCATCTCTTAAATGAGTGGAACAGCCGTGTGGTCCGTGACACCTAATTTTTCACCGGAGCTGATGTCACTGTTTAGCTGTAAAACGAAAGAATGCAACTGATCTTCCGCAAACGCTCTCTTTTAGAGACTGCTTGTTTTTCGATAATCGTCAGTGCGCAAGAAAACAGTATAGTGTGCTTCATCCAAGTTGACAGCAGGTAAACTGCCGATATTGATTTCAAAGACTACCAGGTCAAACATTTTGGCTGCACTTATAATTTAGAGATGTTCTGGGATGAATTCACACTAAACAAGACGACTGGTGATGGCCATTTCTAGAAATTCGCCCAGATAGGTAGGAAAAAGTGGTTATTTTAATCAATCTGTTCTGAAAATGTTTGCTTACATAATCTTGGGTGGGAGACAGCTGATATCAGTCTGGTACAGTCACCTGGCCCAAGGTTTCGTAATCGCTACCTAGGGGAATGAAAAGTATATACTTACAAAACATTTTGGAACAGTTTGGACTTGATTGAAAAAACCACTGCATATATAGACGAAACGGACATTTGTATAAGAGAAGACCACTGTTCACAGTAGATCCCTAAGTTAGCCTATTTGCCTGTAGCGGTTAGAGGACGTGCAAGGCGCCAGATGTGCTGTTGTGTAACACAGTTTAACTAAAACCAGTAGGCGAAACATCCGCCTAATCAATAGCCTACTTAAGCTGTAAGTAATCATAGCGAAATATATCAGAAAGCCCGTATTATTTAGAAACTCACTCGACAAAGCAATATACACAGACACCATACGGGTTCAGATTATTTTAGAGAAGTAGTTTCTAAACTTATATATCCAATATGATTGGTCTGGGGACTCTGAAAATGTCATCCAGTCTATAGATAAGAGAGAAACTACCCCGGCCCCTGATAGGGTGCGTACTCGTTAAACCAGTACTTGAAAGGCTTGAATTATTTGCAACCGGATTAGAGGTTCACCTGCTTAAATCGGTTCAATTCAGTTGAGTTTATTTATTTTAACCGTGGGGGTATTCTGGTGCCGCGGAATGGCAATAACTAGGGTATTGTTTGAGAAGTTTTATGAAGTTCAAGAGGTGACTCTGAGGCGGATGTAAAACACCTTTGCATAGCGAAAGCTGTCAAGGTAACGTAGTGCTACACAGTCAATGTAGCTATGAATACCTGGGCGAAATGAAACCTCGCGTCTAGAGCCTACCCTTCAATTAATGACGAAGTGGCCGTTGTCGACATCTGTCTTCTTCTGCAGATCTATTTACTACGAGTAGGATTTATGAGAGTGGAATCGGTGCTCCGAAAAAATAATGACGAGTCAAATAAAGAGAGTGACAAGTGAGACAATAGTGGAAATCGTTCAAAGTGACAATCACTGACAAAATGAAAAGGGATCGTGAATAAATATTGAATAAACAAAACAGAAAGAAATTTGGGAAACGGTGATCATCATACTTAACGTTGACGTGTTAGGATGGTGAAAGAACAAATTTTTTCTGTTTTCAAAGGTGTGGTAATTCACATTTTTGTCATAAGGAATCACATATTTACTGCTCTACAGCTTGACAGTAATTTCGTCGAAAAGAGTCTCTGCTGAACACTTATTTTAATAATATTCGAACAGTAGCTCTCGAAAATAAAAGATAGTCTTTCCGAATTTCTCAGGCCTTTCATTTCCTACCGCCTTCGAAGTCAACAAGTCCGCGGGCAAGCAGGATGTAGTTCAACAAACCACCTCTGACGTCGTGCACTGGATATGCACTCTGAAAGAAGTGCGCACGCCAAGGGGGGCCAAATAAAGAGAATCTATCCATCTACGAAACCTGGTTGTAGATCAAAACGGCTTATTAGCTAGTAGTAGATGGGTGGTACGTAGCGGTCTGAAAGTATGTGAACTTCAGTAGTTTTTGAAGCATTTGGAAAGCATATAAGGATAAAAATTGGGTATTGTGGAAGAGCATAATTCCACTAGGAATAAAATTTCAAAGCTCAAAATATTGGTGCATCCGAATTGTGCAAACAAGCGATGAATGCTTGGCAAACTGTTTCGGTCGTTGTACCTGCCATAGTCCCCAGCAAACAAGTAAAGTGATCTACTCAAATGAGTAGGTTAGAGTGGCCTATGGCAGGTGCAAGTCACCAACGGCTCTCATAAAAAAATACTAAAATGTGCATAAGGTGTAGCAGATGACCCAATTGGACTGAAGTCATTTTTGATAATACATAGATATTTTGACAGTGGTTCTAATTTACTGTTTGGAAACGTATATGGAGCATTGTATGGCTTTAACTTCCCAATTTCAAATCATATTCAAGCCGCCACCTTATAAATGGATATTTGATGACCACATGTCAGGAAGAATTGAATATATATAACAGCCTTAGTATGTATGAATTAATGCTTTGTAAAACAGAACTACTACTCTGCAAGTTAAACCAAATACAACAGGACGAATCCAACAGAACTAAAACAATTACTTTCGCAGTAATTCAGAAAAACAGCAAATGACTAGTCAGGTGAAAGTTAGTAGCCTTTCTTCACAATTGAAATTCTTTTGTGAGGAGATCAAATTAATCACTTTGAACGATAGTAAGTAAGTCCAATTTCGGATTATTTTGGAGGGCATTTGAATGTAGTCACTACAATGTCATATGCTTCTGAACAAGATATTCAATGGCCTCCTAATCGGTCGGATATATTTGTCGTTATATGGAAGCAGCACATCTATCTGTTCCGAATAGAAGAACCAACAGCTGCCGCTGACAATACGAAAAGTATTTTCTTCTGACTCATATTTCCACATTAACCCGAAATTCTCAGGTTTCATCATAGGATCAAAGTGCAAGTTTTTAATTTCTGTATCCAATATCTGGAGCAGTAATATATTTCCACAGGTTTGTGATCCAGTGTTAATCATCTTTTGCTTTAAGTGTGTTGCGTGGGTGTCCAGTACGAATAAAGCGAGTCTTGATGTAGTTCCGGATCATTTGATTGCTGTTACACTCAGTGGTGGATGTATAAGACTTATAGGGTAGGTTGCACATGGCGTTTAGAAGAGTTTAGAGACTTCCTGAATCAAATGTGGAGGAAGACAGATTTGGCTTGCAAAACAAAGAATTAGGTAATTCATACATTTTATCCTAACATTTTATAGTACCCAGATTTACAAGAAACACCATTTTTCTTGCTTGGAATCCATGGAAACGTAACTTGGTGAGTATTTTTTCTGTTCTATATTTTGGTTGTAATTAACTGAGATAGCTAAGTATTAATTGTCATAGCTGTGGGTAGACAATCAAGTTTATGCATATGCGATAGAACCTTTACATACTGTAGATATTTTTGCAACATAAAACTAAGTCGTTTTAAGAAAGCGGCGAATCGGTTCATATTCTGTTCAGTATGATGTAATTTTGAACTATATTAGTAAACACATTTTATTTGATGTGGTTGTCCTTGGTCATCACTTGGAAAGTCACTATATTTAATTGGATTTATGTGGTTACATCATAGGTCAGACTTTACGTGTTCAAAGTTGATATTTCGAGTTCTTAGTGCTTTGCTATTTATGAAGACAGCTTTTATTTTAAACCACCGATAATTCGCATTTACATAATTTCGTTTAATGCATACCTTCTCCCTTGAAACAGCTAGCTCAAGGTTTAGACAAACCTCGTAACAGCAGAGAACCTTCGGTATTAATATGGGACGTAACGAAGTATACTGGTTCACGCCCGGTCAACACTAAGTCTGCTGAGCGGGATACAGTTTGCGCAAGTGGTCTACATGCGCATTCATATTCATTGCCGTTCGCACTTACTGGTTTGGATTACAGTGCTTCAGATTCCAATACTTTGTATCCACTAGTCTCTATATATTCTTCAAAGAAGGAGTGGATATCTGACATAACTACATGTGATAAGTCTCTGTGTGATATAGGTATGTTGTGTATTCTCATTTTACAACATTTACTCTGAGACGTAAGGTTTGTTAGATGCTCAGTGGTAATATTCAAAAGTTCATTGTTGATAAGTTTACACTGGTTTTATTCTAAGCGGTTAGGTATTATTCTAACCCTTTATTATTTCCTTTAATTCCTAGAGGAACATAAGGCTCCAGCCGCGCGTCTCAATTGTTTTCGGTTCTCTGCTAGAGTTTCCACCTGGCTCCAAGTCTGCCCACATGCTTTCATCTCCTCTTCACATGACCTCCTCCAAGTCACCCTTGCACTGACGACCAGCTCATCGCTTCCCTTTAGGGTTCCACTCGAGCAATGGCTTATCTAGTGATGTCACTTGATGCTTTCCTCAATTTCTTCCTGCATATTTGTTGCACAGTCGGTTCCTGGTTTGTTCACTTCCAGAGATCCCTGTTGCTGTTCTTTTCTGACCGGCCATCTGATCTTGAGTATTGAGCGAAGACAACTGTTAATGAAGGTCTGTAGTTTGTTTGAGATGCTCTTTATGACGCACAGTGCAAGTCTCTGATCCGTATAGTAGCACTGACTTCACATTGGAGTTGAAAATCCGGATGTTATTATATTCATGCAGAGTGCTGTTGACCTCCACACAGACTTGAGAGTAATGAAAGCTTGTTTTACTTTCCCGACCCTTGCTTTGATATCCTCGACAGTTCCGCCTGTAGTTGAAACGATGCTTCCCAGATAGGTAGGTAAAGGAGGTTGTTTCTTTCAAGTTCCTCCCGTTTATGCTGATTGTCTGTTGGCATTGGCCAGGAATCTTCATCATTGTTTTCTATATGTTCATCAGAAGTCCTATCTTTGATGCTTCTTCTGCCAACTTGTTGCTTTTCATTTGCATATCTTCTAGTGTGTGGGAAATCAGACATATATCATCAGCGAAGTCTACATCCTTCAAGTTTTTCGTGACGGTTCATTTTATGCCTGTTTCCTCACTGCCCGCTCTCTGTCACATTATCCAGTCTACCACAATCAGGAAAATCATCGGACAAAGCAGGCAACCTTGTCTTACTCCCGTCTTTACTTCGAAGGATTCCGTAAGTGTCCCATTGTGGATTACTTGGCATACCGCATTGTCGTACAACTGTCGGATGAGATGTATAATTGCCGATGGCACCCCGTAGTAGCGAAGTAGTTGCCAAGTCACCTCTCGATCTATTCCGTCGAAGGCCTTTTCAAAGTCGATGAAGTTGAGACAGAGGGGTGACTGCCATTCACAGCCCTGTTCAGTGTTGATCCTTAGTGTGGCGATTTGATCAATACATTACTTGTTTCTCCTGAATCCAGCCTGTTCCGGTCGAAGTTTTCCATCCAGGGCTTGTTTGATTCTATCCAGGATGATTCGGCTTAGTATTTTGCTTGGGATGGACAGGAGCATAATTCGGCGCCAGTTCTTGCATTGACTTAAGTCTCCTTTCTTTGGTAGTTTGAATAAGTATCCTTTCTTCCAATCCTCAGGTACCTTGCCCTCTTTCCACACCTTCTCCAGTAGTGGTGTCGTCAACTCCTCTGTTGTCTCGGGTTCTATTTTCAATGCTTCTGCTTGGATTCCACCTGGTCCTGCTGCTTTTCCAGCTTTTAGCATCTTGATTGCATTCAGGACTTCTGATTTCGTTGGGGGTCGATGTTCACTGGTAGTTCTGCTTCCGTTGTTGGTATTGTTGGGCGCATCGTAGGTGGCGGTCGATTTAGAAGTCTTTTGAAGTGTTCAGCCCAGTGTTTTCTTTGTTCCACCTCTTTGGTGATTGACTTCCCATTGTCATCCTTCACTGGGTTGATTTGGGTCGAACTTTTCCGGAAAGGAGCCTAGTTGTTTGGTAGAGTGTGGCGAGGTCTCCTTTGCCTGCAGCTTGTTCTGCTTCACTCGCCATGGCTTCATAATATTTTCTTTTGTCTTCCCTGGCACTCTTCTTTACTCCTTTTTCAGCGTACTGTAGCTTGCATTCAACTCCTGTTTTTGTCGCTCGTCGGTGCACTGTATAATCTTTTGTTTCACTGTCCTTCTCTCTTTTATTAGTCTCCAAGTGTCCGTAGTGAGCCACTGTTTGTCCTGTCTCTTCTTTCTGCTCAGAACTTCCATGCAGTTTTGACTCCACACCGCTTTCAGGTTGTCCCAGTGCTTTTCGACACCGATCTCTTCGCTAGTGTTGATTTGTGTCTCAACTTTTTCTCTTATGCTTGCAGTGAAGATGTCCTTTGTATCTTGGTCCTTCAGTTTTTGAGTGTTGAACTTGGCTTGTGGTCTATCTATAGCTCATGCTTCTCTGAAAGCTTTTAATTTGATTTGGATTGTCCCTTGTACGAGATAGTGGTCTGAGCCAACGTCTGCTCCTCTTCTTGCTTTTGTGTCCAGTAGGCTGCGCCTCCACTTCCTTGAGATTGAGATGAAGTCAATTTGGTTTTTGGTTCGCCCATCTGGTGACACCCATGTAGCCTTGTGGATATCTTTGTGTTTGTATACGCTGCCACCAATCACTAGTTCATTGAAGGCACAGAAGTCGGCGAAGAGTTCTCCATTTTCATTCATTTCTCTGAGAACTTCTCTACCCATGATGAGTTCCCTTCCTGTGTTGTCTGGTCCCAGTTTGGCGTTCATGTCTCCCGTTAGTATTTTAATGCCACTAACTGGGGTATTGTCCATTGTTTCCTGTGTTTGTCTGTAGACGTCTTCTTTCTTTTCGAGGTCTGCGTTGTTTGTGGGTGCATAGCAGTGTATAACTGACACTTTCTTCAGGATACTAACAACACTTGTCATAGCCAACTTAATCGATGCAGCTTCATAGCCTCATCGATTGATTTTCCATCCTTAACCTCAATATTTATCATTCTGTTATATCGCCTAACACGAGAGATACAACACAGAAACCTATTATAATAGACAGTCTTTTTCATGTCTTCCTCTTTCAATGGCAAACTGCTACTCAGTACACTCATTCTTTGATTATTGGCCAGATATCACGTCTAAGCCAGAGATAGCGTAAGTTCCAGTCAAATTTAAATGATGTTACGGGACTGGACTACACCGACTCCTAGTTTAGAAATAGGGAGTGAAGTGGTAGAGCACGTTGACCGCTTCACTTACTTGGGAAGTACCATCAGCCCCAATGGGTTGATCTCCGATGAAATCTCAGCACGGATACAGAAGGCTCGTTTCGCATATGCCAGTTTACACCGTCTGGCGTAGACTTAATATCCGACTATTGACCAAAGGGTGGGTGTACTTCTTAGCAGTCCGCTCCGTCTTCCTTTGTGACTGAGAGACCTGGCCATTGACAGTGGAAGACATGAAAAGATTAGCTGTCTTTGATCATAGGTGCCTGCGTTCTATCTCCCGTGTAAAGTGGTATAATAAGGTGAGCAATATTGAGGTTAGGCGTCGGTCAAGTGCTAGGTAGGCGGGAGGGAAAATCAATCGACGAGGCTGTGAAATTACATCGACACAACAGTTAGTTTAAGCCACATAGGTAGGTGTAGACTTCCTGACTGGTTTGGTCCTCGGGACAGTAAACACCAATGGCTGGAGACAATTGGTGATATGGCTCAATATCGTTCTCAATGGCGCAGATGCATCTACTCCTTGTGACTTATAATTTCCAATGAAACTATATTGTTCTTCATATGAACTGTGATCAAGATTTGACCGAATAGTTCCAAAATAATTAGGCGCCGAGTGAGAAGTAGATATTTGTAAAAAATTATATTTGTAAATTCTCAGCGAAATTGAAATGAGTAATTCCAACGTTTCGCTTGATTATCTGGTCAGAAATTCTTCAGGGTAATTAATCGAAATTAACATAACAGAGGTTTATATGTAAAAGGACATCTCTTGTTTTTAAAAACTTTGTCCAATCATATGAGTCGTGAAACAGGTATCAACATATATAATAAACAAAATTGTATTGACTGTGATCAAAATTTGACCTCAAACTTTCAAAATTAGTCTACTTTTGATGATATTAGATGGTTGGAGGTAATCGGCTGGAAGCCTTGGACCTAGGTTTCGTGCTAGTTGGCACTCGTCAACAAGGAGTATCTCCAACCTTGAAGGAATTCATGTCCCTTCTGAGATTCGAACCCGCGTCACCCAGTGCTGCAACCAGAGACGTTACCACTGAGCTATTCGGGCTCGCGACTGACCACCTGTAGGACTGCAGTGGATATTTTGATTTGACACTAGTAACTAGTGTGATGTGTCTAGTCCTCTCTGTGGTGCAGACCGAATTCTACCATTTCCTTCAATGTTGCAGATACGTCTTGCTGACGAGCCTCCAAGCTGAGACGAAGCTGAAGTTGCCCTCAGTCCCACACCACAGTGTAGGCAACTTGCACTATGACGATAATTGCTTTGCACTGTCGACTCAACCTTTCTGATATAGTTAGACCTGCAGGAGTATTTGTTCCATCTGGTATAGCTCAAAGGGTCGTTGCGATATGCAAGCCGGACCACCACCTCAGGTTAGTGGCTATCAGTTCGAGAAGAGCTTTACTTATATTTTCAGAAATCTGGAGAAAATTATCAAGAAGTATCAACTGTAATGTTAAAAGTCAAGATAATCCTCTAAAACAACTCCATTCTAGAAGTCACTCTAATTTGTTCCGTTTAACAAAGACAAATACCGTAAGTAGCTGCAAGATATGAAGATCATGTCGGTGGATTAGATCAATGAAGAATAGAAGGTAGTAAGAAAGATAAGGACATCACTTCATGAAAGTATTGCTACTGAAGTGTGTATATAAGGAGCCATGTTACTGCCGTACCCTATGGTTATAAATTGTGTGTTAAGGATCCAAAATGATCACAGATTCGAGTTTATTTATACGGGAGCTTTATTTTAATTATATTATCACATTTTCTTGTTTACTTTGTATTGTTTTCCCGTTAAGTACTCTATAAATTTTGATTGTATTATTTCCACTTGTTTCTTTGGTATGACCATAGGAAATTCATCAAATTAAACCAGTACTCAGTATTGATAGGTGGTGCTATATTGATAATATATGTTTTCCTGTTAAAAGCGGCAGGAATATAGCTACTAACATTAATTCGTTGATTTATGAGAGTATCCTCAAAGTCAAAGGACACAGAAGTGTCTACTTAAGACTATCTCTTTGGTTTTGAAAATATCACAATATATCACTCCTTGCTTAAATTGTTAGGACGTATTATAAGATTAGGATTCACAAGGTTATTAAAACCGACTGCTTTAGACTCTCGATGTAATGACTTCAGATTGTTTGAGTCGTAGCAGATATATTCATGTATTGTGTAGGCTTTATTCCTTCAAAGCTTTTCACTATTTGTCATAAAAATAGTTTCCATTTGTTCTTTAATATTTATAGTGATTTACGTTGAAGTGTATCACATTGGTGTGAAGTATTAATTATTTATAATATGGTAAAATATGAAACAGTCGGCGGTTCTTCCGTGCTTATAGTTCTCTAATGTTATATATCGGTCTCTCCTCAAAGCTCTGCAGTTGACATCACTCACTTAGCGATATCTATCAAGCCAACTGCTCTATGAAAAATTAAATAAATTCATTCTTAAACTGGCTGTTTCACTGCTGTTATATCAATGAAGGAACCCGACCGAAAGCTGCTACCTTGACGTGGTGGTCGGGCTTGAACACCGCAATGACCTAATCAAGCTATACTGGCTGAGACTTATGTCTCTTGAGGTTCTACCATGCCAGGCAGGTTGTTTGGATAGCGGTTAAACAAAAAGCAGCTACCCAATCCAACATCATGTCCAATACAAAATTACAAAATTTCATGCCGGATCGGCCGTGGCCCGGATTAACAACGACCGCGCTTCCTGCTGCCGTGTCACAGGGCAGGAGTGATAAATCTGCTACTGAGACACACCAAACAAAAAAGAACGAACAAAAACAGGCCGCGTGTGACCGGCCTCAAGCAGTTGTCCCCTGGGCTCTGCGGTCACGCAACCAACTTCCACGGTGTGGGCAGCCGGGAAGTAACAATCGCCCTCACAATCCGAAATGCACACGAAACCTCTCTATTACTCACTCATCTTTGTCTTCATCTTCATCTCTATCATCTTGCCTTCCTTCCACTGATGCAACTCCTCGACTTGATAGCTCTCCACTTCCTCTCCACTCTGCGTCCACTAAAAACGATGGAAGCCAAAAAACCACCACCGACAGCCTCTTAAAGCCGCGCCACCAATTTCATATAGGAGCTCTTAATGTTAGGACACTTTGCCAAATAGGACAACAAGCATCACTAGCCAAGACCCTGGCATCACGAGCCATTGATGTATGCTGTGTTTCAGAAACACGCATACAAGACCCAAGTGTGGTTATTCACCTAACCCCACCTGGCCAACAGGTTGAATCTGCAAAATTCACCTTGAGGGTGTCAGGAGATGCCACAGCTAGTTCACGAGGATTAGCTGGCGTAGGGATAGCTTTGAGTACTAGGGCAGAAAAGACATTGCTTGACTGGATCCCGGTAGATAGCCGAATGTGTGCTGTCCGCCTGAACGGATCAGTAAGAAGGAGGAAGGACTGCACTACTCGCCGATGCCTTTTCGTAATCTCCGCCTACGCCCCCACTGACTGCAGTTCAGATGAAACGAAGGATGAGTTCTACCAAAAGCTGTCTAGTTTGGTGGAAAGGCTAAACGCTCAGACATAGTCGTTCTAGCTGGTGACTTTAACGCTCAAGTAGGGAAATTGTGTCAATCTGAGAAGGATGTCGGTGGCACCTATGGAGCTCCGTGCCAGCGAACCGACAACGGTGACCGTCTCCTACAGTTCTGCTCTGATAATCATTTGTTTCTTGTAAGCACTAACTTTAAACACAAGGAGAGACACTGTTTGACTTGGAGACCCCCTTCATCAAACCAACGCTGGACACAAATAGACCACATAGCAATAAGCTATCGTTGGCGTGGGTCGGTAGGAGATTGTCGCTCCTTCTGGAACACGTGCGTAGATACCGACCATGCACTGGTCCGCGCTCGGGTGTGCTTACGACTGAACGGACGTAGGAAACAGCTGGCGGTAAAACCATCACGTCCCCAGCTCGATCAGGAAACTAAATCCGTATTTCAGGAAGAACTAGCTAAACACATATCTGTGTTCGACAGCTGTGCTCACCCTGAAGAAGCTTGGAAAAATATCCAGGCAGCCATAGATACAGCTGTAAAAGCTGTGAATAAGGTAAACCCAAAGGTGAGTAAAAACCACTGGATCTCCACCGCCTCATCCGAACTGATAGATGCTAGAAGACTTATTCCGGCGAGCTCCGAATTCAATGAGGAGCGAAAGCTGCACAAGAGGAAACTTACGAAAAGTCTCCGCAAGGACCGTGAACAGTGGTGGGCGACAAAAGCCAAAGAGATGGAGAAAGCTTCGAGGATAGGCAACACCAGGCAACTCTTTGGACTCATCAGGGAAACGGGTGGGAGAAGACAAATCATTAGTGAGACAATCTCGGAAAAAAATGGCACTATAATTAGCTCACAGGATAGACGACTGGATCGTTGGAAAGAGCATTATGAGGAGCAGTTTAATTTGCCCACAGCCACGCTCAACCTTCCGAGCATCCAACACCTCCCTGAATGGGATATAGACACAGGTCCTCCGTCACTAACTGAGGTTACTAAAGCTGTCACCAATCTGAAACTAGGCAAAGCAGCGGGACCTGATGGAATGACTCCAGAGGTATTTAAGTACGGTGGAGACAGCTTACTGTCCGCATTAACTGAGGTACTAGGCAGCGTCTGGGAATCAGAAGAAGTCCCATCGGGTTGGTGTAAGTCACTGATTATCCCCATATACAAGAAGGGAGACAAGTCTTCCTGTGATAATCACAGAGGGATTAGCTTGACTAATATAGTATCTAAAGTCTTAGGCTCAATAATCATGCGTAGACTGAGTGGTGCTCGGGAAGCACAAACACGAGAGAGCCAGGCAGGCTTTAGACCAGGAAGAGGGTGTATTGATCATATCTTCACCCTCCGACAGATTCTAGAACATAGGCATTCCTACCGGCGTCCAACAGTCATTATATTTCTTGACCTAAAGGCAGCATTCGACTCTGTCGATCGGGAAGTTCTCTGGAGATGCTTGGCTGTAAAGGGAATTCCGAGAAAATATATTGCACTGATTAAGGCACTCTATTCGTACTCATACAGCCAGGTGAGGGCTTACGGCGAGCTGTCATCTGAACTGATGACGACCAGTGGTGTCCGTCAAGGATGCCCATTATCTCCTTTTCTATTCAACTTCATCATAGATGTGTTAATGGACTTAACCCTAGGTGACTTCAGCGACTCAGGGATTGACTTGCTACCGGGGAATAATCTCGTTGACTTGGAATATGCAGACGATATAGTCCTTCTAGGCGAAGACGCTGACGAAATGCAGAGTCTTCTAAACACCTTGAGCCGCAATCTACGAATGTTTGGCATGCGATTCGCTCCCGCCAAATGCAAGATGATGTTACAGGACTGGACTACATCGACGCCTAGTTTAAAAATAGGAAGTGAAGTGGTAGAGCACGTTGACCGCTTCACTTATTTGGGAAGTACCATCAGCCCCAACGGGCTGATCTCTGACGAAATCTCAGCACGAATACAAGGGGCTCGTTTCGCATTTGTTAGTTTACGCCGACTCTGGCGTAGACGAGATGTTCGACTATCGACCAAAGGGCGGGTGTACTGCTCATCAGTCCGCTCCGTCCTCCTTTATGGTTGTGAGACCTGGCCACTGAGAGTGGAAGACATGAAAAGACTAGCTGTCTTTGATCATAGGTGCCTGCGTTCTATTTCCCGTGTAAAGTGGCATAATAAGGTGAGCAACATGGAGGTTAGGCGTAGAGTTCTAGGTAAACAGGGGAAATCAATCGACGAAGTCGTGAAGCTACAAAGACTGAGATGGTTAGGACATGTGTTACGTATGCCAAGCCATCGCCTCCCTCGACGAGCAATGTTAGCGGATATAGGGTCAGGCTGGAAAAAAGCTAGCGGCGGTCAAACAAAAACTTGGCATCAGTCAATGAAATCCACAACAGTTGGTCTAAGCCACGTAGGAAGGTGTAGACTTCCAGGCTGGGGTCCTCGGGACGGTAAAAATCTATGGTTGGAAACAATTGGTGACATGGCTCAAAATCGTTCTCAGTGGCGCAGATGCATCCACTCCTTGTGACTTATGATCTCCAATGAAACTGTTTTGTTCTTCTTTATTACTCCTTTGTCTCACACCTCTGCTCACTGTTTCTATTATGCTTTTCTTGTACTTTCTTCTCTTGCTTCGCGTGCTACACGGAATGTGGCGACTTGAACTTCCGCACATTTGTGCAAAGTTCTATGTCGAAAACAGAATGAAGGAACCTCACAACAACTACTGTTCTTATGTCACTCAATTTAAAAGCCGTGTAATACTTTCTTGGTTTTGAAATAATAGAGAAGATTTGTAACTCAGGTGGATGATTTGCAATTATTAGTATTCTCTGAGCTGGTTGGTTTAGTTGTGGAGCTTTCTTGGTTTATTCGGTATTTGATAAAACGGATTATAAATTAGTGAAAATAATCTGGAGACTTCTCTCCTATTTATTTGCAGTATACATTTATCATTCAAAGAATTTTTGTGTTAGATAATTACTGGTTGTTATTTCATGACTGATTATACACACAAACCTTTCATTTTCTCAAGGGATACAAGATACTGTGTCATCATTTGCGTGGCTTTCAAAAAGTTCCTTCATTGCAGGGATGTCAGGCACGTACTTGAAAGTGTTTGATTTATCTGGTAAGTTTCTGAACACTTTTTCTGTAATATATGTTATTTATTTTGTGATAACAGCTGGTTCCACCAAGTTAGGTCAGAGATCAGATACTCACCAATGACATTGGCTCGCAGTTGAGCTATATATGTCTCAGATTGACAGAAGTTGGAATTGATCGGCGATTGGATCGGGTCACAGTGGCTGAATGGTATACGAGCTCGCCTTGTAACTGGAAGGTCTTCGATTCGAACCCCAGTGGGTGCGTACTCTGGAGAGTTCCAGACTAGAATAAGCAAGTGTCCAGTACTCCCAGGTTTTCCAATGGTTCTCTCTAACTGATGTCAGTTAGTGATCAAACCTGTAGCTAATCAAATCCTTGCAAATCAACACTTGATAAATAATTATCAGAGAATTCATCGCCTTACACATACGCAAAGTCCTTAAGGGACTTTGTAGATATAAACGTAACTGTAATAATAAAGGGCAATATTATACTCCTTTAATTATTGCTTATTTATGTAAATGTTTGTATGGAATTCGATCAGTGTTGTCATTCCGCTACTTGGTGCATTTCATTTACAAAATGCCTTTGTGGCTCACCACAGACACGTGATTGATATCAACTTCTTTATTTTTCAGTCATCTGTTGGCTCTCGTAGGCTTTTTTTTTGAGGTGTCTGATAAGTTGATTTCAGTTACTGTCACAATCTATGCTTCAATCTCTGCTCTGATGCTGTCCTATAGTTTGAATTTAAACGAAGTCACTAGTTTCCGGCGTCAGATTAATATACATTTAATGAGGTATAATTAGGTGTTGGAAAGGGGTGTAAAGTTGTAGTATTGGTAGGCGTACTGCCGATGAGCCCCAAACTACGATGAAACAGCTCTCCAGTACTCCCTGGTTTTCAATGGCGCTCCAACTGATACCAATCCTCAGTGTAACGTGAAACAAATAAAATTCCTACAAACTAATTCCTGAAAAATAGAAGCGATACGTAACATCATGTGAAATTTTATAACATAGAATTTAACGTTGTAAAGAAAAACTGATTTAGACTGACAAGTGGAACGAGTGAAATAGACAATTTAAAGTAAGAATAAAAATAGTAACGATTAACGTTATGAGGGAATAGTGTACAAATTGAATAAACAAAACGAAAAATAAGTAGAGCCGAAATATGAATGGGAATTATCATACTTTAGACGGATTAAAACCATGAAAGTTAAAGGGGTTGAATGAATTTTTTCTGTATACAGAAATCTGGCTTTTCTATTTCGATGGCCAAAGCCTCAGCAATACAGATGAGTCGGATAGGTAATGATTCAGGCAAATTATTCTTTGCCTTGTAGATGACCTTAAAGGCTGGGACGGTGGAGACAGGATGATCAGTATCAACCAAGATGTTCAGTGATCGCTCTTCTTCTACATAAGTTGTTTATTTCTGTATTTGCAAACTACTTCGTTTTTAGAAGGTATCAATACATGTTGCCAACAGATACTAGTTTACGGAGCTTATGATGATTTAAACAGGCAGAAAAATCTCTCAGAATACAAGATATATGAAATTTATATTTTTACATAGTATGTTATTTGTTCGAAAGCTGTATGTACGACTAAACTAGAGTGATTTGACAGTGGGACAACAGTTATAAACGATAATACTCTGCAAGACAAAATACGAAAGTCAGTAGAAATTCCCCTTAGTCATTGAATTAAACTATTTTAACTAGTTGTATGAACTGTCTCTTCTAGCTCTACGGGAGTGAAATTATAGTTTGTTTCATGGTATGCAGTATGATTAATGCAGTACATTTTTTACGGAGAAGACTAGTATTACAGGAAAATATTATTAGTGCTCTGTTACTTCCGTAATGAAAGCAAGTTCCCTGGCCTCTGTATTAATTTTTCTCACTTACTGTTACATGTGTTTGTATGAAGCAAGTATTTATCTCGCCTTGTCCAAAGCTATGCATTTGAAACTGAATTATCCTTTTGTAAGGTAGTTATCTACAATGCGAGTCTTTGTATCTCGTTAATAGGATAGTAAATTTGTCCATGATGAACTCTAACCTATTTCATGAGAATTTTTTGGCTATTATTTTAGTTATAATGTGCTAATTTTCTTCTTTTTATTCAATATATAGACCCTTCAAAAGCTTCTCAGACCGTTACCACTAGGGCAGTGAATGGTTTAACAGTTGATCCGTTATGCAGTAAACGTTTCGCTTCATTTTGTGAGGTATTTTTTAAAAATCATATTCTTAATCGCTTAAAGGATGAATATTTCCTTGCATTTTTTTATAATCCCTAGGTTATACCATAATCTTGGACCAACATAAACTAGTATAAAAAACGTGATTCAAAATAGAGGAAATGGCACATTTGTCCAAAAAGAAAAACTAGAGAAATCCCTCAACCAGGAACACCTGTCAACGCTGATCACTGCAATTACATTGTCAAGTAGAGAACAGAGAGAACAAAGACTAAGTGTCCTCAAAACCAGACTAGCCAAGATTAGAAAACAACAACCAGACAATACGCCCATAGACTGCGTAGTCAACCTATCAAAACAACCACTATCAAAAATGGAACAACAACTACTACAAAAAGGATTAAACTACAACACCTGAGATGCTTCGAAAACTGATTTCTTCGCTGCCCTTGAATCATTATTCAAATCATCGAACTTGAACGAGGGAACACAGGAAGAGATACGCCAAACAATTGTACCAATGGTCAAACAGAAAAAACAACACACACAACTCTCAAGAACTAAAGGCCCTCAAAAAGCTGAAAAATAGGAAGGACATCGTCATTCTACCAGCCGACAAAGGAAGAGCAACATTAGTCATGGACAGAGAAGAATATACCAAGAGAGCTGAAGAACTACTCAAAGATGAGGATGTATATCAACAAATCCCATACCAACATTGAACAACCGAACCTGAAGGACCTTAAACAAGCTCACCAAAACTGGACAGACCACAAAACAAGACCAATGGCGAATGAAATCCAATGGACCAGTCCTACCTCGATTCTACGGCAGACCCAAAATACACAAGCCAAATATCCCGTTACGACCAATTGTATCACTCCCAGGAACTCCAACATATAATTTATCCGAAGAATTATACAGAAAACTGAAACACCTAACGGAATCTTGTGATCACTCCAACTCTGCTATCCAACTGCTAGAGAAAATCAGAGGTATCCAAATAGATTAACAAGAAATAATGATATCCTTCGACGTCACAGCATTATATACCTCAATCAGACAAAAACTAGCAAAAGACACCATGGGACAAATACTCAGCAACGATGAACACCTCCCACAACAATCAAAAATGCAACACACAAGCTGCATAGGATGCATAAACCTATGCGTAACAAACGTACTTCCAATTCAACGGCCAAATATATGAACAAGTCAAAGGAACACCCATGGGATCGCCAATATTAGGTTTGATTGAAGAAGCAGTGATATAAAGACTCGAAAACATAATCCTACCAAAGATCAAACCTAAGATTTGGATACGTTACGTAGATGACACATTTATAATAATCAAAAGAAATGAGTTACATTAAACTCACAGCTTAATAAACAACATCTTCAACCACATCAAATTCACAAGAGAAGAGGAATCCGAGAACATAATCCCATTTTTGGACGTCTTAGTCAAGCGAACAACCACAGGGGAATTAGAAACTCAAGTTTATAGAAAATCAACTCACACAGACCAAATACTGAATTACAACAGCAACAATCCAATAACACACAAAAGGAATTGCATACAAACACTATTCAGATATTATAGAGAAGATTTGTAGCTCAGGTGGATGATTTTGATGTGGTTTTGTTCTCTGAGCTGGATGGTTAGTTTGCGAAGCTTTCATCACCTTACTGGGTGACATCTTCAGCGCATACTTCAATTTGAAGTATGCGCTGAAGATGTCACCCAGTAAGGTGATGAAAGCTTCGCAAACTAACCATCCAGCTCAGAGAACAAAACCACATCAAAAACACTATTCAAGAGGGCAAGGACTCATTGCAGCACTCCCAGCTTAAGGAAAATTGAAGAAAAATATCTCATGGACATCTTCCGAAAGAATGGATATCCACGGAATTTCATCAAAAGACATATACCCCCAAGCCAACCTATCAAACCAAATGCCCCCAAGGAAAGCACAAAGAAAATCTCCCTACTATATATAAAGGATATTTCACAAATCAATACAAGACTCTACAAACCCTTAGGAATTGACGTCGTACACAAACCAACAAAGTCGCTGCACTCAATTCTATGTCAACCAAAAGACTCAACAGCGAAAGAAGACAAAACCAACATCATCTACAAAATAAACTGTAACAACTGCGAAAAACACTACATCGGCCAAAGTGGACGTCCCCTTCGTCTTCGTATCCACGAACATAAGCTAGCCGTCAAAAGACATGATATCCACTCCCTCATATCACTCGCTGCATACAGACAACCACGGACATCAATTCGACTGGGACAACTTTCAGAGGAAACAACAAGAACGCTAGAGAATTTTTAGAAGCTTGGCATTCCAGTGAATTATCAATCAATAGACACATCGAGATAGACAAAAGTTATCAACCAATAAGAAAGAAACTTCATACACAAAGGGTCAAAGTTCAAGTCAAAGAAACAATCAGTCCCAATACAAGTAACCTAGAAGGTGTGAAAACACACAAAAACAACCAATCACGTCCAAGATCACCAGGAGAGATGACTAAGAAACTTCTGGAGAGATCTAAAAGCTCTCTTCAAATTGAAGTATGCGCTGAAGATGTCGTCTAGTAGGGCGATGAAAGCTTCGCAAATTAACTACCCAGCTTAGAGAATACAGCCATATCTAAATTATTTCCCTGGACTGCAAATTTTCTGTATCGTGACTTAGTTTACAAAATTTTTTTAATCTATCCTGAATGATACTTTGGACAGATGCGGATTTTAAGAATTTTTGGTTTATTGATTGAACTAATCAACACCTGGTTTCTTTAAGATGATGGAGGCTGCTGTGTATAGCTCAGAGTGTAATCACTTCTTTAATTGGGTTTTTTATATACCTACCAATTCGGTTTGCGTATAGTTATCAAGCTGTAAACTTCTCATGTTTATTGTGGCCTATATTTATACTCTTTGAACCACTCTATAAATATTGTTTTCCCAGCATATTTATTGTAAGCGACCATCATTTTCTATTGACTTGTGTTAGATTTAGAATAATATCTAAGTTCCATTCTGCTTGGTCTGAGATTAAATTGGAGAAGGCATACTACTCGACTTAATTAAAGTGTTTTCGTTTACCTGGTTTGTCTCTGTCTTACTAGGAACTTAAGATAAAAGTAGACTTCGTGTTGGGTCTCTATGTATTTCCTTGAAGATGCATTAAATGAGTCCTTTCTGAAGTCCTCTGCTCTGAGGAAAATGGAGATATGTCGTCGACGTAGAAACGATATCAGTACAGTGGTCTATACAAGCGCATTTATATTATTCTCAATTTGTTGTTTGACTTGGGAAATAAGTTTATGACTTCGGAGATTTCGTTTTTTGTCCGTCTATCTACCTACCTAAAAATTCCATTATCTCTATCGTTTATTTTTTTAATTTTAGCGGCAAATTTCTATATGGAGACTGGATAACTTGGAAAAACCTGTGAGTCAAGGCATACTTGTGATATATAAGGTCAATTATATTCAATTTCGCTCACTCAGTAGATTTAAGCAGCTAGTAGACTTTTAATGATTTTGAGTAAGGGAGAAGAATTTCACACTAAGAACTTTTGTGACAGTCGTAAATTCATCGCATTAGTTAGTTAGAATTAATTTATCCGTTACTGGCTTTTGAGTCACACTTGTTATATTTGGGGTTGAAGATACCACCCACTCGGCCACACTGAAGTAGGTGGAGAGAAATTCTAATCCGGACCCCAGTAGTTGCAAGTAGAGTGCTTGAGCCAATGAACTACATCTCCGCCAAAAGTGGTAATTAACCAATGGTTGTGTATATAAAGTGGTTGAATCCTGGAGATTAGTAAGTAATGCAATTAAAAAGATGATATAATGATAAATAATGAGGTACAGATGTGTAAATTTATTGATATTCGTTTATGTCCTCTGACTATGTTTATAGCTATAATTTTGTATTATTTTTCTAGTGTTGGTTTGCATGGATATGATGGATTTCAAGATTGATTACGGACAGATTATAGTAAGATGGCAATCGGAAACCAGGGAGTACTGGACACAGCTGTGTCCTATCCTTGTAGGGGACTCAGCAGTACACACTCATTATTTTCAGTTTTGTTTTTTACAGGTATTTCCCCATAAATCTATGTCATTTGAGACTTACAGTAAATTAACGCACTTTAGGTTGCTGTTTCGCTCGACTTTAAAACCTTTTCACGGTTAGTGAAAGTAAACTCTAAAAGAAGGGAACGCAAAAGCATAAGGTGTAACTAAGCGTTCCTATGGTAATCTTTGTTATTTGATTGCTATTTATTTTACATCAGCCTTATCGTGCTTGCAAGTCAAGTTTCCTGTTTTTCTTTTCTTTTGTTTGTTTGTTTTTGTAAAATAGGTTTACACATTTTTTGAATCTGGTGATGTCCAACAAATTAAATGGAGTCCTTTAAGGTAAAAATGCTTATGGGTCATTATTTGTTTTCAAGGATGTTTTCTTCACTTTATGTAACTCAATAAGTTGTCATAGTTTGAATTATATACATTGGGAATAAATTGTAATTTCAATGGGTAGCTGGTTGATTGAGGTGGAGATCTGGTTCATTGGCTTAATCCACTAGGCTTTCAACTAGTGGGTTTGGGTTTCAAGTCCTTCTGTGCCCGCTTCATCCTGGGCAATTGGATAGCACCACCATTCTTCACACATTAGGTGGAGCTCTTAACCTGGTAAATGAAGGGTGGTGTGTTTTGGATAATTGAGTTGGAATAATGATGACAACAATAATTCATTGGTTTGCATCACCACACGTCTTAGTAGTTTGCTAGTAAAAGGAAACCAGTAACAGAAAGGAAATGGGATAGCACAAGGGTGTCAGTCAAATATTTCTTAAACATGGTAGAGAAGATTTGTAGCTCAGGTGGATGATTTTGATGTGGTTTTGTTCTCTGAGCTGGATGGTTAGTTTGCGAAGCTTTCATCACCTTACTGGGTGACATCTTCAGCGCATACTTCAATTTGAAGTAAGCTTTTAGATTTCTCCACGAGTTTATTAATCATCTTTCCCGGTGACCTTGGACGTGATTGGTTGTTTGTGTGTGTTTTCACACCTTCTAGGTTACTTGTATTGGAACCGGTTGTTTCTTTGACTTGAACTTTGACCCTTTGTGTATGAAGTTTCTTTCTTATTGGTTGATAACTTTTGTCTATCTCGATGTGTCTATTGATTGATAATTCACTGGAATGCCAAGCTTCTAAAAATTCTCTAGCGTTCTTGTTGTTTCCTCTGAAAGTTGTCCCAGTCGAATTGATGTCCGTGGTTGTCTGTATGCAGCGAGTGATATGAGGGAGTGGATATCATGTCTTTTGACGGCTAGCTTATGTTCGTGGATACGAAGACGAAGGGGACGTCCACTTTGGCCGATGTAGTGTTTTTCGCAGTTGTTACAGTTTATTTTGTAGATGATGTTGGTTTTGTCTTCTTTCGCTGTTGAGTCTTTTGGTTGACATAGAATTGAGTGCAGCGACTTTGTTGGTTTGTGTACGACGTCAATTCCTAAAGGTTTGAAGAGTCTTGTAGTGATTTCTGAGATATATAAAAGATAGGTGTCAGATTTTAGTCTCAGTGGGGACGCCACTGCATCCAAAAGATATGGGTCCTGAGTGAGGTATCTTATAGTCCAGTGCTTGTCACTGCCAATATAAATAGCATTAAAATAGAGGAAAGATCTCATTACAATGATAATAAGTTTTTGCGATTTCATGAACTTTAAAACGTCATCTAGGACTTCGGTAGTTGATTGCAACATTGAATAGGTAATTGTCCGTTCTTATTGCAGTTCAAGATGCTCGTCATAGCTTTCTTTATTCATTCTATGTGCCGTACAATGTCTAGAAGGTTAAGCACGTCTCACAACTGTCTTCACTTCTACTGCTACAGGCTACATATTATGGGTTTTTGTGAAGACTGGAATTCACTTATAATTTTTCTTGGTCATTTTGAAGAATATATAGGATGGTTGCTAAGTATACTTATTTCTTAATATGAAAAAATGTTGTGGAAAGCGAAAGACAATAGAGCAGTCTTTATGCTTATATTTTACTTCCGGTGCCAACGATGATATTGTTTTTTTGCCTTTTTTCTTGCTGTCATCCACCTCAAGTTATTGATATAATATGTATAAGGTTGAACTAAAATATAGTTATTTTAGGAACTATTATTTCCTTTAATTCCTAGAGGAACATAAGGCTCCAGCCGCGCGTCTCAATTGTTTTCGGTTCTCTGCTAGAGTTTCCACCTGGCTCCAAGTCTGCCCACATGCTTTCATCTCCTCTTCACATGACCTCCTCCAAGTCACCCCTGCACTAACGACCAGCTCACCGCTTCCCTTTAGGGTTCCATTCGAGCAATAGCTTGTCTAGTGATATCACTTGATGCTTTCCTCAATTTCTTCCTGCTTATTTGTTGCACAGTCGGTTCCTGGTTTGTTCACTTCCAGGGATACCTGTTGCTGTTCTTTTCTGGCCGGCCATCTGATCTTGAGTATTGAGCGAAGACAACTGTTAATGAAGGTCTGTAGTTTGTTTGAGATGCTCTTTATGACGCACAGTGCAAGTCTCTGATCCGTATAGTAGCACTGACTTCACATTGGAGTTGAAAATCCGGATGTTATTATATTCATGCAGAGTGCTGTTGACCTCCACACAGACTTGAGAGTAATGAAAGCTTGTCTTACTTTCCCGACCCTTGCTTTGATATCCTCGTCAGTTCCGCCTGTAGTTGAAACGATGCTTCCCAGACAGGTAGCTAAAGGAGGAATACGAATTACAATTCTAAGGGGCAATGTATTTGGTCTTTGTGTCCTCACATATGGTGTTGAACTGAGTTTGTGTCTGTATCCTGCCGGATATTGCCTACTTGGCTAGAGACGTTTGAAAAGAAAACGTGGATGTGAAACGCCGTCAAACTTCTTTTTTTCAGATGTAGTTGCCAAACAGAATTTGAAACATTCTCTGCTTCTCAACTTGTTGTTAGTGTAGTGACTTCTTTGTTTAAATACTCGACTTTCAACCAGTGGGACTGGGGTTTGAATCCTGCTTCAATTACTTCAGACGAGGCAACTGGGTGGTACCATAGGCTATCACACACTAAGTGTGTTTCATAGCCTTGTGAATGAAACTTCTGTCCCAAGTAAGTGAGTTCTGCTTAACTTAATAATTTTTGAAGTGTTTCAGTGTGAATACTTAGTAAGCAAGAAAAGCAGTTTTGTATTGTCGCATTTCTACTACACTCAAATCTATAAATTAAAGTGACCCGAAAAGTTGAAATCCAATTACAACTTTGTTGCTTCAAAGTGTTTCTTTCGAGATACAGTATTCAGATACTTCTTTGCTGCTTTCTTATTCTGAGGTCTTAATCTGAGAGACGTTTTCATGTATTACATTTAATTTATTGAAACCACTTTCATCTATATATATATATATATATATATATATATATATATATATATATGCATGTATTTTAGACGGACATAAATTGTTTCTAATACCGTTTTGTTTTATATTACCTGTTATACTCTGTATTTTGTCTTCTTCTAGAGAGGCTTGGTTAGGTGTGTTGTTGACAGATTCTTGCAGTGTGAAATTGTATGATACCTATCCCATGTTTTGTCAGCCTTTAGAAGAACCTGAACAAATTCCAGTAGAAAGATTATTCTTTCGTAAGTTCCATTTTCATTTTAATTCTTTTCTCTCTTTTTTGTTGTTGAGAAGAATAAACTGCGTGTCACCTTCTTTTGCTGCTTTAATTATGTCATACTGAAATAGAAATATTCATTAGATATTCATGCACTTATAGGTTGCAATTTGACTTCTGAATAGTTAAATTCTGAAATTATTATTATTATTCTGTCGGGTTTTGGGTGAAGCATCGGTTTCAACAGTACATCTCTATTTGACTCTGTCCTCTGTAGTTCTTTTTAGCTGGCCCCATGATTGCCCATAAGCTTTCATTTCCTCCTCACATGGTCTCCTTCATTTCACAATGGGACTCCCAACTCGTTGTTTTCCATTTGAGTTTCATTCGACAACTTGGCGCAGCATATAAGCCAACCGTCTCTTCAGTGTAATTCATTTCCATTTCCTTCAGCATACTTTTTGCGCAGTAGGTTCGTAGTTGCTTCGTCGTCAGAGTTCTTTGTTGTTTATTCTTCCTGGCCAGGTAGTCTAATCGTCGGTATCGAACGAAGGTAGTTGACGAAAGCCTGCTCTAGCGCGCAGGAGGTGTTTTTGGTGACGCTGAACCATAAAGAAGCACGGACTTTATATTCGTATTGAAAATCCAAATCTTGTTCCATTCTCTGAGTGCAGCAGTGCTTTCTCGATCCTGACTTTGCCATCCTCAACTATGATGGCTGAAATAAGTACCTTTTAATTAAAATGAGTGTAATCAACATTGCTTCGAGGCATATTTTAAAGATTGATTTCTTCCTGCTGGTCCTACCGCGCTGATACTTGTATGAAGTAAGACGACTGCATATATTACTAAAAACAGTAGTCAGTGTTTCTATGCTGTATGACGTGTGACATATAATATAAGAAGGCAATAATATACAAGGTGCGGTTAGCAAAAGTTTCAATGTGAACCCCTGGCTAACTCTTGGTGTGAGACAGTAAATATACTGTCAATAAAAAACACAATTGAAAATTTCGCTGCTAAATATTACCTACAGGTAATATGACTAGCAGTACTGAATAGATGTCATACTCACGATTATAAGTCGTTAACAATTCTCTGTGCTTCTTTTCATGTCTTTATCTAGTGTTTTGTACAGAAGACGAAGGTTTTTGACGAAGTTGAAATCACTGTTCATTAACTCATAATCTTAGTACTACTAACCTTTAAGTAGCTTGTGAAATTTTGAACCTCATGCACTGGAATAAATTATTTTAATCGGGTATGGTGTTTGGTGATTATGCAAAAACACCTACTTTTTGATCATTTTGAAGAAAGGAGGTAAGATTCCAAAAGATATTCACTGATTTTAAATTATCGGATGAATAGATATACGCGTTTAATGAATGAGAAATTAAAGGGAAAACGACACAACATCGGACTTCTTGCTTTTCACGGTTGATATAACAAGATAAAACATTGAATTGTTGTCAAAATCATTGGTATAAATTTCTGATATGGAGAAGCTTAAGATGTTCTGAAATTGGTAGTAAGCTTGCGAAATGCATAATTTTAGAAACCAGTAATTAAAATGATTAGTGGATTTTTGTGAAACAATTGGTGGTGACTCGTAGCATCTCAGAAAGGTACCTTTTCCAAGTGTTTGAAAGTAAAACTGGGAGTATTTTTATTCATGACGGTTTTACACTGAACAGTGATTTCTTTACTTCACTTTCATACATGTGACTTCATGAAACTTAAATCACCTTATCTCTTCATTTCATAATAGCATCAAGTAGGTCGAATGTCAGTCTGGTAGCATTCAGTTGGCATCCATCTATTATGAATTGTTTGTTAACCTTGGATCGTGATGGTTATATGGATGTAGCTCATCTTGTGGAACGTGCAGCTATTGTAAGTTTATATAAACATATACGAATGATGTTATATGCCAATTTGAGTTAATTCTAAGGAAGCTGATATTCATTGGAAAAGATATTTGATTTAAATAGTTTTGTTACCAATTTGTTCAAATTGTAGAAATTAACTTCCACCACCCAACAACTGAAACTTTTAGGTAACTCTTTTCATAAGCCCCAATGATACTGCCTGACTGTTATACAGTCAGATTGTTCATTTCACTTCTATACACAAACTAGTTCGCTCACATAATGTTCGTAACAGAGAAGGCACTAAAATAGGGACTAAGTTGAGTTTTAAATATCCTGTATTAAATCTTTTCTCTGATCTATCCTCGTCATACCCCATCCTGTTGATTTCTAGAAAAATATTTTGTCTAACCTTCTTCATTAGAAAATATCACTCAACATCTACTTTGGCAATTTGTTAACCGTCTCCGTCTTACTCTTTTCTGGTCTAACTCTTTAATACGCAAGAAATTAACAAAAGTCATCTTGTGGAATAATCACCGCCCTCTTTATTCACAACTCTTCCTTATGTCTCTTCAAGTAGAACTAGAAGCAATTATAACAGACCATATGCTCGCACAATTAAATCTGAAAAATCAACGATACCTTATTCGACAGGCATTTTATGAGATGAAAAAAAGTTTTAGGCATGAAATTTATAACTTACTGTCAACAAGTAACGCCTCTTTTTACTTTTCCTATCACTAATACACTGTTGTCAGTTTACTTTATATTTTTTATTATTTGTAGCATTACTGTGTTATGTAGAGAGGAAATTAGATGCAGTATTGTACTACGTACTGAGAGTTCAACTCCGTATCGAAGGCTAATATTATTATTGTTACCATTAATATTGTACTCTGATTGGGTTTATTAACACACAGCTTGTATAATTCCAGGTCATCTACAGTCACCAATTATGATGCAAAAGGATGGATATAACTTTTATAGCATAAACGGAAAAAAAATCGAAAGAAATCGGTAACATTTGAAAGATAGTACAGTCGACTACACATATTTCAAGCAGTGCGTTGAAATTTTGTTTCACAATATGCGTTAGGTTTACGCCAGTAGTCGGGTATTTCAACAGATATTTTCTTGGAGGTTGACCACTTATGTAGACTTGTGGCACACTACTGTAGATAGTCAATTTCTTCCTCTAGTTGTCCGAAATTTAAAATTCATCCTCACCTCGTTTTACACTTGTGGAAATGTATCTCATTGGTTTAAGCATTCAATTTCCAGTTGATAGACCCCCACCCCGGCGATTCAAATCACGATCTACCTACTTTAGTTGAATAGTATCATCAGCCTCCATATGCAGTTTGTGTGCCTCATAGCATGTTGCGTGGAAAGTTTGTTCCAGGTAACGGATTTCTAACTGTTTTACATTTACTAGTATTTTTGTTGATCTGTCTGAGTGTCATAGGGGCGAACAAAGTTTGCCATTAACTCTTACAACATCCGTGTATTTCCTTTCATATTGTTACGTTGTGGTCATTTCCAGTTACACGTAAAGCTCTTAATTACACTTTAAACTTCATTGGATATCATTTGGTTATCTATCTCAGACATAACTCGAGTATACTTATGAATATTTTTTAATTTCTGTTACTGTGTTTAAGTTAGAAAAGTCGAGTGTTTAGTTTTACAATGAAGTCAACCATCTCATTTTTTGATCAAAAGTGTGGGAATGTGGTGAAGGCTGTCTGCAAGACAAAATTGTAGACAAAACTTGACGTCAATGTTTACGTCCCGAATCGGGGTCATGAGAAGAAACAAGAACAAAGCCTAACCTTGAGGAATTCACCAACCAATCACAGCAGACTTAGCGTGGGTGGATACGATTCGCAGATATATCACCGGAGTATCTAAGATACCGCAACAAAGAGATGACAGAATAACCTTCAGCAGGAAAACAACCAATCAGAAGACGTTGCTCCTCTGCTAACAATAACAGATAACAATGTACATAAAAATACCCTGATTTTCTCAATAAACGATCTGTTGCCTGGCCCTTGTCTTCTGTCGTTACAGGGATAGTAAATTTTAAGTTTAGAACGGTTGTTTTCCCTTCAACCATTGAGATATAACTGCCTATTATACCGTCTGCTTTGTTTTAAAGGTTGATTTCATCTCTTGATTAATGCACCCTTTCAGAATCCTATTTATCTCTCTTATATCCAAGATATTTGATATTATTAGCTGCCTTCGATTTCATTTATTTTCAATGCTTTCATTTATTATTTTCTTTTTTCTACTGTTTTCCACATTCTGTTTAGGGTTGGTCAGCTAACCAAACATTGGTTTGGTCCTACGGTTGTGATTGGACTGCTTTCAGCTCAACAGGAATTACTAGCAGTAACTCAGATGCATTAATGGAATTTTTGAATTCTTTTGAAACTAAACACTTAGAAAAGACCAGCAGTACGAATAATAATGATAATAGTAGTAGTAACAGTAATACTAATTATGTTTCATCGAAAACATCTGATTTAACATATCAGAATAGTAAAGACAAAGATGATATGAATACATGCGATGATTGTAAAACACAAACAACTCTCTTCTCTGAATTGAAACAAACTCTGGAATCAGATATCTCAGTTGTTATGCAAAAACGTGCCGAACTTGGATATGGACTTGATGTAAGTTATAACCATTTGGAGCTTATAGCAAATTCTTAACATTTAACAAGTGTGAAGAAGGTGTGAAAATATATGAAATTGATAATAGTGAATTAATTATTAAAGCAAAAGCAAACTAAAAGTAAAATTAAAGATTAAGAACAAAATCAAAAATATATATATATTTTTTTTTACAGGGAAGGATAAGTGAAGAGGTTAAGACCAAGGTAGAATAAGAGACTGGACAAACTTTTTCTGTATACAGAGATCAGGGTTGTATTGATGTATTGCCAGTGCCTCCGCCATACACAAAAGCCGGAACCTGACGCCCTTTGTACAATTTGGCTTCACTTTGTAGATGATGTTGAAAGACGACTCTGGTGGAGCTACGTGGCCTGAGTTCACCAAATGCTCGAGAATTGAGCTAGTAATTGTCTTGTATTGTCCCTTTGCTAACCATGCCGGATAATGTTCAGAGATGCGTTTGGAAAGCGTGCGCTTTGTGCGGCCAATATAACTTGCTCCACACGAGCATGTGAATTTATAAACACACATTGAGGTGGCCCAAAGCGGCAGCTTATCCTTCACACATCCGTTGATCATTTGTCGGCTGTAGAAATTGATACGTAGCTCAGCCATAAAGAAGGCTTTCCTCAGTGATCTGCGTAAGCGATTCTTCAAGATCTCAGCTGCAGTATCACCTTTAAATTCAACACTCATAACATTTACTTTTATTGTAGTTTCGTTTATAAGTATCGTCTCACTGGTCAGGTTGAAGAGTTTCTACCCAAAAGGACGAATTGACATCGAGACGCGTAACTGACTGACTGGTTTCAACGCAGAACTTTGCACAGATGTGCAGCAGTTAGAGTTGCCGCACTCCATGTAGTCCACAAAGCAAAAGAAGAGAGTAAAGAGAGATAATATCCAGAAATGTGAGATACGTAAGTAGAACAAGTTAATGAAACAAGGTGAATAACACCATATCCGTAAAAATGATGAAGTAGATACTAGAGTATTAAACAGGATTATCTAGTTAGAACAAGGTCAGGTTAAGGAAAGATTAGGGTTAGGTTAGGGTTGAGTTTCAGACTCCAATCAACCTTTTTAGAGTAGAATTGAAAACATTTATTTCCTGATATGAATTTAAAACAAGCAATAAAGGTCAATAAAGCAGGATTTAATGAATTCATCAAATCTCGGTAGAACTCGTCAGCTGAATACTCTACATACACGGGTATATATATATACTTTTGAAATTACATAGGAAGTACTTGGTGGTTTCAAGATCATTGATGCATTCATTCCCCTTGGTTCTCTGTTCTTTAAGGTTTTCAATTTATTCATAAACAGAAAAATACCTCATCACAAGTGGTCAGTCAGTTAGTGCAAGGATTAACTTATTTCTGTTTATTTCTTATAGAATTCTCTCGAATCAAACTAGTTTACGAAATATGCAGGAGTAAAGGATTCATAACTATTAGATTTGTTTGTAATCTACAATTGCAATAAAGGAAAAAAAGCTCATGTTAGTGTATATTCTGCCTCGAACAAATATCAATAAGAAAAGAAAAATATTTTACAACTAAGGAACATTGGAAAGCTTCACTTCGTTTGAAACCCTTCGGCAATATGCAACCACAATTCAAACGGATACGGAACCCAGCACTTTTGGGATACAAGATGGGCATGTTATCTCAGCATAGCACATGTTGGTTTTCCTACGACAGCCGAACAACCCTGATCGCAAATCTATGGTGTACATGGTGTATGAAACTGTTTTGGTCACCGGCACACCGCCCCCCCTGACTTGTGAATCCGACTACAAGTCATAGGCTCCGAGGGTGACCACTTAAGACAACATTCTATTTCGGCCTGAGTGCCTGAGCAGCCCCAGCTCTCTCACAAACTCTGAGATTTCGTATGCCGCATCTCATGTTGTCCATAATGTACTAAATGTGTCTTAATAACAGCGCAGCACAGTGACTCTTTCGTGGTTTAGATTTCACACTAACTGACACAAATAGGCGAATATCAGACGAACGTTGACAACCGATCCATTGGGGCCAACATGAATTTTAGAATAACTGAATTGATGAGTACATCCAACAAATTCACACCCTGTCTTTAAGTTTTTAGTCATTGCAGACTGATCTGATAGCGTCATCATACATTTCATAGGCGTGAACGTATATCAAAGATATCCAAATTTTCGCTGAATAAATTCACTATAATTTTCTATTTTTCCGGTTTGTTCACCCTCTTTTGTGTACTCTAAGTTAAAGTAACTCTTTTAATGATTGCAACTGAAGTTGATTCGTCGGTATATTTAAAAAAATTAGATATCGCTGATATTGGGTATCTTTGGCGAACATATGTCTATTGTTCCTTCAGACTACAATTCTTCATAATCTGTTACTTGATTTAATAGATCCAACCAAGGTGTTTTGACAAGCATACCCTCCTGAAATGGTTCATAAACAGATATTTCCAAAATCCTTTTCACCTGATTAACGAAACTGATTGTTGACTTATAAAAAAGAAATATGGTAAATATCGGATCCCAGTTATTATATTTGTGTTGGAGTATCTGTTGAGTGGTAAAGGTTAGGTCCATACAATTGGCACTTGTGTTACAGTTGCGTGCACTCACTTAAGAGCTGTCTCAAAATATCTATCGATTGTAAGCCTAGAAATCAGTGGGTAAGTGTGACAACCCTGAATAAATAACAAACACCATAACTTTATTTACATCTCTGGTTGTATTATGCTTATAACTTTTATAACATTGATAATGAATTATAGTCCCATTTCTATGCAGACTAACAAGTTGTGTATTCATCATCTTACTCTGTAGGCTGAAGGTGCCACGTATGTTGATATTGTCAAGGATGATGCTCAATTGAGGACAATGTGGACGTGGATTAAATGTAACTACATTTCTTGTCTTTTCCTTATCATCAATGCTTTTATGAAATTTTCATTGGTTATTACTTCTAAATAGTAGTTTCATTAAACAAGTGGAAACCTGCTTAATGAATTAAATTAGTCTTATCGCCTCATAGCTTAGGGGGCAGTTGCCTTAATCACTGTCGTGCAATATTTTCTAAATAATCATGAATGGCGCGTGTTTTAAAAAAAAGATAATTACTCTAAAGATGATCATCATTGTCTGTGGACAGAGGAGTTAGGAAAGTTCAGTACTAAAAATAAAACGTAACCTAATATTCTATCGTTTTCTGTTCCCGACAGTAGAATCCTAATAATAATAACAATAGTAATAGCTTTATTCTGAAAAAAATGTTCATATAATGTACAGAATTTTCATCACAGCATATTGCATGATATTTTCTCTTCGTCCAGGATCTTCAAATAAAAGATTAGTTGGTTACAGGACTTCATCATGAGCTGACATTGGTTAGAGAACCATTTGGAAACCTGGGAGTACCGCATAGCTGTTTCGTCTTGGTTTGGGACTCTTCTACAGTACGCACCCACCACCAGGGTTCCAAACCAGGACCTTCTGGTTACAAGGCGAGCTCGTAGACCGCTATGCTATCATTAAACCATCAATCATTTCTGAAGTGCAGCGCCAAAAGTGGTGCATCCTAGTATTATTGTACACTAAGCTGAAGGTAATGATAGGAAAACAAAAAATGGGAATCAAGCAATCTAAGTTGCTAAATCGTATAAAATAGAGTAAAAGGGCATAAAATAAAGAAATGTGAAATCATAATAAGTAAAATAATGGCTGACGTTTCGTTCAAAGTGGAGTCGGATGGTTGCAACTGTCGGCCAGTTGTATTCGCTGTAGCTTTTCCGCATCCATTCAGTTTTGACCTCACACATTTATTGCGAAGTTTAATTACTTTTCGCTTTCTTTCAGTTTAGTCTAATTTAAGCAAACATAATACGGTAATTCAGACATTGACGTATTCATCAACCTTTATTACGCACAACTTAGATGATGAAAGTGTATGACTTCCGTGATGGACCTATCTAATGGTTTGGTGCTTCATGGGACTATAGATATTAAATGTCGTCGATTTCCGAAAAGCTAAGCAGAATTCGGATAAGATTTCAGTTTGCACGAAAATGAATACTCAGATATTTCACCCTTCTTTCCTTAATTTATTTATTAATGATGTCATTATGTGAAGCCGTTTTTTTTTTTGACACCTGTACTGTACACCGTTTAGGTTATGTACACGTTTTTTCTTAATTGTCTTGTATTTTAGATATCAATGATTATATGGATGACTCCTTGATGAGACGTCGCTGTAAGTTAAAAAAAACTGTTTTCATGTAATTGCAGTAAATTCAAAACATTTTTCTTTATTTTGAGGTGGAAGTATTGTTATTGATATCGAAAGTAGAAGGAATCATTATTTCACAGTAAGATTCAGTAAGTTACTCATGCACCCAAAAGCATGAAACATTTTATGTGAATAAAAAAAATTCGACGTCGTAGTCTTTATACTTATCAAAAACAGCCACTTTTCATTTCAAGTATGTTTATCGATTTCTCAGTAACTACTTTGCAAATCAGGTAACGAATTGAATACCATTAACTTAACAACCTTTTGGATTGCTTTATGTAAGTGGATTTGTGGCTCATTGGCTCTAGCAACTGGGTGGTATCATCAACCCTCCTAAATAAAAAGTGTGCCTCATAGGTTGACACTGGCTAATCAATCATTCAAGTGCATCACGGGATTTTCCTAGGAAGAGAATTGATTCTATCATTGTTGATCGTACTAGTTTTAATCGACGTAATCTATTTTATAGACAATGTATTGTAGGCATGCCCCTGTAGAAGTGTTGCTATTTTTTCGTTGTGTATAGGTGTAGGTAAACTGTGGTTTTTTTTCCTCGAGCATCAAATGAAAATTCGTACTAATAGCTAAAGTCGAACGATAATTCTTTTTGAAATAATAGATATTTGCAGTTCAAGTAGTAATTTCGGTGTGGTTTTAGTTTCTGAGCTGGGTGGTTTAACTGCTAAGCTTTCATTATCTTTATAGACAACCTCTTCAGTGCAAATGTCAATAGTATGAAGTGAATCTGTTTGAATTCTCCATGAATGATATAATGGTGTCTCCTGACAACTTTTTTGTGATTGGTTGTTAGTTTGCATTGGTATTTACCGTTATTATCGACTTGGAGTTTGACGCTTTTATCATGTGGCTCATTCTTTATTAGTTGATAAATTTGATTTATGGTAATTGTATCTGTGTTGATCACTGATTCGCCTGAGTATTAGATTTCTAGGAATTCCCTGGCATTTCGAGTGTTTCTGTTGTTGAAAATCTCGACATTTACCCGATCACAACAATGTCCATACTTGTCTACTTGAAAGAATAATTGTCGTGTCTTTTGACAACTGTTTTCTGTTCTTAGATTTAGATTTGAAGGGGATGCTATTGTGACCCCAATACAGTGCATATCACAGTTTTGTTCCAGCTGGCTAGAGTGTTTGGCATCTGCGTAAATGTTTTTGTGGGAAATTCCTTGGGAAACATTTTGCTTCAATTCACCCATGAAGCATAATATTTAAATGAATAAATAGTCTATAATATTAACGAAGTCACTTTCATTTTGTTTTCTGATTACGCTGTTCCATTGAATATCTGGGGTTACCTCCCTTCACACTAAGGGCGGTACTTGGGGAAAGTGTTCCACCTGGTGATCAAAATCAGATTTCACATTTTTCATTTTGCCAGCTGTGCATTGTAATTTCCGATCCCCTAATTCATTTACAGTTTATAATATTCCACAAAAATGTCATTGGATTTCGGTTGTTTAATTTTTTCTAATTTTTATTTCAGTAGAAGTTGAATCATCTCAGTCGAATTTCTCAAGCAACCAACGTGATGGCGGTAGCACTTCCATCTCCAGACGCCGTGTACCATCAAGGTGTTTAGGTGTAATTTCAGTTGTGTGCGAAAGTCCTTTATCACCTGGTGCTGCATTTACAAGTGAAGTTATCGAGCACGTTGAATGGCAGGGAATAGATGCTAAGTTACCATTCTCACGATACTGGAGTCCTGAAAGGTACTATCTTGTAAAATGCTCTGTATTTGAAATTTAGTATGATGTATCTTGAAGGTTTTAGAAAATAAAACATTTGTATCACAATATATGTGATGAATACTGAATGACTGTCTCAACATGGTAATTTGCACAGAACTGCACCAGTTCAAGTTGCCATACGACCTATACCACACAAAGGTAGAGAAAAGAGAGATTTAAAAGTACTATTTTAAGCATTATAGTCTGGGAGAAAGAATAGTAACATGGAAAAACCTGAGGATTTAATTGACCTGGGAGATTATCAAGAATGAATGCATCCGCGTCAGCCACTGAGAACGATTTTTAGCCCTATCATCAATAGTTTCAAGCCATTAGTTATTAGCATCCTTAGGACCTCAACCAGTCAGTTTATATCTCGCCAGGATGGCCCATACTAACCGTCAAAGGCTTTGTAGACTGATTTCAGGTTTTGGTACAACCACCCTTAACCCTTTTCCAACCTAGTCCTATATCAGTTAGCACTGCTCTTGACGATCGCGATGGTTAGGCATGTGTGACATGTGTCTTAGCCACCTCATTCAATGTAGCTTCATAAACGCATATATATCATAAGGCCATGAGACTGCCCAGCAAGAAGAACTGGTGCTGTAATTAATGTTTTCGACTTCGAATCCACTAGAGTAAAATGAAGTATCTTGCCCGACAAATTACATGTTTACGAGTTATACCAAAGTTGCATTTAGACAGTAAAAATATTGATTTGTGCTATATGTATTTAGTCTTTGACCATTCATCTTCAAATTTAAGCTTATATTAAACTGTGGTTACACCACACACCAAGTGATTCACAATGGAAAGGTCAGGGAAGAGTTTGAAGTGAAGAGACAATTAAGATCAGGCTGTCTACTGTTACCGATGATATTTCTGATTTTGGTCAGCTGGGTCATGCAACATACCTTGGATAGTGAGGAGGCAAGAATACGTTAGACCGACAAAATGGGTTTAAAAGACCTTAACTTTGCCGATGATTTGTGTCTTATTTTACAGAAATCTGAATTCCTACAGGTAAAACCAACAATTTGGTAGTACAGAAAGTGAAGAAAGGCCTTCAAGTGCACACAAAGACACCTAACCACCACCTACAGTTACCGATCACCATCACTGGGAGTCCAAAGAAAGTCATCTCATTCACATACCTAGGATTCATCTTTTCAATTACTGACAGCACGGGATGATCGGCAAGGCAAGATAAACATTCATTGGTCTGAAACACCAATGTACAGTCAGTGCTTCTATATAGTGTGTGCGCGTCACTGAAAGCATTGCCTAGATGCTACTACAGATTTTCATCGACTGTCTTTGCTCCATACTAAAGATCATATGTCCACAAAGGATAAGCAACAATGAACTCTGGTAAAAAAAAAAACCAACCAAGAACTTATCACTTAACAAATATGCGGAGAAAATGGAGATGGATTGGACGTACATTTAGGTTACTTTTGAGTGAAATCGCGCTTCAGGTCGTCAAGTGGAATCCAAATTGGAAGAGAACAATAACTTGGGCGTCACATGGAGGGGATTGTATGATGAAATGGAAACTTGCATGCAATTGTAATGCCAGCTGGAAAGGACTGAAAAGAAGCGATTAAAATGTACACGTGCCGCTGAAGTTTTATGTTGCACTAAGGACCCAAGAGAATATTAATATTGTTGGGCTATCAGATGGACAGTCACGCATGATTTATTCACATAAATTTGGGCGTTATCATTGATGATTGAAATGAAATGACTTTGTTAGCAGATATGTTTCGTAGGTCATCTAGTTCAACTACAAACTATTAGTCTGCATGCCACTAGCCCTAATCCCATGCCCGACCGAAAGCTGCTACCTTGACGTGGTGGTCGGCCTTGAACACCTCAATGACCTAATCAAGCTATACTGGCTGAGACTTATGTCTCTTGAGGTCCTACCATGCCAGAAAGGTTCTTTGGATAGCGGTTAAACAAAAAGCAGCTACCCATTCCAACACTATGATACATAAAAACTCAGAAAATATCATGCCGAATCGGCCGTGGCCCGGATTAACAACAACCGCGCTTCCTGCTGCTGTGTCACAGGGCAGGAGTGATAAATATGCTACTGAGACACCAAACAATAAAGAACAAACAAAAACAGACCGCATGTGACCGGCCTCAAGCAGTTGTCCCCTGGGCTCTGCGGTCATGCAACCAACTTCCACGGTGTGGGCAGCCGGGAAGTAACAATCGCTCTCACAATCCGACATGCACACGAAACCTCTTTATCCTGCCTGATCCCATGTCTACGTTTTATGTACACCATTGTCAATAGTAATCTGTCGATCCCAACCTATCAGAGGTAGCGCCAGTATCAATTAACTTTGTATCTTAAACGCATTATCAATGATAATGAGTGTGAAATCTGTATAGTCTTTGTCTAGAAAGTATAATCCTTTATCGTAATATATCGCCCTAGAGTGTTTTCTCCCCGATTTTAAATAAACTAATCGTGAAATACTGAATTCAATGAATTATTCTGATTCCACATAAACTGAAAAAGTTACAATGAAATTTTCCGGTATTTAGTGGTTTTTTACACAGCTACGGTAAAGCTTTGACTACTTTCCCTAATTTTGTTTATTTTACTATATAATTGAATTTAGTACAATACTTAGGTATTGTTACCACGTTGTTTCCCATTCTCACCTTGCTAATTAAATGAATGGAGCTGGAATTTTAGAGAAGAGTTCAGAATTTGTAGTAAAATATAAATTTACTTAAGGTATACCTGAACAGTACAGCATACAGATAGTGTTATTTAATCAGTGACATTTTAGGCTGATTGGCTTCAACACTTAGTTCTCCGCGGCTTGGTCACGGGTTCAATTTCCTCTCCACGTAAGTTAGCCTGGACAACTGGGTAGTATCATCATCGCTTACACGATAAATGTGGTTGTTAGTCTCGTATATGGAGAATCTGTTTCAGGTAATTGAGCTTGAAGAGGTGCACTTGATCCCCAATAATCCTATCAGTTAGACATATGAACAATAAATAGAGTTATGTATATTCATACGCTTATTCTCCTTCGCGAATTCAAGTGAAGGAACCTGCACAAACGGCTGTTTTTGCTTTATTCAAAGAGTTATGTATCCTAACTCTTTCTCTTCAGTACTTTTCACTTGGGAAATAGCTTTAAACGATAAATTTCTCAAAATTTGTTTTCGCTTTCTCATTATACAGGTCACGTGTTCTTCGTCTGTGTATGTGGCCGTTGGATGATACAGATGTTGTGCAACGTCCGGTTTTTGAAAGGTTAGTGTTATCTAATAGCTTTACATTCCCACATCCCGTTGAATATTTAATTCTGAATTATTTTGAATTTGATTATAAGAGGATTATTTACTCTAAATGGATGAACTAATATTACCATTTAGTACTTCAAGCTGTCTTAACATTTATCTACACAATTCGTAAAAGTTCGGCAATCAAATTGTAAATCTGTTGAAGCATCGTCGAAACTCTACTCGATATGTCAACAGATACTGGATATTTTAGTAAATTAAAGTCACTCGATAAGAAATCCTAAATAATGATTTCAACAACTTTCACCCATTGCATATGAAGCGACTCTAGTGGCCCAAATACCTAGTGGGATTGTGCTTTGGAATTGGACATGGGTTTCATTGAGAACATCATTTCTAACTGAGAATTCAGGTACCAGTAGCATCCGAGAAACAAAAAGAAATGAACACGTTTCTGGATTCTACTATTCGCTATCATCAGCCCAACAAAAACTGTAAATCTCGTCTCACAAACCATAAATCAATCTACTTACTGCTCTGTCGATCATGCAGTCTACAATTTCTTGGATCATTAGCCAAGGGTTTTTTGCATTACGAATACGAATTTGTCCAGTGACTGTCAACTTTCTTCCATGTTAATTTCACTCGTTGAGGTATACGTTGTTTAGGTGATGATGGAAGCATGTACCTTTTTTAACTCGGTGTCTACACCTTTGTCGGAAGCAGTGTAAATTGTGAAAGCCCCTTCTTTCTATGTTATTTCATTAGACACTAAACAACCAATACTGATGGATATTTTCAGATAGGTGAAATAATTATAGTGTGTAACCACTTTACTCCCGATTATTCATTTGTGCGTCATATCAAACCAGTCCTAAAGTCATTATTTCACGTGTGATAGGTTAGAAGATAAATTATTTTACCATATGTAAAATCCATGTCTCAGCGTTGCTTTTCAAACGAGCTATGGTGTCCGCATCTTTAAAGTCAACCTGGAAGTCTACTGAGAAAAGCCCAGTCTACCTAAAAAAAACTGGAAAGTAAAATTGTTGACAGACAGATGTCAACCTGGAATAATGTTGTATTTCTGCTTGTGTGGGTATATTAAAATTACTAGTAAATTACATGATATCGTTTCAGTACTATGTGAAACTTACTTACTTTATGTGCCATGCAACAACTGGATTAATTAACTTTATGATGTCGTATTCCCTGTAATCGATTGTGCATTTGTGTTACTGATATGAGTTATTCTGTTATAGCTTATTTAGTGACTCACTAGAGTATCCCTTATCTATGGTGAAAGAACTTGTCCTGCTGTTTTGTAGTGATCATTTAGTTTTTATATTCTCTAGATTCATAATTTTCGAGGTAAATATCAGTGTGTAATCATGGCATTGCAAACTCTGTAGGATAGCTTTCTTTTCTTCTATGGTATAACTCCTGGCAATTGTACTCCTCTGCTTCAAGTGGTGATCTCTATCAGCACGATAAAGATGGTGACTAATGATAATAATAATAATTGGCTTCATTCCAAAACAGTACTTGTGATACATAATGCAGTTCTCAGCATTTCACTACAGTATTGCATCCATTTTGTACATTAACAATAAATAAAATTCTACATAGATTATGGGTAGTTTCAGTTAATTTTGACAACAACATATTAGCATATCGGTAGCAAAGCCAAAAGTAAACAAAATGTTTGAAGGTGTTAGAAAAGTAGATACTAGCATATTAACTGGCGTAAGCGGTAACAAAAAGGTCGAGGTATACGGAGTGTGAAAGAACGAAGAAGAATGTTTTAAGTAGAGTTTGTAAGGAAGGGAGAAACAAAACAGCACATAACAAAAAAGCAAACAAAAAAAGAGAAAAGGAAAAGAAAGAAAGAAAAACACTGTACCTATAAATGATATGAGTTGGAAAGGCGAGATCCAATTGTTCTACTGACTGTTTAATAAATTATAAGTTTCACGCCTAATGCTTTCTTTATCACACATAACACGAGCCAAGTAGGGTATGGTTGAGTTTTTGTACTTGCTAGTGCGAGCATATAGTTTTCTATGTAGGCTTCTGGTCCTGCCTGATGAGATACAAGGGAAGAGTTGTGAATGAAGAGGGTGATGTGAGTTAGATAGAATGAATTTAGCCCATTTTTCACATGAGTCCAAGTGCCTGTCAACCAGAATATTAACAAGCTGATTAAGTGGCACATTGCTTACCCTGCTGACAACCTTTAATATCCTGTGTAATAAGGCATAGTCTTTCTTCAGTAGCCCAGGAAAAACTAAGGAGGAACAATAGAGAATAATAGTCAGGATGCAAGAGTTAACGAATCGTCAGAGTAAGGGTTGGGTTATTCCAGAATGTTTTTCTTGATGTAGAAGGTAAGACGGAATATTTTCTTAGAAATCATCAAGATAATAGACGACCAGGAAAAGTCAGCAGATAGAATGACGTCAAGATGTTTAATTTCCGACTTGGTCTCTATTTCCGTGCCATCTATGTTGCACACTACCTCGTGAGTGCTAATCAGTTTGTTTGGGTCAGACTTATGCCTAAAGGTGAAATTGACTGTTTGACATTTAGAGGGATTTAAGGTAAGACCGTTTTCCTTGGACCACTGGCTGATTTCTGATAAAAAGCCATTTAGTTTGGAGCAGTCACTTTGACACTTGGCAGGCAAAGATACAGTCAGGTCATCAGCATATTTAACAAAATTAATGTCATTTGAAGATGGTAAGTCATGTAGAAAGAAAGAAAAGAGAAGTAGGGAGTGTACAGCACCTTGGGGACACCAGCTTCAGTGAGCACAGTGGGGGATGATTTACCTTTGTATACACTATACTGCATTCTGTTAGAGAAGTAGGAATGGAACCAGTTAGTGACCCAGGACTCAGTTTGTGTCATGGAGAGCTTATTTAGGAAGAGATATCTAGGTGCAGAATCGAAAACAGAAGTGAAGTCGAGAAATGTGCAGCGAGCGTATTTGGCACCCTTATCTAATGATGCGACGATCCTGTTGTGTAAGACGGTGTCTAAAGTGCTCCTAACTTGTCTATATGCAAATTGTTTGGGGTATTCAAAACTTTTAAGGGAGGGTTCGAGTTTAAGAAGTACTAGTTTTTTCATGAGCTTTAGAAACGGGGAAGTAATGGCAATGGGTCTGAATTTTACATTCTTGCTATTTCCAGGTTTAGGCACAGGAAATATTTTAATGTCTTTCCACACAACAGGTACAACGTTTTTGGAAAAAGAAACGTTTAGGATGTTAAGAGAGAAATCATAAGATCAGTCAGATACTGATAAAATATATCCTCGAAGACATATTACGTAATGTAGGTTTCGATCTATTAGGGGGTCACTAATTGAAAATTAGAAAAGGTGCAGAATTTCGGATGACGTAATGAGTGTGAGTAAATGACTAATTAATATAGTTGTGTAGAGTGGACAAGAACTAGTGGAAAGACGATAAGGTGTTTTTATAAATTCTGTATGAAAACGCGATACTATTAACAAACAGTAATAGAGTGATAATAAAATATGGATGATGAGAATGATGATAAAATAACAGTAATAATAATAGTAAGCTTATATATATTTAAAAAGAAGCAAAATTATTATAAGAACTTTACTCTGGTAACGGTAGGGCGAGTGAATGTAAGTATTACTTTTGAATGCAGAAGTCCAATATCACATCCCGAAGTGCCAATAAATCAGCTATTTACAGATAGCGTATGCGACGTCCGTTTGTACGATAGTGAGGGACTCTATGTAGCACTGTGAAGCATTCATGTAGGGGTGCTCGATGTCCAGGGTTGGTAAGGTGTTCGGGGATAGAGCTGCTGCTATTCTTCTTTTCTCCTGTGGGCTAGTCAGCCAAGCTGGACAGTGTTCCAGAATACGTTTGTGGACTTTATTTTGCGTATGGCCGATATACTTTGCTCCACTTGAGCAAGTAAATTGATGACTGGTCAAAAGCGGTATCTTGTTCTTAACGTTAGACTGGATTAACTGTCTAGTGGAGAATGTGATGCTTGAGGTGGTTGCTTGAAATGTCTTCTTTAGGCGTTTGGAAAGGCTGTTTCTAAGAATTTGCGCTGCGATATCACCTTTGAATTCTAGTTTCATGAAGAGAGTCTTCTTAGGAACAGTTGTGATTTTTGGCGACGGAGGCTTTTCCTTCCTGTTTTTGTAGATGAATCTTGGTGGATACCCGTTCTGTAGTAGGGTTTCATGTAGTGAACATAATTGGTCTTATGATTTCTTTGTTGAATATAATTACGATTGTATAGCTTATGAAAATAAATCATCGAAAAGGAAATTTTCTTCGCTGTTTACGTCTTTTTCTCATGACTCTAAAAGTGTTAACCTAAAAGCTCAGTTTCCTTAAGGCTGATTAATTTCTTAAGTTAAAATATCACAGCTTTTTACTTCCATCTTCGTTATTACTTTACTTCTTTACGTGATCTAAAACTCTTTTCTTGTATTATAAAGGTTATTTCACATACGTCTTTCTATTATAATTTAAATATCATCAGCAAATACCAATCAGTTATTGTTAATTTATTTGACTTTGTTTATTTTCATACAATGCTGCGGTGAACGTGCATAACTCTTTTTGTATTTATTGTAAAGCTTGTGCTCTGAAGGACAATACGAACGAGCAGCTGCAATGGCCTTAATGAATTTAAAATTTGACTGGGCCTTGAGTTTTTTGAATAGAGCATCTTCAGGTAATTGAGCTGTTTTTAATTCATTTTTGGTTCAAAAATGTTTAACTCGTTTTATGACATAAACTATGCAGTTGTCTCTGTTAGTTATTAAAAAATTAAAAAATAAAATCCCATAGATTTACTCTTTTACTGAGATCTATCTCCTTTGCTTCTTATACTGAAATGGTATTCTGGTGTATAATACTAACTAGTGTTCGTAACGTCTTTAGAAAGTGTAGCGACGGCAGTATGAAACAATCTCGGAAAAAAATGGCACTATAATTAGCTCCCAGGATAGACGACTAGATCGTTGGAAAGAGCAGTATGAGGAGCAGTTTAATTGGCCCACAGCCACGCTCAACCTTCCGAACATCCAACACCTCCCTGAATGGGATATAGACACAGGTCCTCCATCCCTAACCGAGGTTACTAAAGCTGTAACCAATCTGAAACTAGGCAAAGCAGCGGGACCTGATGGAATGACTCCAGAGGTATTTAAGTACGGTGGAGACAGCTTACTGTCTACATTAACTGAGGTTCTAGGTAGCGTCTAGGAATCAGAGGAAGTCCCATCGGGTTGGTGTAAGTCACTGATTATCCCCATATACAAGAAGGCAGACAAGTCTTCCTGTGATAGTCACAGAGGGATTAGCTTGACTAATATAGTATCTGTCTGTCTGTTTTCGACATAGAACTTTGCACAAATGTGCACCAGTTCAAGTCGCCAAACTCAGTGTAGCACGCGAAGCAAGAGAAGAAAGTACAAGAAAAGCATAATAGAAACAGTGAGCAGAGGTGTGAGACAAAGGAGTAATAAAGAAATACAAAACAGTTTCATTGAAGATCATAAGTCACAGGGAGTGGATGCATATGCGCCACTGAGAACGATTTTGAGCCATGTCACCAATTGTTTCCAACCATAGATTTTTACCGTCCCGAGGACCCAACCAGTTACGCAGTCTACACCTTCCTACGTGGCTTAGACCAACTGTTGTGGATTTCATTGACTGGTACCAAGTTTTTGTTTGACCGCCGCTAGCTTTTTTCCAGCCTCACCCTATATCCGCTAACATTACTCGTCGAGGGAGGCGATGGCTTGGCATACGTAACACATGTCCTAACCATCTCAGTCTTTGTAGCTTCACGACTTCGTCGATTGATTTCCCCTGTTTACCTAGAACTCTACGCCTAACCTCCATGTTGCTCACCTTATTATGCCACTTTACACGGGAAATAATATAAATAATATAATATATATATAATATAATATATAGTATCTAAAGTCCTAGGCTCAATAATCATGCGTAGACTGAGTGGTGCTCGGGAGGCACAAACACGAGAGAGCCAGGCAGGCTTTCGACCAGGAAGAGGGTGTATTGATCATATCTTCACCCTCCGACAGATTCTAGAACATAGGCATTCCTACCGGCGTCCAACAGTCATTATATTTCTTGACCTAAAGGCAGCATTCGACTCTGTCGATCGAGAAGTCCTCTGGAGATGCCTGGCTGTAAAGGGAATCCCGAGAAAATATATTCCACTGATTAAGGCACTCTACTCGTACTCATACAGCCAGGTGAGGGCTTACGGTGAGCTGTCATCTGAACTGATGACGACTAGTGGTGTCCGTCAAGGATGCCCATTATCCCCTTTTCTATTCAACTTCATCATAGATGTGTTAATGGACTTAACCCTAGGTGACTTCAGCGACTCAGGGATTGACTTGCTACCTGGGACTAATCTCGTTGACTTGGAATATGCAGACGATATAGTCCTTCTAGGCGAAGACGCTGACGAAATGCAGAGTCTTCTAAACACCTTGAGCTGTAATCTACGAATGTTTGGCATGCGATTCGCTCCCGCCAAATGCAAGATGATGATATAGGACTGGACTACATCGACGCCTAGTTTAAAAATAGGAAGTGAAGTGGTAGAGCACGTTGACCGCTTCACTTATTTGGGAAGTACCATCAGCCCCAACGGGCTGATCTCTGACGAAATCTCAGCACGAATACAGGGGGCTCGTTTCGCATTTGCCAGTTTACGCCGACTGTGGCGTAGACGAGATGTTCGACTATCGACCAAAGGGTGGGTGTACTTCTTAGCAGTCCGCTCCGTCCTCCTTTATGGTTGTGAGACCTGGCCACTCAGAGTGGAAGACATGAAAAGACTAGCTGTCTTTGATCATAGGTGCCTTCGCTCTATTTCCCGTTTAAAGGGCATAATAAGGTGAGCAACATGGAGGTTAGGCGTAGAGTTCTAGGTAAACAGGGGAAATCAATCGACGAAGTCGTGAAGCTACAAAGACTGAGATGGTTAGGACATGTGTTACGTATGCCAAGCCATCGCCTCCCTCGACGAGTAATGTTAGCGGATATAGGGTGAGGCTGGAAAAAAGCTAGCGGCGGTCAAACAAAAACTTGGTACCAGTCAATGAAATCCACAACAGTTGGTCTAAGCCACGTAGGAAGGTGTAGACTGCGTAACTGGTTGGGTCCTCGGGACGGTAAAAATCTATGGTTGGAAACAATTGGTGACATGGCTCAAAATCGTTCTCAGTGGCGCATATGCATCCACTCCTTGTGACTTATGATCTCCAATGAAACTGTTTTGTTCTTCGTTATTACTCTTTCTTTGTCTCACACCTCTGCTCACTGTTTCTATTATGCTTTTCTTGTACTTTCTTCTCTTGCTTCGCGTGCTACACTGAGTTTGGCGACTTGAACTGGTGCACATTTGTGCAAAGTTCTATGTCGAAAACAGACAGACTGTATATGGTAGCTTGGAAATGTTTAAGAGAGGCGTATCATGAAAAAGAACCTTGTAAAGTGATTGAATAAATTTTGCAGTCCAACGGAAAGAAGGCCTAGCACTTCAGAACTCGCAGAATAAAAGGCTGGGTGCATAATATTATTTTTGCATACATCTTATTTTTACTCAGCGCCTAACTTTTGTTTAAAAACCCAGTAAAATCGTAATCACAGTTCGTATAAAATAAATTTGTAAGTTCTAAATTATTGGATGCTTTGCATCTAGGTTAGAGTGTAATTTGAAATTGTTTGTCTTCATTCCTCGCATTCCAAATGGAACATTAAACTCCAATCTGTTGAAGTTCCAGTAGCTGTAGTGCTGATTTTTTTAGGGTGAAATTGCTAGTCTCGTGTCCAACCTACCCTCTTTTTGATGGGTTAGTAAAATTAGGTGCGGTTTAGCAGTGCGTTGGCCAGCAACTGGACTCGGACGCCGTGCGTGGATAGCGAGCATTCTACTCTTACCGAACCGCCGATTCTTACTTTCAAACTGATTAATTTCAGTTAGACATTTGAATTTATTCGTGCCACTACGTGAGATCTTTAGTATTTTGATGAAATTTCCTGTTTAATCGGCATATCAAGAATCCTACGTCTAAATGTCATGTTCGTAAATAGGAGAAACACATTTTGTAGATGCTTTAACCGCATTTCACGGAGAACTTAAGACTCATCGGTGTTCAGTGTAATTGTTTATCATCGTAGGAATCAAACGGTTTAGGGAAAAGACTACTGCTCATTTTGTGTTTCAGAGTGAAGAATCAAAGGCACATGTCGATTTCTAAAACAGTTAGGAATACTTATAATACTGATTCAAATAAATGATGACATCCTTTTTATTGCATTAATAATGGTTTTATCGTCTCAGAGTTATAATCCATCATTTTATACATCCTGAAATTGTATTATTTCTCACCTTCGTTTATATTTTGTTCTTCTTTCTTTACCAATGTTAAAGATTCTGATATCGGTTTAGTTGCGTTGGCTTTGGCTGGCTATACGGATACACGAAATGAATTATGGCGTACAACATGTGCCAATCTAATAAAGCATGTACAAAACCCTTACCTACGTGTCATGTTCATGTTTTTAAGCCGTCAAGGCGGAGATTTTGAACCGATATTGGTAGGTGTATTTCAGATTTCTGCTGTAATCTGTCGATTTATGTGGAGGACAACACAAGATTTCCTCGTTATTGTTTGTTTTGTTTTTGTTATCAGGTCTCTTATTGCACATTTTAGTGTTGGTGTCGTAGTGTTTTACTCATTTGTATATTGTCAGTTATTTTGATATCACTTACCTTCACATCAGAGGTGAAATTTCAGGACCAATATATGAACTCTAAAGTGACTGTTAAATTTGTGATAATTGTAAACTCTTCACTAATTAAATATGCTTTTATTATATATGTAACACCCATTACTATTATTACTATATTATTACTGTATAATTCTTAATACTGACTGAAGCCGTTGCTCACTTGTCTGTGCATTCGACACCAGATAATGTCCTTACTCTGTGCCTTCTACTGAAGTTTTTGCAAGCATTGGTGCTCTCATAGCTAACTATGTGGCAGTGCAAATGATTGTAAGTTAACACTTTTCTTGTTATCTCACTCCTTATAAGTGAATGGTTTCTCCTCTCCTATTTGTAGAATGATGATGCTCTATGCCTTATTGATCGAGTTGCTTTTGCTTGTCTATACCTGAATGATGACAGTGTAAGTCAAATATTGTCATTAATGTTTATTATTTTTTAATTGTTAATAACTCTTAATTTATGCCAGATAAGTTTGTTTGATATAAGAAAGAAGAGAACACGAAGTTCAGCAAAGATATCTTTTCGGCGATTTCATTCTCAAAAGCTGTACAATCGCATTTATATAGATTATTTTAACATGGATAGAATTATTATTTGTTTAATTTCACATAGTAACGAAGGTGATAATAATTTTCAACTTGATATGATAGTTTGAAGGTACGAATATAGATTACAAGAGGCTTAGAGACAAGATTTCATAGGATTAGAAAATAGTTACAACGTATGCAAAAAATTAATATTTGATAACTGGAGAAATAATTTTAAAGGCGAATCGAAGGTGATAATTATTTTCGACTTGATATGAATTACAAGAGGTTTAGAAACGCAGGGATAGGACGAACTACAGGTGTGAACAAAATGAGCATGGAAACAAATTGAAATCAAAATTTTCAACTTGACATGTTAGTTAGGAGGTATGAATATAGATTACAAGAGGCATAGAAACAAAAAATTACACAGGATTAGAATATAATTGTAGAATGGTTATTTTAAACGGATTACAAGTGTGATCAGGAGGAGTATGGAAACAAAATTAAAATAACTAGTTTTTTTAACTGAAAAAATAATTTGAGCCTGAAATGAAAGTTAGGACGTGTGAATATAGATTACAAAAGCCTTAGAAACACAAAAATTGCACAATATTAAGATATAATTGTAAAATAGTTATTTCAAACGAATTATAAATGTGAACAGGGAAAGCATGGAAACAAACTTAAAATAACTGTTTTTATAGCTGAAAAAAAAATTAGGTGGATTAAACGAAGATTGAGGGACTAAGAATCAGACACACAGCGAACGAAAAATGCTCTAAAGGAAAAAACAAGAACGAAAACAGACGAGGAAGAGAAAAAAAAGACGGAAACAAAGGGAACATACCAAGCTAGGTCCATGGTAGTTGTAGAGGTTGGACTAACTTCTTTTGAACACACAGCTCCGGCTTCTCGATGCATATTGCGAGGGCTTCTGCAGTACAAAGAAGTCGGAAACATATTGCTTTTGGTAGGTTTCTGTTGACTTTGTAAATCACTTTGAAAGAATCGGTTGAGATTTTGTGGGAGGTGTTGACCAGATGTTCAATAATGGCACTTCTGATTGAACCGGTGCCTCCTCTTTGCAGCCACGCTGGGTAGTGTTCTCTAACACGTTTTGAGAGGACGCGCATACAACGACCTATGTACCTAGCTCCGCACGAGCAAGTGAACTGGTATATGCACATTGAATTGGTCATATGCGAAAGTTTGTCCTTCGTGTTGTTTCGAAGTATTGGGCGGCTAGAGAATGTCACTCTTAGTGTTGCTGCAGGGAAGGTCTTCTTTAGAGAGCTGGATATTCTCCTCTTCAGGATATCAGCTGCCAAATCTCCCTTGAAATTCAGATTTAGATACAGCGTTTTCTTTGGCGCTGAATCGCATTCTTCTCTTTTAGGTTTAGGTTTCATGTTCTTTTCGACAAAACGTGTTGAGTAGCCATTTTGAGCCAGGATATTTTTGAGAAATAGGAGCTCCTCTTCCATGCAATCGTTGCTGCTGCATGGAAGAGGAGCTCCTATTTCTCAAAAATATCCTGGCTCAAAATGGCTACTCAACACGTTTTGTCGAAAAGAACATGAAACCTAAACCTAAAAGAGAAGAATGCGATTCAGCGCCAAAGAAAACGCTGTATCTAAATCTGAATTTCAAGGGAGATTTGGCAGCTGATATCCTGAAGAGGAGAATATCCAGCTCTCTAAAGAAGACCTTCCCTGCAGCAACACTGAGAGTGACATTCTCTAGCCGCCCAATACTTCGAAACAACACGAAGGACAAACTTTCGCATATGACCAATTCAATGTGCATATACCAGTTCACTTGCTCGTGCGGAGCTAGGTACATAGGTCGTTGTATGCGCGTCCTCTCAAAACGTGTTAGAGAACACTACCCAGCGTGGCTGCAAAGAGGAGGCACCGGTTCAATCAGAAGTGCCATTATTGAACATCTGGTCAACACCTCCCACAAAATCTCAACCGATACTTTCAAAGTGATTTACAAAGTCAACAGAAACCTACCAAAAGCAATATGTTTCCGACTTCTTTGTACTGCAGAAGCCCTCGCAATATGCATCGAGAAGCCGGAGCTGTGTGTTCAAAAGAAGTTAGTCCAACCTCTACAACTACCATGGACCTAGCTTGGTATGTTCCCTTTGTTTCCGTCTTTTTTTTCTCTTCCTCGTCTGTTTTCGTTCTTGTTTTTTCCTTTAGAGCATTTTTCGTTCGCTGTGTGTCTGATTCTTAGTCCCTCAATCTTCGTTTAATCCACCTAATTTTTTTTTCAGCTATAAAAACAGTTATTTTAAGTTTGTTTCCATGCTTTCCCTGTTCACATTTATAATTCGTTTGAAATAACTATTTTACAATTATATCTTAATATTGTGCAATTTTTGTGTTTCTAAGGCTTTTGTAATCTATATTCACACGTCCTAACTTTCATTTCAGGCTCAAATTATTTTTTCAGTTAAAAAAACTAGTTATTTTAATTTTGTTTCCATACTCCTCCTGATCACACTTGTAATCCGTTTAAAATAACCATTCTACAATTATATTCTAATCCTGTGTAATTTTTTGTTTCTATGCCTCTTGTAATCTATATTCATACCTCCTAACTAACATGTCAAGTTGAAAATTTTGATTTCAATTTGTTTCCATGCTCATTTTGTTCACACATGTAGTTCGTCCTATCCCTGCGTTTCTAAACCTCTTGTAATTCATATCAAGTCGAAAATAATTATCACCTTCGATTCGCCTTTAAAATTATTTCTCCAGTTATCAAATATTAATTTTTTGCATACGTTGTAACTATTTTCTAATCCTATGAAATCTTGTCTCTAAGCCTCTTGTAATCTATATTCGTACCTTCAAACTATCATATCAAGTTGAAAATTATTATCACCTTCGTTACTATGTGAAATTAAACAAATAATAATTCTATCCATGTTAAAATAATCTATATAAATGCGATTGTACAGCTTTTGAGAATGAAATCGCCGAAAAGATATCTTTGCTGAACTTCGTGTTCTCTTCTTTCCAATGTTTGATATAACACACAGTAACACTGTAACAATAGAAGGCAAGTGCCAGGCAACAAATCGTTTATTTAAGAAATCAACACATATTTATATATTTTCATGTACATTATTATAGATTATTGTAAGCAAACAACACAGTCTTCTGATTGGTGGTTTCTCGCTGAACGTAAATCTTTCATCTCTTTGTGGCCGTTTCTCGAAGTTCAGATTACCTATCTGCAAATTGTATCCGCCTACTCAAAGTCTGCTATGATTGGTTGTTGAGTCAGTCTTTGTCTTTATTTTTCTCATGACCAATATTGGGGACGTATACACTGACGTGAATTACTATCTACCAATTTTGGCTAGCAGCCAACCCTCACAACAAAACTACAGTATTGTTAGGTTGGAGATGTTCTTAATGCCATCCGGCTAACAGCAGTTTATCAGTGTGTCTTAATATCAGGCTAACTCATCGAACATCTGTCAATATCAACTCTTGCATTTATGACCCTTAGTAATATTACACTCCAGGCCATTGAGTGGAACCCGAATAGGATGCCATGCGTAACATAGTGAAGGTTGTTTGAAGAAGGGAACGAAAGCTTGTAGACAGTCGTGGAGCTGGCTGAAACTGATGTGTAATAAGCAAGTGATTCAGAAAATATTTTCTAATACTGATGGATATTTCACCAATTCCAGGTGAATTATTTGTCAGCCTATTATTTTCAGTCTACCGTAGAAACCAATTAATTGTAGGTGTCATATTTTTATGTTCATGTCTCCTTCTTCTGTACTGTTAGGTAGTGTTGCAGCTTGGATTGACACACTTTATTGGAAGATTCAGCCTTTTCTATTGGTCTTCAAGATATATTTCATCATAAACTGACATTGGCTAGAGAAGCATTAAAAACTATGGAGTTTTAGACATCTGTTTCGTCCTAGTTTGAGGATGTTCAATAGTACTCACCCGTAACCTCCCAAGCGATCGAACCTAGGTTCCAATTATGCTGCCATTTACCCCCTGCGTCATAATCGTTATTTCAGGCGATTTGCAATATGATATCATCAGCATGTATCTGTCGTAACAAGCTTTTTGTTAGATACCATCAGGAACAACTCATTAGAATTCTACGAATTCCATTCTTTAGATATTCACTAAGATGGAATTGATTACCTCTGTAGTTTTGTGTTTGTGCTGGTTTGATTAGTTTCTTGGTAGGTTTCAAAATGAACTACTATCAGTCAATGATGTATTGAACAACGAGAAATTACTTTCTGTCTAAATGTGCCTAATAAATTAGGTGGTGTGATAGACAACTTAAGTTTTTTAAAATATAAGCTAATGCAAAACACTTAGACTTCAAGTTAGATGATTCAGAATATAATGATGTCACTTCCGTAAACTATTGTTTTTATCCAACGTGATTCTAGCGGCGTTCTGATATCCTTGTTTCAAATCACTTGGAAATTTGCACCATAGTATATTTAAATTTCAACTGAAGCATCAAATGCGCTGATTCACGTATGTATGTATATCACTTGGTATCTGGATAAGAATTAAACATTCTACTCTTTTGTTATTATTTTTGTGTGTATATAAAGATGACGTTTTTTCATTGCGTGTCGAGTAGTATATTGAGCTTCAATTCCTAAACTTAGTAGCAGTGATGTCGTTTATGCGGGGTCAGGTTGCTAGCCTCACGCCAAGTCTCGTCCTTTTCCGGGTATACCACTGTAACAGTGTATGATAAGAGAATCGGTAACGCCCTATTAAAGCTAGGCAAGATCAAAGGAGAATCAGTTCGTCTGATTGGTCTGTGATTAACCCAAGGTTAAAGGAGTTGTCCAGTGAGGTTATTTCATGTTTACAGCGTAAATCCAGCTTTGAGGAATAGGCATTCCTGCTTCTGCAGCCATTGACCTGAAATGTTGATTTCAGTTTTTGCCGCTTCCTATCAATCTGCATCACTCTACACTACCAGCAGGTAAAACTGGTCAGGTTCAGGAGTGTATCAGTTGTGAATTAAACATAAGTCTGGTATAGCCGACAAAGAAATTTCTGAAGTCAAAACGTAAACCTTTTAGGGTAATTTTGTGTTTTTATACTAGTCTTTCATCAATAGGAAGTTGACTCATCAAAGCTGTGAACTGTACATCAGATGTTTAGATTTAATCATATTATCAACAGATGTGCTATTTATAGCAGTAAACTGCAACAAATGAAAATTATTCTAAGCTGAATATAATGCGTGAAATGCATCCAAAAAGACTTATGTTTCAAAATTATTCCTAATATTACTCTTCATCCATATGTTATCACATTTTCTACTTCAAATAAATTTCTAGCTTGTCAGTTTTGTACGTTCTACTTGTCGTACTATGGTAAAACGTGGACAACTAGAAGCTATCCTATTAACTGGCCTATGCTCAGATGATTTTATTACTCTAATACAAAATTATGTTGATATAACTGGTGATGTGCAATCAGCTGCGATTGTCGGTTTACATGCTAGCCAGCTGTCTTCGAATGATTCCACTACATCGATAACTAGCAATGATAATAAACGAACAGATACTAATAGTAATGGAATGAATACTCCACGTCGTTCACAGATCGGGTTGAATAATAGTATACGTTCAGTAAATCTAGAGAAACGATTATCTACACCGATTAACAGTGGAGGGGGAGGCGGAGAAGGACGTAATTCATCGTCTAATGAAGAACAGATTACTCTGGTTAAACTTGGAGGCCCTAGATTAGCTAATTGGGTTCAATGGTAAGTGTTATCGTCTTCGCTTAATTCTCATCACTGGATCCTTACCATTTAATTTATGTTATGTAACTGCTTGTGCAAGGTTATGGTTTAGCAAAGTGGTAAATAGAGGTCATGTATCTTGGACATTACGAAAAAGCAATTACAGACGTCCCACTACTCTACTCTACTCTATCCCAGTGATATTTATCAGGCAACTTAGAAAATGGTTATGCTATTAATAATAATAATAATGGTTCTCGTCTTATTACTATTGTGGTTTAACATGAAATGATGAACACAAGATCCTTCTTGTTATTTGCTTATCCTTTTCATTGACGTAACAAATAGCAACAAAAGTTAGGATATTACTAATTTTCATAGCACGGTTTTACTACTAATAATAATAATCATAACAATAATAATAATTTCGCTTTTATTCCAGAAGCAGTACTAGTGGTACAGTGTGGAATTTTCAGCACATATCTACAATATTGCATCTAATTTCATCGTACATTTAAAAGGAGTATTACAAAAAAAACCAAAAAGAAACACAAAAATAACAAAAAATGCAAATAAAATTACCAAGTTGAAAGGAAGATAAACACCAATAATGAATAATATTTCAGTATTTGGTAGTGGGAGCTATGATATGTGTATGCGTAGTCAACAGTAACAGCTATAATCATTCAAGAAGTTATGAAATGTTCTTAAGAATGTTTATAGTCAAGATGATCAGTTAATTTGATTGAACTACACTAAACAATCGTAAAAAAACAATTTCAGGGCTTCTATTGTCAGCACTAATGCGGTGTTTGTTGTGGTAGTGTGAGTAATCATGCATATTACAAAAATTTTAGGATGGTGATAACGGTGTTCGCAAACAAGATTGTCAGTTAAATAGTGCCGAACAAAAAAACAACCACAAAACTAATATTACATGATGGTTAATGACAGGACAATTTTGTAATAATCATAGTGATAATATAGTCGGACCCAGTAGATATAAAAAAGAAGGAATAGAACAAAGAATTAAAAAGTAAGCCAATGATAATAATTTTAAGTAGCTAAGTATGTTTAAGAAGGTTGTTCACTATAGAGTACAAATAAGAGAGTATAAGGGGGAAATAACAAGGGCCAAAATTATGTTATTAACAACAAAGCAAGTCATAGGTTTCACACTTAACATTGTCTCTGTCACTTAGAACACGGGCCAAATATGGTATCGTTGAGTTCCTATACTTGGTTGTACGAGCATATATTATTTTGTACTGATTTCTGGTTCTACCTGATGAGATGCAAGGAGAGAGTTGGGAATAGAGGGGGTGTTGGGGGTCAGAGAGTATGGTTTTAGACCATTTTTCGCATGTATTCAGATGCTTATCCACTAATGTAGTGACGAGCTGACTGAGTTTTACACCGCTAGTCCTACTAACTACCTTCAACATCCTTCTCAGGATGGTATAGTCCTTTTTCAGTAACCCAGGAAAGACTAACGGGGAGCAGTAAAGTAGAATAGGTAGGATACGAGAGTTGACAAATTGTGAAAGCAGAGGTTGGGGGACTCCAGTTAGTCTGAGTTTCTTAATGTAGTAGGTTAGACGAAACACTTTCTTGGAAATCATTTGGATATGAGATGACCAAGTAAGGTCGGAAGATAGAACTAATCCGAGGTATTTTGCATTAGACTTTGTTTCAATTTTAGTCCCCTCAATGCTACAGGCATCATGAGTGCTTACTAGTGTTTGTAGATCTCGTTTATGCCTAAAGGAGAAGTCGACAGTCTGGCATTTTGAGGGATTCAGCACGAGGCCATTTAGTTTAGACCACTGACTGATGTCCGACAGGAAGCTATTTAATTTGAAGCAGTCTGACTGAGACTTAACGGGAAGCGAAACAGTCAGGTCATCTGCATATTTGACGAAGTTGATTTCGTCTGAGAGAGGTAAGTCATGTAAGAAGAAGGAAAAGAGAAACGGCGAGAGAACAGCACCCTGAGGAACACCAGCTTCAGTAAGCAAAGGAGAGGAAGCTACACCATTATATACCGTGTACTGCATCCTATTGGAGAAGTAAGAGTGCAGCCAGTTGATAGCCCAGGACTCAGTTTGTGTAAGGCTAAGCTTGTTTAACAAAAGGCCTCTAGGTACAGAGTCAAAAGCAGATGTGTAATCAAGGAAAGTACAACGGACATACTTGGCCCCTTTGTCTAAGGAGGATACAATGTTGTGATGAAACACAGCAGCGTCTAAAGTACTTCTACCCTGTTTGTAAGCAAACTGCTTTGGATCATTTGAGAAGCTTAGGGAGGGAATAAGTTTTTGTAACAATAATTTCTCCATCAGTTTCAAAAAAGGAGAGGTAATGGCAATTGGTCTAAACTTAACACTATTTCCAGAACCAGACTTGGGTACAGGGATGATTTTAATATCTTTCCACAGAGAAGGTACAACATTATTAGAAAAAGAAGCAAGTTGGTTACTTAAAATATCAGCACATTTCTTTAGAACAATGGCAGGTATACCATCAGGGCCTAGACTCTGGGAAGGTTTAAGAGATTTTAAACATTTAAGAACATCAGAAGTATTGAAACTATGAAAGTCACTGGTCGTGTTATTAGTTAAATTGAAGGCAAAAGGGACATTTGGAGGGCGGATAAAAGATCTATTGAGAGTATTTACATCAATAGAAGAGGCAAAATTATTATGCTTACCACAACCTGTAATTTCTCTAAAAAGCTTCCATATGTTTTCTGAAGTTTTACAAGACAGTATTGTTTGATTATAAATGTTGTTTAGTCTCTTGATTTCAGATTTAATTTGGATGTTTATCTTCCTAAGACCAGATTTATTCTTTGTCTTGTACAGCTTCTCTTTTTCTCTACGAAGTTTTTTGAGATGAGGGGAAGAGAAACGGTCCATTCTTTTGAAAATTATCTGTTTTGGACAGCATATATCAAGGCAGAATTTAAGATAGTCAGTCAAATTGGAAATAGTATCATCCAGTGTGTGTTCGTTGAAAAGTTCCCAGTTAGTGTCATTTAGCATACATCTTAGTTTGAGCACATTTTCATGTGAGTAACACCTTTGCTGTGTTTTCCTGGACAGATTTGAGAAGATATTAAAGTGAGCTCTGCTGTATATCTTACTTACTTACTTTACTTCGGCTATCTCCTACGGGAGGATGAGCCGGCTTTATGAACATCTCGAATCATCGCTGCCCAGGCGCGGTGATCTGATGCAAGGTTTTGCGACAGGGTTATCCAATTTGTAAGAGAGTTCATGAAGTTTCATGGGAATTAGGTACGAGTGATGTCCCCAGCATCGCTCGGCCTTTTGTTTGAGAGTGCAGCTCTAGCCTTTACTCAACCAAGTGTGGCCTACAAGTCAGTAGGAGTGGAGTAGGGAGTTCACTATCCATTGGCAGCCGGAGTCCGGTTCATACGCCTTTTTGAATGGGGCCAGACATTCAGGGCATCCAATGAGCCTTTGTCCATACGTCTGCCGGTGAGCTCCGGTGAGCTTCATACGCCAGTCGTTGGAGGTTTGGAATCGGGGTTTAACCATCTCCCCTAGACTGTCATCCAATGGACAGTCAACCCGGTGAAGAGCGCCGGGCATCCGCTTTTGCCCTCTCACTCCGGTGAAAAAACACCTCCGCCACGTGAAGGCAGTGAGTAGGACTTCCTCAGGAGAGGCTATGTAAGACGCCCGGTCATATGGGAGCATTCCAAGAGCTGTACGGAGGGGTGACCAACCCGCAGCGCAAGGCACCCACCCCCGACCATCCTTAGGCTTTGGAGGCGCTGTATATCTTAGATAGTATCCGAATAATACATGATCTGAGTTCATTATAGGAGCACGTCTGCGTACTTCATATATTTCCTCATCATTAATAAACACTAGATCCAGAGTTTTATCAAGTCGAGTAGGAAATTTAACAATATTGACATGACCTAATGATACAAAGAAAGAACAATCACAGCAGTTGAAATCTCCTGTGACAACTGATAAAGAGTTTTCAAGATATGTAACGGCGAATTCAGTGAATTCATCAGCAAAATCAGATAGAGCCGAGGCAGAACAGCCAGGAGTAACATAGATGTTTGAGATGAAGACATATTCAAACTTGGATAAGTGTTTCGGACGGCATTTGACTGTTATACAATCAATAAAGTCACTAGAGTAAGAAAAACATACATTATTTGCAGTTGATCATTGAGAATGAATGAAAGTTGCAACACCTCCATCTCTTTTCTTTCTGGAGCATAGTCGATCTTGTCTAAACAATGCAAAACCATTTAGGGAAACCAGATTGTCATCATAGAGTGTATGGAGCCAAGTTTTTTGTAGTGCAACAATCACCGGATTGTGATAAGTATCAGATGATAAGAGAGACTGGAGATGCATAATTTTGTTGGGAAGTGAACGGCAGTTTGAACTGACAATAATAGGAATAGTTGTGCGATATAAAGGTGTCTGTTTAAGTGCACACTGCCAACCACCGTGATGTTTTATCTTAGTTTTATTAGATGCATAAAAGTCATATGGTTTGAAACGTTTGATGAATTCATTACTGTATTTGATACGATTTGTGATCATATTTTATGAAAACATTTCGTATTAGATGCATAGCATAGCAGTTTGACGTATATATGCAGTGGTGGCGATCTTTTATAAGTCTAAGATTAAATTTTTAATTGCAAACACTGACCTCTACATGACAAGTTCAACTCCTATGTAAAGGGAAGCAGCATAAACATTCATTTCTGAGGTATATAATTGCACCGTTCATCTTAAAAGAAAAAAGATTTATTGATGAATTGTTGGTTTCCAGAACTTGTCTAAACGGATTTTTTATCAGTTTTATTTGTTTATATCCTACCTATAAGTAGATATAAGTAGTATGTGAAGTAGCTTCTTTGTAGAAGCAATGATAATGGGATGGGATGGATGCTGTTCACCCACTATGCTGTCGATTTTTAATAGGAAGGATGAAAACTGTTATAAGTGAAGAAAACATGACAGTGTGTACAAAAGCACTCTCAGGCAATGGATTCATGTGTGTTCAGATGCCGGAGTTGTCATTTCAAGCTATCTTTAATAGACGATAATTTGTTTATTACACTGATTTGGTAGAAACCGTCTTTTCAAAGTCCAAATGGTCGCCAACTAAAATATTGCCTATGTCACAATTAGCTTGTGAATCGTCCAGTATCTGCATCTGGTGTAGAAACAGAAACACCTTGATTTTGGCAGTGTAATAGTATCAGCAATGTTGGGATGTCATGTCAGATATACTCCTTTAGTTGGAGGGGTTTATGCGTGGTTAGAAACACTTAAAATAACACATAAGAATGATAAGTGGGTCGAAAAAGGATATGATATACAATCATTAAGACGAATTTATTTACAGAAACTAGTTTCAGATGTTATTAACAATTCCTGTGAATGGCTGGGAGACATTTTCCTCAACATATAAGGGACTTTTATCCACTTTAAACCGTTCTTGTTTGTTTTCGTTCAATATAGTCTATTATGTAATAAGTGCCTGTTTATCATGGGATGATTTTGATTGGTTTGTTCAAATTCATTCCTTTGAGTTAAGTGATTATTCTTTAAAGTTACTGCAAATAGTGAAATCAATGCGACACTTCTCTCACTTTTCTTAATGTTCATTTTATTTCGTCTGATTAAATATTACATTTACCCTCATCAGTCTGAGTATGTTCATTATTAATGTAAACTGCAAAGTCATAGCTGATCTGAAGGGAACTCATCTTGCCTTGTACATTGATTCTAACAAATATATTCCCTTAAATTTAATGCAGAAACTGTTAACCAACTGTCACTGAGAAGTGGATTTAACAACTGTTTTTTCCTAGTTCGGGACCCTTGAACACTACGTACCCATGAACCCACCTAGAATCAAACCTATAACCTTCAGGTTACAAGGTGAGCTCATTCGCTATTCAGCCACTAACATGAAATCCAATGGTCAGTCCATGAATTCCAACTTCTATCAATTGACGATTTTAACACCACTGGTCGTGAATGTCATCTGCGACTGGCTAGAACTGCAGGTAACTTTGTCCTGTAGTCAGTCATTATCGAGCAACAAACTAGGACGAGATAACTGTCCAGTTTTCCCTAGTTTTCAATGGTTCTAGAAATTGATATCAATTTGTGATCAAACCTGATATAAATTTTACTTATTTATTCATTAATGATCACCAATTTTCTGTTGAATGTGTGTAATAAAATTATAATTTTTTTTGAAAACGGTTTGTTCACCTTATCCTCATAGTTACCGTGATCTGTTGGATCAATGGCAAATGTGGTTCTACCGGGCTGATTTCGATATCACGTACAAATCACGTCTCTTATCCGATTACATGTCATCAGGGAATAGTTCTAAAAGTCATGTTTCAAGTTCATTATTGATGTCATCGAAAACTGTTGAACCTGATACAGGTTCTGTTACTATAAACAATAGTACAACTTCTTTCAATAGTAATAGTAGTCCTACTGTTAGCAGTGCTTCCACATCTAGTGTTACTAATACACTACATGGCGTTAAAGTTCGAAGTATTGGATTAGTAGCTGGTGCTAATCAAGTAAGTGAATTTGTTTATTTATATCATATTTGGAAGTTCATACATTCCAACTTCGTTTTAAAGGATTATATTAATTTAGTTTCCCCTTCCCTATTATTTATATGTTGAATAGTATAATTTATAATGAGGAAGATGTTTCAATCGCAGAACAATCAAGTTTAGTGACAAAAATATATCGGGGTCAGTTGGGTTATTGAAACATTGTATGAATAACCCCACTGTGTAATCTAGAAAAGAGCTTGACCATTGGTATGCATGCACTTGCATATAATCATGCAATATGATGGGAAAGGGAAAAAGTAATATAGTTAGGTGGAAGGAGAGCAAGGTTAATCACTGAATCTCTGCTTATTGAATCAACACCAAATACTCGCATTCAAAATGATCCAACATCTGCTACAAATAAGTACGAAATTGCATTAAAAGACACTAGGGATTAAAACGATATGGATGAAGTTAGAGAACCATGTGAATATATTGAAATGATTATGAGCAATAAGTTTCACTAGAAATGTCATCCACTAATTGATACCATGTCACCGTACCTTATATCACATAAACTCATACAATATGGATTCTTTGACTGTCGATTGGATCCACATAAGTAGTTGCTTGCTTTCTCGATTTTCATATATAGTATCAAGACCACCTTTTGTGACCTGAGTATTTGTTTGTTTCTAAGGGAAATCGTGGGTAATTTTCACCTCGAACTATGCAATTTACAGATTTTGAATTTGATTCTAATACCAGTTAACCAGAGTAGCTAGCCATAATTCGGATAACTTGAACTCACTGGACTTTCCATGCGCAACTACCGTCTGGTGTTTGCATCACGTCGGTGTAGCTAGTAGCTTCTACTAATTTTTAAGTCTCTCCCCTCATTAGGTGTAGTTCTGATTTTCCACTGTTGGTTCTCAGGGATTCGATCGGTTTCAAGTTTGACCACGAAGTGGTTCCATGTAGAGAACTGATGAAAAGCAGATGTTAGAACCAATGTACCATTGGCTTCTGTTGCGATGGTTGGATTGTTAGTGAGTTTGCCTCGTATTCTGAAAGTCCTGGATCCGAACCCTAGTAAGATCATGGGTGCGTGCTGTGAAGAATCCCGAACAAGGACGAAACAGCTCCCTTGTTTCAAATGGTCCTCTAACTGATGTTATTTTGTGATCAAACTGAAATAGTCCTAACTTATTTACCAGTCTATAAAATGTATTGATTTTTCTAAGGCTCTACACAAATTCATTATTGTGACTAAGCTATAAAGCTGACTCATGTGATAGACTGTGACTGCAGTCGGGAGAAACTTTCTCATGAGTACTGCATTTCTGATAATATTTTTTGAGAAGTAAATATTTACTTGTGAATATTTTTATATTCACTAGGTGTTCGTTGCCTGTGGTTTTTGTGGTTGGCGTTTAGAACCTCAGAGTAATAAAGTGAATGTATCATCATTGGGGTCTGCTGGTACTAGTGGTACAAGCGTCAGTGGAAATAACACCCAAGCCAATAACATTTCTACTGCTGGTGTCGTTACTAGCTCATCTATCATTGATACATCATGTTCTTCTACAGCGTCTAATTTACAAATGCATGGTGGAGGTGGTAAGCAAACAATTTGTCAACACTGTAGAAAACCTCTACCTAGATGTTCGATATGCTTAATGCATTTGGGTACATCAATTCCTTCGAATGAATGTATGAGGATATCTACGGGTAGTAGAGGTGAATCAATGCTCCGACAAATCGCTTTAACATCAGCACCAAAGTTGTCAGTAGACTTTGTAAAAGCTATGCAGATTGGTATTACAGGTGCAACAGTTCCACCACCTGCAGATACTGGGAATAAAAATAACCAGAAAAATGTATACTCGTAAGTCAAGCGTTTTTTTCTTTCTGTAAGTCTTCTTTCTATGTAAGTTAACTTGACCACCTCGTTTACGTAAGATGTTCTTCTTCTTCGTCATTCTTTTGCGTTCCGATTGGAGCATAGAGCTTTGAGCTTAAGCTCGGAAGTTTCAGTGGCCCTGGTGTATTTTTACAGGGTGGGGTTATTAGCCTCAATTCTAACCTCCTCTTTAAACCGGGTTTACTATCGCCTAAGGGAAGTTTAGGAGTGTGTCGACCGGAAATCGAACTCGGACCGCATGTGTATTTAGTGAGCATTCCACTAATGAACCACCGGCGCACGATTTTATTATTGTTCACTTTTTATGATCAATAATTAGGAGTTTCATGTATTACTTTCTCAATCCATTCGGTCGTTTTTCACTTGAATCAAAATGCTACTTTTCCAAATGCTATGCACCTGTATTACACACAAATTATTGTTTAAGGTTTTTGTAGAGGACAAGACGCATCACTCTATCTTTGTGTAGAGCATTTTTCACCAAAATCTGAGGTATATTAGGACTCAAAGTGCTATAATCCAAAATCTGTCAGAATTTTTAATTTTCATTCATCATCACTTTTTATTATACATTCATGTACAACCCACTTGTTTATCCTACATCTACCCGTGTCATTTTCTATTGTAATGCTTTCGCATTAGTAGAATATGATTTGCATTGCACATTTTTGTCTAGCATAGCTATTTAATCGTTCGCGGTGTTACACCTTATAATTGTGTATTGATCAACTAATGTCATCGGACTACGCATAGTGCTATAGTACAAAACGAAGGGAATATGAAAGAAATAAAGCATGTAATAAAACTAAGATAAGGGTAACGTACTTAATGTCTTTAACTATATATTCATATCCTAGCCAGATAGTCTACAACTCAGACCACTTGTCAATGACGTTATGCCTTGGTTAATTGTCTCAGTTTGATCATCCTTAGCTTTCTTCCGGTATGATTCTACTTTAAATACCGTAGCACTTTAAGGTGAACGTTACACACGTTACGGCTACCTCGAATGATAATGATTTATAATTCTGTTAGCCAACTTTTATATCTTATATGAGCGTTTAGGTCCAACTTCCATATTAGTAGCTTGAAGGTAGAGCGTGTCATGGCCTACTGTAGGACCGAGTGGAACTTAGTGGTGTTCAAAGCAACCCTGGAGTGATATACGATATAAAAGCCAGATAAGCCTTTCATATCTGTGCTCAAATGTCATCCAACCGTTAAACTCTCAAGGCAGATGACAATTTTCATGTTTGCAAAGTAGTCAGTACTCTCAATCATTTAACTCTTGATTATCAAAGGATGTATAATCTTAGATCGTTTGTGCAGCAACAGTTTACATACAGGGAATAGGGAACGCATTCTAAAATTTTTAGATTGCTAGTTTTAAAAAATGTTCACAAGATTTCATCTTCACTTAGTGATACTGCGATTTCCTCTTACTCTTAACTCTTTGTCTACTAGCAGGAAATCAAATTACCTTATAAAAACTTATTTTTCATGTGTTGGTTTGTAGGGGTTTGATTGGTTTACAGGATTTCATCATGAGCTGACATTAGTTAGAGAACCATTGGAAAACTGCCTGGGAGTACTGGACAGCTGTTTCGTCCTGGTTTGGAACTCTTCAGCAGTACGCACCCACCGGGATTCGAACCCAGGGCCTTCTGGTTACAAGGCGAGCTCATGAAAACTTGTTTATTTACGTTTTTAGGTTGGATAAAAATTTAGGGAGCAGATATTGTCAAAGAAAGCAACTGGGTCTTCATACTACTCCAAAAAGAGCACTAAATGCTGTAAAACAATCACTAGTGGTCTAGGATATACATGTTTTTAAGGGATAAAACACTATCGTTAAACCTTTCAGTCTGGGGCTTTAAATACTCGCCATCAAGTCAAAAAGTAACAGCTAGAGTATGTGGCAAGTGTGCGCAACCAGGTTTTTATGTAGGTTGATCTCACCTATTTTGTCGCATCTAGGTATTCTGGATGTATATCCATATGGTTTGTACAATATGTGATTAACACAACAAAATGCTTTTCGTTTTTTAGTGATTGAGGATATTAATGAATGATATTGCTCGGACCCCTATTCCAATACCCAGTAATCCTCAGCCATTATCTTTATATGTTCCAGAAAATTTCTCATCAGACGCTTCCGGAAGCCTCCAGGGTCCCATTTTCATTTTTCATTCAGACTGCATATTAAACAGTATTCTGCTTATGGATTTCAGTTCCTTTCCTTCGAAGTAAAATGGGAAGCATAATACTTTCATTTCACAGCATTCAACTAAAAAATTAGACAGCAGTGTGTAGTATCTCTTATAGATTGCATGATTGTACATCTTAGTGTGTTTTCAGCAAGTGAACAAATGCAAGCAATATATATCTTTTAAAAATCCTCAGTACAAAGTTTTAAGTCGAAATAAACTCACAATTATAAGCGAAATTCTTGAAACTGAGTAGGTATTCAATAAAATTTGTTTGAAGATGAAATCTAAATTCTCTGATTTGTAATTACACTGTGTGGTTAAAAAGTGTGATTTGATTTCAACACATCCTCAAATCTAATCTTTATCATTTCCATTTATTCAATGTCACATAATTACAAAAAGAACTGTGATTAAATCATCATATATTCACCTGGCGTCTATTTTAGAAAGGCTACTCTTAACAGTTACTGTGGTAAAACTACTTCATAGTGGCTACCACTGGAATCCTAACGCCCGTTTCTCCGCATTCCAAACTCGTCGACTGGGTATACTTGTTCCCTTGTTAGTGATCGTGTTAATTAAGATACTCAAATGTAGCACTCATCGTTTCAAACACCAAAGTGTTTTTCTCTGGGCTACTAGGTCATGACAACCATCTCTTGTGCAATGGGTATGATCTGATATTATTTATTCACACTTCTGATTTCTCGATGATTAATAGTCATTATGTTTTAAGTAGTTGTATTTCCTATTGAAGAACAAAAAACGAACAGCATGTGTGTATGTAGGGTTTCCTTACAATTATAGACTGTACTGTCGATTATGCTTGTGTTGTTGTTGGTGGTGTTTCAGTGGTGGAATGCTCGCCAACCATGCACATGGTCTGGGGTTCAGTTCCCGGCCAACACACTCCTAAACCCCCGACCAGTTTACTAGTCAATAGTCAGTCTAGAAAAGTAGGAGAGTTGGGCGTAAAAATATCACCACAGCTACTGAAGCCTCAATGCGCACTTCAAGTTTGAAGTCCTATATATTTCATGTGGAATGCAGGGGAATGAAAGAAGATTGGTTACGTTAATATTTCAATACTTTCTTTACTTCTAACTTTTCTTATTATTTTTACAACTCATATTTTTATTGATATATATACATAAATAGATCAACACGAAAATCTTCATTATTGGCCAATTCAACCTGTGTTATAGCTGATTGGTTTGTTTGGTGTCAAGCGTGCAGACATGGTGGTCATGCAAGTCATTTAATTGAATGGTTTTATGGTGATTCATCAGATTCAAGTGATATGGGTTATTTGAAAGAATGTCCAGTTAGCGGATGTCAATGTAGATGTGCTGTACTGGATGGTAGTCAAATATTATCACAAATGGATTTTAAGCGTTTATCTATCAATAGTAGTGCAGATTCAGAAGAATCTGGTTCAGTTAGTGATGAATTAATTGGATTAGATGATATTATGCTTCAGCATATTTTTTAAATATATTGACCATTCTCATCGAATGTTGTTTCAAGACTAAACACTAGACGATTCTTTGTATTATGCGATATGTAAATATTAATGACATGCTGTTGGCACTTTTACAATTCAATCTCATTAAATATCATAGTTTAAATTGCTTTCTTTGTACTGAACCATTTGACTTTGATTCACAAATAAAGATATTTTTCTGTACAATGTGGACTGATATTACTAGCATTACTACTTACTTTATCAGTTCTTTTTTTAAAAAATAAAGCAATATCAATTTATAGCATTTTGATTGTTGATGATTGGCAGTGGAGTCTATGATGATCATTTTGTCCTCTATGTGATTCATCATCTGTGTATTTCCAGTGAGTGAGTAATGGTATTCCCACTGAGACTCGGAACTTGCAATCATCGTTTCAAACGCCAAGGTATTATCATCCATGAGAGTCACTTCTTGTGCTTGTTTTATTTCGGGTTAATGTCAACAGACACCGAACATTTAGGTGCAACGTAATCAATCAACGGGTAATGCAAATTAACATGAGGGAAAACAATTATATCTATCTAATAGACTAGTGGAACATGGAAATCAAAGTCTCGTAAATATTTTATTCCGATTAATTATAAGGCCAAGAAGGAAAACCTCCCAATTTTAAATCACTTCACCGATGGAAAACTCGGTCTGGTTTAATGTTGTATGATAAGTCAATCAAACTCAAGACATATTGTCTATTATAGCGAAAATTTCCATTTAAGCAGAAAAAGAAGATTGACTGAAGAATATTCTTTTCAATAAATTCGTCATCTGACCTTACTATTATGCATACGCATTGCTATTAACAACATTTATGTTTTTGAAATAATACCAAACGCTTCGTATCATTCGAATTACAGTTAGGAAGTCTTTACTTTTTTATTGGACACTACTTAGTAACTTGTGTAATGTACCTAGTTCTTTGTTTGGTGCAGACTGGATTCTATCGATCTAGTTTACGACGTGGCCACCATACTAGGTGACTCACCGTCACCGTCCAAGGCTTTCTGCCGATTGCCTCCAACCAACTAATATCAACCGTGATGGCAAGCCACCCAGAATGGTAGCTGCATTGAAAACTTGACCGATAGAATTTAGTCTGCACCAAACAAAGGAGTAGACACTTGACACTAGCAACTAACTAGTGTCCAATAGAAAAGTATTCAATACAGTCCTACAGAAGGTCAGTCGCAAGCCCGAATAACTCAGTGGTAACGTCTCTGACTGCAGCACTGTGTGACTTGGGTTCGAATCTCAGAAGGGATATGAGTTCCTTCAAGGTTGCAAATACGCCTAGCTGACGAGTGCTAACTAGCACGAAACTTATGTCCAAGGCTTCCCACAGATTACCTCCAACCATCTAATAGAAAGTCTGTGTAAGTGACAATGCACCTAAAAAGTAATATCAAATAAAATTAAGAATAAATTTCATGTGTCCATTAAAGGCACTCAGAACAAGCCTGGAGGAAAGGGGAAATCGTCAGACGTTTACACTCAAGTAATCCTCTCTAAGGTAGGAAAGGCATCTGTACCAAATTCTTTTAAAAAAATTAATTAGGCTTTTTCAAGTGGATTCCGATGGCTTTAGCTATACGGAAAAGACCAACTCCGCCTAGCGAAATGAAGCATTTTCGGTTGTTAGATATCAAGTGAAAGGGTTGTGCTTTTTGACAGGAATGACTCTTACCTTTATTGAAAGAAGATAAACATCAGTTAATGTTCTGTCACTTTTATAAGTAATACTGTCTACTAACGAATAATTGAATTCCAGAAACTACAAAATCTATACAGAATGACTCAGCGCTACTGCATATTAGTAAGCTACTAGTATTAAGCCCCTCATGGTGGATATTTGGTGTTAGGTAGGAATGACCTAGCTTCGTCAGCGGATCAACCTTCATCAGTGATACTCATATATGTGTATATCTTTTTGTAAGGTTTCTTAAAAACTTGAAAGTGTGTTGATTCTATGTGTGGATAATGCTCGAACCAGTAGTTAAGCTATGTGATAAACGTATACAATATTTTAAACAGCACAAAGGAAGTGTGAAGTAGCATTGGCGCACGCTGCAATATGTTTTCGTTAAATAATAAGCGAAAAAATCTTAAGCAACCAGTGAAAAGCTATCAGGTTACTACGTCATTCTTTGCGTTTCGAGTGAAAGAAACTTTAAGATTTTTTAAGTTTCACTAGCTGTGGTGATCGACGCTTTTACGAGGTGGTGTTTTCGACCTCACATCACACTTCCCTTGTTTTTTGAGCTTGCTATCGGCCAGTAAACAAGGTGGGGTTTTTTAAGTGTGTCTGCTGGTTCACTTAGTTTGTATTTCGTTATTTCGATTAAGTATGTTTATTTCAGCTCGACTTTTATTTTGGTGCTTGATGGAGGTGCACTACTGAATTTTATCCATCTTTTAATATAAACTATCCTTATCTTTTCAGTAACTACTTGATTGTATTTCGCTATATATAATGAGTAAATCAGTTCGAGAAAGGAAGTTATGTTTTCACATTACCACTTAATGGAGATTTGATTTAATTCAAGACAGAGAAATATTCCAACGCTAAATGAAATTAGTTAGAGAATTATTGTAGACTAGGAAGCGTTATATAAATATTTATCTTTAGTGTGGGACATTCTAAGGATGTGCTATCACAACCGTGCCAACATTCGAATCCTAAAGCTTCAAGTTAAGAAATCAGTACTCTACTATCCAAACAGTTTGTTGGAAGTCAGTGGTTCATAAATTAAATGCGTCTGACATTGATTTTTATTTACTGAAAGGGAAACATTTTACGGAGTATTAACGTCGGATTCCTTTTTAAGCTACGCAATGGAACAGAATATCAAGAGTAATCAAAAATGTTTTTATTTATTCTAAGATAACTAACAAAAATGAGGAATATTTTTTTAAAGTTAACACACTGCTTTTTGTAAGCTTCTTCAACTGTTGCTTTATATATTGTTTATATCCTGTGAATCAAAAGAAAAATAGTTTGTATTGTTAAATATAAAGTTTCAGGAGGTGTAACAGGTTTATTTTGATTTAAACTTTGAAACGGATACTCGGCTGATGAGCTTGGAAATGGCAAACGAGCGAGTTGGCCGTCCAGTGTTTTGTAACTCAGGCGGATGATTTTGATGTAGTTATATTCTCTGAGCTGAATGGTTTATTTACGAAGCTTTCATCAGTTAATAGACACATTGATATAGAAAAAATTTACCAATCGATAAGAAGAAAATATCATACACAAAGAGTCAAACTTCAGGTTAAGGAGATAATCAGCACCAACACAAAAATAACTAACCATGTTCAACATCACCAGGAGATATGAATTATTCCACAGTGTGGGCAGCCGGAAACTAACAATCGCCCTCACAATCCGAAATGCACACGAAACCCCTCTATTACTTACTCATCTTTTTCTTCATCTCTATCATCTTGCCTTCCTTCCACTGATGCAACTCCTCGACTTGATAGCTCTCCACTTCCTCTCCACTCTGCGTCCACTAAAAACGATGGAAGCCAAAAAACCACCACCGACAGCCTCTTAAAGCCGCGCCACCAATTTCATATAGGAGCTCTTAATGTTAGGACACTTTGCCAAATAGGACAACAAGCATCACTAGCCAAGACCCTGGCATCACGAGCCATTGATGTATGCTGTGTTTCAGAAACACGCATACAAGACCCAAGTGTGGTTATTCACCTAACCCCACCTGGCCAACAGGTTGAATCTGCAAAATTCACCTTGAGGGTGTCAGGAGATGCCACAGCTAGTTCACGAGGATTAGCTGGCGTAGGGATAGCTTTGAGTACTAGGGCAGAAAAGACATTGCTTGACTGGATCCCGGTAGATAGCCGAATGTGTGCTGTCCGCCTGAACGGATCAGTAAAAAGGAGGAAGGACTGCACTACTCGCCGATGCCTTTTCGTAATCTCCGCCTACGCCCCCACTGACTGCAGTTCAGATGAAACGAAGGATGAGTTCTACCAAAAGCTGTCTAGTTTGGTGGAAAGGCTAAACGCTCAGACATAGTCGTTCTAGCTGGTGACTTTAACGCTCAAGTAGGGAAATTGTGTCAATCTGAGAAGGATGTCGGTGGCACCTATGGAGTTCCGTGCCAGCGAACCGACAACGGTGACCGTCTCCTACAGTTCTGTTCTGATAATCATTTGTTTCTTGTAAGCACTAACTTCAAACACAAGGAGAGACACTGTTTGACTTGGAGACCCCCTTCATCAAACCAACGCTGGACACAAATAGACCACATAGCAATAAGCTATCGTTGGCGTGGGTCGGTAGGAGATTGTCGCTCCTTCTGGAACACGTGTGTAGATACCGACCATGCACTGGTCCGCGCTCGGGTGTGCTTACGACTGAACGGACGTAGGAAACAGCTGGCGGTAAAACCATCACGTCCCCAGCTCGATCAGGAAACTAAATCCGTATTTGAGGAAGAACTAGCTAAACACATATCTGTGTTCGACAGCTGTGCTCACCCTGAAGAAGCTTGGAAAAATATCCAGGCAGCCATAGATACAGCTGTAAAAGCTGTGAATAAGGTAAACCCAAAGGTGAGTAAAAACCACTGGATCTCCACCGCCTCATCCGAACTGATAGATGCTAGAAGACTTATTCCGGCGAGCTCCGAATTCAATGAGGAGCGAAAGCTGCACAAGAGGAAACTTACGAAAAGTCTCCGCAAGGACCGTGAACAGTGGTGGGCGACAAAAGCCAAAGAGATGGAGAAAGCATCGGCGACAGGCAACTCTTTAGACTCATCAGGGAAACGGGTGGGAGAAGACAAATCATTAGTGAGACAATCTCGGAAAAAAATGGCACTATAATTAGCTCACAGGATAGACGACTGGATCGTTGGAAAGAGCATTATGAGGAGCAGTTTAATTGGCCCACAGCCACGCTCAACCTTCCGAGCATCCAACACCTCCCTGAATGGGATATAAACACAGGTCCTCCGTCCCTAACTGAGGTTACTAAAGCTGTCACCAATCTGAAACTAGGCAAAGCAGCGGGACCTGATGGAATGACTCCAGAGGTATTTAAGTACGGTGGAGACAGCTTACTGTCTGCATTAACTGAGGTACTAGGCAGCGTCTGGGAATCAGAAGAAGTCCCATCGGGTTGGTGTAAGTCACTGATTATCCCCATATACAAGAAGGGAGACAAGTCTTCCTGTGATAATCACAGAGGGATTAGCTTGACTAATATAGTATCTAAAGTCTTAGGCTCAATAATCATGCGTAGACTGAGTGGTGCTCGGGAGGCACAAACACGAGAGAGCCAGGCAGGCTTTAGACCAGGAAGAGGGTGTATTGATCATATCTTCACCCTCCGACAGATTCTAGAACATAGGCATTCCTACCGGCGTCCAACAGTCATTATATTTCTTGACCTAAAGGCAGCATTCGACTCTGTCGATCGAGAAGTTCTCTGGTAAGATTAGGGAGAGGAATTCACTCCGTATGCTGGTGAGATACGTATATGATGCTACATTATGGTTTACTCTTACTAATAGAAGCGTTTGTCATAAAACCCCAGATCGATCCATTTTGTAATGTTGACCATGAATAAGTCTGTTTCAAGAAAATTTAAATAAAAGTCGATTCGCAGTATTTCTAGATTTTTTCCAGAGACTCAAATATATACAGTTAAGTGCTGAATTTGACCGGACACAGTGCTTAAAAAAATTAATTTTATGCATCTGAAGTGGTCTCTCGACTGTAACAAATGTAGTTATTGAATTCTAAGTGTCAAACGTTGGTTAACAAGCTAGATTTGATCCAGAAATTACATCACTCACAGCCTAATTGAGTCTGAGAGAAAACTACTGGTTGATACGGTTAACCAGATACATGTACTCGCATATGATATTCACTAGTGGTGATGCTCTATATTGTGAATTGATAACAGCTACCATTCATAGGCTTTGGGATTTCAGTCCCAGAATTCAAATGGTAACGTACTTCTCACGTAACCTGAAGGTCCTAGACTTAATCCCCAATGTGTACTATTGACGAGTCCCTTAAGCAAAACAAAACAAGTTCTATAGGAGATGGAATCTGTCTTGATTTTGGAGTATATTAAGTGTACATTATAGTCAGTTCGTTAAAATAACGGGATACTACTTTTCACAATAGTAAAACTTCTGAACATTTCTCACGTGGACTTTTTACTACGCATTCATTTAGTGCCTTACAGAAGTTGGTTTGATAATTTGAAGAAAGAAATTACGTATTTAGTTAACAGAAGTAATTTTTAATACGTTTCAATCGTTATATGATTATCATGGTAATCCAAAGCTTTTAAATATACTGAATTTCAGGTGATATAGTGTTCTTACAGCTAAACAGATTTTTACGTGTCGGAATCTTGAAGCCTTTTTAATTTCTCCTGATTAAATTATCCATCTGAGAGAATACTGAATACAATCTGCGTGATCCACAGATCTTCTTTATTTCAAATTAACATAGTAGAAGATGAAAATTAGTCATTATGATAAAGAACAGAGTGTACGGGTTGTCTGAAGGACTCTGACATATTTCCAGCAGATTAGAAATAGAAATACAAACAAACCTTTAAGATTTGTAACTAAAAACGAAATAAAAGCAACATTATAGACGTGGTATTGCAGTTTTGTCAACAAAAAAGTTATTCACTGTATCTATTGACGACTGTACTCATTAAATAGGTAAGATTAGGCTATTTCATAGATTTTATTTTGAACATTTCAAGAATTCTATTGGTAATTGCCATATAATAAAATAATGCACTCCCCACAAAACCTTACTCATCCCAGGTTCAATGGAAGATAAATTATGTATGCATAATTTTTAAGGGCTCCAACATAGAACAAAACAACTCTCCAGCAATCTGATTTTCAGCGTTCCACCTATCTTTACTGATCCAGTGACAGAAACTCCTTCGAAGTTAGTCTGTTCCCTACAAACCTCATAAATTAGGAATAACTAGCGATTAAGTAAATAAAAACATCGGTGGTTCAGTAATAGAATCCTCACCAACCACACAAGCGTTCCAAGGCCTGGTTTCAGGCTGTCGCATTCGTTAACCTCGTGTAGTTTACTAGCTATCTGTAAGCTGGGGAAAGAGGATAGATTGGGCTTGAGGCTAGAAACCCCACCTCGTAAAAAACTGCACAGCTGTTGAGACTACAAAATCACAAGCTCCCACTAGATGCTTAAGGAAAGAAAAGTACGTTTAAATAAGCTTCATTTATGATAGGGAGCGACTAAAACTAGAATCAATATTTTAAGCCATCGGCTGCTGAGGTTCAGTATTTTGTATCTTAACTTTAGATTTGTTTCCTTACTTGGAGATGATAATTTTATTATTATTGTATCCTTTAGTTGTGCCCATAGTTTCAAACGCCAAAGCGTTATCCACTAGACCACTTGGGCCACGAGAGCCACCTCTTGTTCAATTCAATAATTAATATATGACCCGTTGCACAAGAGGTGGCTCTCGTTGCCCAAGTGGTCTAGTGGATAACGCTTTGGCGTTTGAAACTATGGGCACTGGGTTCGAGCCTCGGTGGGAACATCATCACTCACTGAGAAATGCAGGTACATCCAGCTGACGAGTCCCAATTAGGACGAAATGCGCATCCTGGATTCCACTGCTAGCCACCATCCACCAATTGTAAACAAGCCATATTCGTTGTTCACTCGAGTTATCTATGGATTTCAGTATCGTTTTACGCACTTGGACTCAATACCAACTAATCTTCAGTGCCAGCATACTCTAATTAGTTCTGTTGTGCAATTCTTTGTGTTATTTGTTCCAGTCATATGTTAAACTCCTCAGTCCAGACTTCGTCACGAACCTGCATTCGTCAATGAACTACTCAAAATCAAGGAATACTAGACTACTACCTATTTAGTCTTAGTTAAGCAGCTTTGAGCACTCCACACTCACTACCACACCAAAGGTAGGGCTATGGGGCCTTGGGTTATGTGAAAATCACATATAACATTCGGTTACTAGGCTTTCAGCCGATTGTATCAGTAAATATCTTTTCCCATACCCAGTTCAGTGAACCCACTTGTCATCACTTTTCTTGTGCAGTTGTAAAATCTAAACCAACGTCTTTCCTAAGAAGATTTTATTATAATTACACTGAATAACGTGAGACACAGTTTATCGGTCTGTGTTTAGCACATAACATTCTTCCCTGTCGAAACCATGGATCTATTTTTTTCAGCAATTTGGCGTACACGATTTCCGATATCTTCATTGTTTTAAAACAAACCACCAGCTAACTGGTTCATTTATTTTTCGGTTTGGTATTGTTGTAGTGAGAGCAGCCTGCTACCCAATCGGTTGACATTAATCTACGTCAATATCTAGGTCACTAATATTGGCCGTGAGAAAATATGAACAAGGCTGATTCAGCAACCAGTCACAGCAGACTTAAACGTGGGAAAATATGATTCGCAGATAGATGGCTCTACTTTTCGATGGTTACCCGAAACAACCAATCAGAAGAGTGCGTTTGTCTACTTGACTAGGCTATAATAATGTATGTGAAATTTATATAAATACGTGTTAATTTCGTAATAAAACGATTTATTGCCTAGTCCTTGTCTTCTGTTGTTACATTGTTACTTCACATCTACAAATGATCTAAATTCTTCTTTGCTCCTATTTATATTTCACTAGTTAAAGTGAGCATACGTCATTTCAAGAGCTTTGCTCTTCTTTATTTAAGCTGTTTTAAATAGGATTAAAGAAGTGAACTTTCAAATTACATTAGATATCATTGTGTATCCTGTAATTAATTTTGTCATCCCATCCTAAATTCGCTTATATGTTTCTAAATATTAGTTATTTTCATTAATTACGTAATAGATGAAAGCTTATTGTCTAAGTATCAATTAGTGAAATACTCACTTACAAACGTATCACATGAGACATTACAAAAAAAACTGAAAAGCGTGTACATTGAATGTTTTATTCTGTAAACTTACAGTTTTAGCCCTTCATTCCATCTTTAAAACAAAGTGAATTTTCAAGTTAAAAGTGTAAGTCCAGAGATACACTTTGTTCAATCACATATTAAAGGTGAATAAACACCTATGAGGTGTTCTACTTATAAACAGTTATGAGTAGTATGTTGAGCACGTTATATGTAATATAAATCAGAGTACTAATAATTCTCTAAAACACTAGGATATTAAGCTTTTAAAATAGTCTAGCTAATAAATCTCTGAACATTTTACCACATAGTATTTTTATGCCATTAGCTTCGTATCAATTTTTCGTGGGAAGTGGTACAGTTCATGCTGTATTTCTATCACATTTTGGCTATTTAGCCGTTTAGAAACTTATATTGTTTATTATGCTAAAATTTCAATGCACTGGTATTTCTTTTTATTTCCACCTTTATTTTGTTCCACTTATATCCGGATTTTCAACTCCATTGTGAAGTCAGTGCTATTATACGGATCAGAGACTTGGCGCGTCACGAAAGGCAATTCGAACAAACCACATACCTTCATCAACAGCTGTCATCGCCCAATACTACTCAAGATCAGATAGCCGCCCAGAAAAGATCAGAAACAGCGATCTCTGGGAGTGAACCAACCAGAAACTGATTGTGCAACAAATATGAAGGAAGAAATGAAGATGGACTGACCATACTCTGAGAAAACAAACCACCAAGTGATATCGCACGCCAGGCAATCGCTCGAGTGGAACCCAGCCGGAAGGGAAGCGGCGAGTTGGTCGTCAGTACGAGGGTGACATGGATGAGGTCATGCGAAGAGGAGATGAAGGCGTGTTGACAGACGTGGAGCCTGGTGAAATGTTGGCAGAGAACTGAACGTAATGGAGACCTGCGGCTGAACCCATATGTTCCTCTATGAACTAAAGGAAACAATAATAATAATATATCCTCTCTTATAAAAAGCCTGGTTCACCTATAACTCACATTACTGTATGTCCCATACAACTAATGTTTGTTCCCCATTGGACATTGATTTATCTCTGAGAAGTTTACTTTCACTAGTCAAAAGCACTTGCTGGGAAGTCCCTATAACGATATTTTTAATACAAGGCTTTTAAACTGAGTTGTTTTGTATTCTCTGATATTTGATTGTGAATTCTTACCACACCGGTAGGTGACATTTTCAGTAGTAACTGCGTTAATAATTCAAGAATATTTACTTGAAACTCTTGTGCACCGTTTCCCCTTTCATCTGAAATTTTATTCAGATGTAACTGAGAAAGAAAATGTTTCTCTATATAACTTTTCCGTGGTAAATTCCAATGAATCACACGAAAACAAATTCTTTCTTGTACTGTAATTCTCTTTTGAAGATGTCATTGAGCTTATTGATGGAATGTCCACAGCAAATATCTAAACTTGAAGTATATCAAAAACCATTACATTATATTTGTCCTGAGGTATAAATCTTCTCCACTGTTTTCAGATGTATCGGTCATTATTACTGTTTGTTTACTATTGTTTTATATATCCGCTTTCCAAGTTTATGTATAATTTGAAGTTTTATTCTACCAGAAGGTTAATTATTCACCTGGATTTTGAATTTTTCAAAGGAAATTTACACTGGCACTCTCAGAGTTTAGACACACCAATTTTTGTCTGAATCGTGTAATGTATTTGCACAACACATTTCGAACAATCTGATCACACACGGATTTGTCATAGGAATATATATGAAATTAGTGGGGAGTTGAGAGGTGATAAAGTAGACTTAGGTCAAGTTAAAAGAACATATTAAAGTTCAAAATCACTAAACCAAATAACAGAGGTAATAGTGCATCTGCTTTGGTATCAAAACAAAGTTTACCAAGGAAGGTTTAGTGTGATGACGAATTGTTTTTGAACGCATAAAGGTGGTTTAAGCTTTCTAATTGCCAGCTACAGCTTCCACAAACTCTAGGACACGCTCCAAACACGTTTTATAGATAGGTTTAAAAGATGTTTTAACGTCAAATTTATGTCCTGTCTCTATAATATGTTTCTCAACAGATGAGGTAGGTTTCCTCTTCTCACCATTAATGGGTTCTGAAGATTCTGTTTGCTTCTGGAGTCATTTAGGAGTATGCTCTGAAGCCCTTACTTGCAGAAATCGATGAGTCCTCCCTATGTATGTGTTTCCATACATACATTCAAACTGGTAAATACAGTGGGATGTGACATAATTTTTCTCATGTTCAGAGGGCTTAGATGGTTTGATATATTGGCTTCACAATCTCAATTATTATAATATTAGCTGCATAAAAAGTCTTTTTAACAACAGCGTTCAATCTTTGTCTAGTTGTCAAGCTGCTATGATGTCCCATATAGGTTAGTTTGATGCACACGTCTTTCTTAGGGGCGAGTTGGAGAGTGGGTCTTGGTGTTCTGACTATTTTATATCTCGTGATGAACTTATCTGGATAATTGTTGTCAAACAGAGTTTGTGTCAACCTTCTTTCTTCTTCATCAAGTGTGTCTTCTATGCATATTCCTCGGATTCTACTGAAGAGGCACCTTACTAAGACTCTTAGAGATCTCACTTATCCAAGTTTTTCACATTAACCCAAATAAATTTAGTCTTTGAAAGAGAGTAATATGGAAAAATGGAGCAAACTCTTATACTTATTTAACTTCCCTTAACAATTCACTGATAAACTATAAAATAATCTCAATTACTATCTCTCATTTCGTTTCTTCTGTCTTATTCAACAGATATTAAAACAATTTTACTAAGTAAATTATCACTTACACGACCACAAGATCTTGACTCCTATCATTAAAATAAAATGGTGTACATAAAAATGTTAATACATACAACACTGAGAATATTGTTAACAGCATACAAAACTTTCAAACTTATTCACACGCTTTAAAGTCTTTATCTAAGGTATTATCAGAGGTTTAATTTCGAAATATATTTAGTCAAAAGATTGAATGAGAATCTCTGACGCCAAGATATCACAAAGTAAAAGAGTGAATGACATTCATATGCAGAAATCTCGATTTGGGTGATAATGGTGAAAAGTTATGAAATATTCATCAATGAGCGGGAGATAAATGAATTCATCAATAAACCAGTTTTATTGATTCAGCTGACGGAAATAAAATATTCAGTTTGTCTGAATTTATACATATATAGAATATTCTAGAATAATCGACATTAACAATATTGGTGTTTAAATATTATCGATTTATTAAATGAGATCAACGGAAGTATAATTCACAAAAGACGGTTAAGTTATAATAAGAATAAAAATGTAATACTAAACAGACTATCAAATGAAATTAAGGAAATTTCCACAACAAATTGAGAATCATTAAAACCTTGATGGCCAAAGTAAGGACAGTGTCTGAACTAACTTCTTTAGGATGTAGTATACCGTATACAAAGGCAAATCCTCCTCCGCTGTGCTCACTGAAGCTGGTGTCCCCCAAGGTGCTGTACTCTCCCCACTTCTTTTTCTTTCTACATGACATACCATCTTCAAATGACATTAATTTTGTCAAATATGCTGATGACCTAACTGTATCTTTTCCTGTCAAAGTGACTGCACTAAACTAAACGGCTTTTTATCATAAGTCAGTCAATGGTCCAAGGAAAACGGTCTCACCTTAAATCCCTCTAAATGTCAAACAGTCAATTTCACCTTTAGGCATAATTCTGACCCAAACAAACTGACTAGCACTCACGAGGTAGGTGTGCAACATAGATGGCACGGAAATGGAGACCAAGTCAGAAATTAAACATCTTGACGTCATTCTGTTTGCTGATCTTTCCTGGTCGTCTCATATCTTGATGATTTCTAAGAAAATATTCCGTCATACCTTCTACATCAAGACATTCTGGAATAACCCAACCCTTACTCTGACGATTCGTTAACTCTTGCATCCTGACTATTATTCTCTATTGTTCCCCCTTAGTTTTTCCTGGGCTACTGAAGAAAGACTATACCTTATTACACAGGATATTAAAGGTTGTCAGCAGGGTAAGCAATGTGCCACTTGACCAGCTTGTTAATATTCTGGTTGACAGGCACTTGGACTCATGTGAAAAATGGGCTGAATCCATTCTATCTAACTCACATCACCCTCTTCATTCACAACTCTTCCCTTGTATCTCATCAGGCAGGACCAGAAGCCTATATAGAAAACTATATGCTCGCACTAGCAAGTACAAACACAAAACTCAACCATACCCTACTTGGCTCGTGTTATGTGTGATAAAGAAAGCATTAGGCGTGAAACTTATAATTTATTAAATAGTCAGTAGAACAATTGGATCTCGCCTTTCCAACTCATATCATTTATAGGTACAGTGTTTTTCTTTCTTTCTTTACCTTTTCTCTCTCTTTTTTCTGTTATGTGCAGCTTTGTTTCTTTCTTCTGCCCACGCCAGTTAATATGCTAGAACCTACTTTTCTAGCACCTTCAAACACTCTGTTTAATTTTGGCTTTGCTACCTCCATGCTAATATGTTGTTGTCAAAACAAACTGAGATTATCCTTAATCTATGTAGAATTTTATTTATTGTTAATGTACAAAATGGATGCAATACTGTAGTAAAATGATGAGAATTCCATTCTGTATCGCAAATACTGTTTTAGAATAAAGCTATTATCCTTATTATTCATTATTAGGATACATAAGTTAGGTCTTTTAATGTAGATCCCAGTAGCTTTAACAATATAACAATATATGGTAAAACTACGATTATTTTTTACATTATTATTATTATACTCTAATTCCCTTGAGTTCTGAGTGGAACATAGGGCTTCTATGTCACTCTAGGACTATCCACTGGTCGCTTCCAATTTGGATTCCACTCGAGAGGCTGTCGCGATGTCATTCGGCGGCATCCTCAACGTATGCCATTTCCATTTTCTCCTACAAATTTGATCTTAACACATAGATAATATTTAAACAATATTGTTAATGACGATTATTCTAGAATATTCTGTGTATATTGATGTATAATTGTAGACATCAGTTAGAGAACCATTGGAAGGACCCTCTGGTTACAAGGCGACCTCGTATACCATTAAGCCACTGGGACCCGGTCCAATGGCCCCATGAATTCTAACTTCTACCAATTCACGACAGGTTTTCCAATGGTTCTCTAACTAATGTCAGCTCATGATGAAATCCTGAAACCCATCAAATCCCTACAAACCAACACTTCTATAATTGTAGAGCCAGAAGAAGAAATTAACTAAATGGATATTCTTTGCTCGATTTTTTTCTAAATACATATATGTATATATATTGGAGTATTTTTCTTGAATGTTGTCATGTAACTTCATTGCTAAGATTATTATATAATTTTTTTCCTGTAGTTTAATCAATAAAGAATATATGTACTTACAGCATTTGCAGCTTCACATATCTTAGCAAAAGGAAAATAAGCTGATTATTTGAATTATCTTACAATATTATGTTCATTTTAGTAATATTTCATTCAATCATTCATAGTACAAGTAAAGAAGCTTTAGAATTATAGTTAATATGTGAAAAATACCTATCTAGAGATGAAAATAAGAAAAAATGTTTTTCAGCCTTCTCATTCAATTAAATGTACAACTATAATTATATATATATACGGGTGTTGTTGTGTGTACATTCAGTTTACCAATCATAGGGAAATGGGAACCAACACTAGATACCGTTCACGCCAAAATAATATGTAATGGTGAAGATTAAACAGCGTGGAAGTAAGTGTGTTAAAACCCGTGGTATGAGACTTCTTTTATCTTTGTGAAGAACCTTGGACAAATCCCTTCAAGAAACTGAGTGACCTGTACTCCGTACGGTTAAATCACCCACAATAGCTTATACTTTTGATGTCGAACAGACTAAACTGGTGTTTGATTTGTTTGTCTGTTTTCTCAATTATCTGCTTTTCTGAAATCGCTTAAATTTCTGTGTTTAAACTCATCACTAAATAGCTGATTTGAAAACAAATCACAAACAGTTTTCAAGACAAGCTAACTCATCATATTGTACGAATGAGTATCACGGGTTTCTTTTGTTCTAATTATATTGAAATATATTCCTATTGTATTAAACGTAATGCTGTTGATACTAAACGAAGTGAATTAATAATTCTTTTCACGACTAGCCTTTTATTGATCCGTTACTCCAGTCCTTGAGTTAAGTCTCATGCTACTTATTAGTAATATGCAGTATCCTGTTTTGCCAGTAGTAACTTTCATCTGGTGATTACACTACACTTACTGTACATGTTTTTCTTATTTTCTAATTATTTTTGAACCTCGTCTGTTCTAATCCTCTTTACTTTGCTGAGTATATTCATAAGTTTTATTTCTGACTAGATTGCAACACTATCGCCTTTACCTTTATGACGCACTGTGATACCCACAATCTGACGTCTTCAGTTAATCTATAATAAATCCTGTATTCTCAATTTTATATTTCAGGTGAGCCTTTCTTTTACATAATCGAAAATTTGTTTTCTGGCTGCGAATTTGCATTCCTCAGAAGTCTACACTACGTAGGTATCAGTTAAGTTGGATTTCACTTACGCAACAATGATTATCCTTGTATTTCACCATTTGGTATCAAGACTAATTCTAAAACAAGTTTTTGTCCAACAAAGTTTTTGAAGAAAGTAATGTAGTTATCACTATAGATAAAATATTAAGTGATGTTATCAAATGTCATACTGCCAGAAATTATCATACATACCCCTTGCGACAGATCAATCAGAGATACTAATCCGAAGTGGTCAGTACATTTAAATAATACGCCTAGAGCCCATCCTGAACACTAAGAATCCAGAATGAATCGATATATAATTTGATACCGGCCACTGAAAAAGTTCATGAATATCGGATATCTTGTTTGGTTATATAACGCATGATGAATTCCATTGTTTCCACACATAAATGAAGAGGTGTATGAATTAATAGTGAGAAGTTATAACTGTACCAGCCACAAATGAAAGAAATGCCCACTGGCACAATATTTCAGAAACACTGCATGCTTATAAACCTGTTACCGTTCATCAGATGCCTATTTCATTTCATCAGCTGTTACAACAGGTTTCCCTTGTAATTTCCTACGGTTTCTATGACAAAATGTAAAATAGATCAGAGTAACTTTTGAAATAAGTGGAGCTTGTAATAACTAACCATTCTTGTTCAGTTTGTTTACCTATACTATGTGAGATCAGTTGGTGTTTGAAGTGATCAGTTCATGGTTGCTGTGACGTCTTAAAATGGTAGGTTCTTATAAACCGCCAACACATCTTATCAAATACATTCTTAAGCAGGAGAAAGTATTATATACTCTTTTCATTATTTGGAATGGCGTCAAGAGGAGCTTAGCTGTCAAGTTAGGGTAGGGCAGGTTAAACAGTCAACCAGTTGCATGGTCAAATTCCAGGTCTAGCAGAACAGATGACCGCACAACAGTCATGAAAGTTATTTCTGGTTGAGGTGGACAAGTAAATGAGCTCACAATCGTTAAACCAATGTAGGTAGCTGCATTCCTGGCAATACAACACCACATATGCATTGTACATAACAGATAACACAATGAAACACTTAGGGTTGATATCTTCACATGTAGAAAAATGTTTTCGTTTGAAACTTAGTCTGACACAATTCAAAATCCGTTATATTCAGGAACACATAACCAAATGTTACGACATTAACATAAAAATGACTATGATAACAAATAATCGCTTTAATAAGCTTATATGCCACCTAAGGTTGACTGATTTGGTTTGGTTACATAACTAGAGAGAAATCAAAAGTAATATTTAGTAAAAATAATAATAATGCCTTTCCTAGAGTTACATTCTCTTACACTTTTCTGTAGCACGAACATCTGTAATGGACATAAATCAGTACGGTAACACTAATTCATATTAAACGACAATTACTTTTAGAGTATCTATACGATAACATGTTTGAAGTAGGGAAGACCAGCCAGTTGTTGGCTTTTAGCATCTCAATATGGTTTTATTTATACATTCTCGTCATACAAGTCACTAAGGAATTCTTAGTACGTCTTTTACTAGAATAATGAGATAGACAGAATGTTTCTTCTCCGTGTTCTTTGTGTTTTGTGGCGGTTGACATTAATCGAGTGTTTCTATGTTTATTAATTATTACCTAAGCCGAAATCTAAGCCTACAAAAACTGTCTAACATTCCTTGAGATAACTGTGTGCCAAAGTTTTACATTTTGTCAGGAGAAGAAGACTCAGAAAATGTTGTGTTCCACTTTTAATTTCTGAAAGACATTACAAATTTACTCTAAATATGAGGTCCAGATCTTATTTTTCGTTTTTAGATAATAACATGAAGAATATTATAGGAAAGAACAAACCTTTTTTGCTACCTAAGGTATAATGACTTTGGGAAAAGTCGTTAGCAGTCTTTTCATTTATCATGAAACAATCCATTCTATAGTTTTCATGAATAAATCTGGGAGTGATTACGAACGTGACAGATAACTGTTAACAGTGTTTTTAGATTGGATAACTGTTAAATAAATCTTCTTTCATCACAATGGTTAGTATGGTGTATTGTGTCTTAATTGTTCTGTACACTATACAATAGTTAAGAGATATTTTTAACATACACTCTGGTCACCTATCTGTATTTCTCAGGTTTATGTGGACCACATTACTGGTAGACCGATATACAAGTAAGTAGGGGAACGCTGAACATCCACCACAGCATATAAAATTAAGCAAAAGACTGTCAAATTTCACATTAAGTATGTTAACAATAATTCACCTGACTAGAAGCCAGTGGGTGTATAATTCCCATATTTTGATATGAGAGCCAGACTATCTATCTGTTGTTATTGATAATTAGCACCCACATGCTTGATGTGAAGCAGGCGATCGACTACGAGTTCTCCCTAGCACTTTGAAGAGTACACTTCGAATACTGTCAGTAAAGATGAATGGATTGATGTCCAGTTGTTTAAAAATAACTTTATCAGTGAAATATCTGACCTCGTCCTCATCTTTGAATTAGATGTTATAGTGTGGTAAGAACTGACTGCAAGCCAAAGTTGTAGACAACAACTTACTTCAATGTACACGTCCCAAATCGGGATCATGAGGAGAACAATAATAAAGCTTGACCTTGAGAAATCACCAGCCAATCACAGCGGGGTTAACGTGTGGAAATAGGATTCGCAGATATATGGCTTGATTTTCTGAGAAACGGTCACAAAGAGATAACAGAATGCATGCAGATCATGGGTTCCAAATGAGGTGAAACATAACTCGGTTTCTGTTGTCAGCCACCACCAACCAAAATTAAGCTGTATATAGACTGTTCATGCAATGACTAGTCATTTTTATTTACAAATATCATTGTTAAACATTCGTCAGTATTTATTAGCGAATAGTAAATTGAAATAGCTGATATATGATATGATTAAAGTAATGCATATATTCTATAAAGTGAAATACTAATACATACGCTTTGTCCCAACAATCACCACTACAAGGAGTTTATAAAAAAAAATTCAGTATGCATAAACAATGATAAAGAATAAACACCAATTTTAGCTTAAGATCTAAATCTGAATTCATTTGAGAAAATGTTGGTTACTGCCCAATAGTAATTCATTTCAATGTAGAATTTTTCAAGAATCCATATAGGTTAGAGAATCACTGGAAACCAAGAAACTATGGACAACCGTTTTGTCCTAGTTTGGCACTCTTTAGCAGAATTTTAAGGTAACTTTATTTTGGGACTTAAATCATTGCGATTGCATACATTAGGTCTTGGTTCAATAAGCATAGGTTCAGTACTCAATCACTCTATATCTTTGCTTTCATTAGACTTTGGCATTTTCGTACTAGTCGGCCCTATAACTTAGTCATGGATTAGTGGATGCATCATGATAGTCAAACTATTCTTAACTTACTTGCCTTACTGGCATCTACCACTCTGTATTAAGCTAAATTTTCTGCTCATACATTATGGTTTACCCTGATTGATTGTTCTGACGCATATACTTGACCTTACATTCATTACTTGGTATTTCATAGGTTAAATTGTCTTGCACAGAGGATACTATTGCAACGTTTAACCCAGCTAGTTTCTTTGTGAATGCACTTGTAAATCCTAAATTCCACTCTAATCCCAGATTTGTTAAGAACACTGTGAAGTTTTTGATAGTCCTTCTTCATATGGCAATACTGAACAGGTCAAACCCAGCACTTTCAGGTTCCGTTCCCACTGTGATCATGGGGGCGTGATGTTGAGAAGTTTCGAAATGGGATGAAACAGCCGTCCTATACTCCCTGATTTTCAATGATCCTTTGATTTAAATCAATCCGTGATCAAACCTGAAACCAGTTAAATGACTACAAACTAATTCTTGCAAAACATGTGAATGAAGCCTTTGAGCATTGAGTTGGAGTATAGTTTCTTAAACTGTATGCATGACACTAGCAGAATATTGTTTTAGGTCGTTCGTTTTCGGGATCTCTTTTATTTCACAAGCAGCATTATCTTTATCAGAACATGTGGAATTTAGCCGGCTTCAATAATTTATTGCAAAAGCGTCCATGAGTGACTATCAACCTATAGCTTTTATGTGGTGTTTTATATTAGCTAAATGACAGGAAGTGTATACTGGAGCAGTGGAGCTTTTTAGAAAATAGAATTTTCGACAAAGTTATTGTATTATTTCTTATTAATAGGTCAGTAATTCAGAAACTTTTACCAGGCTTACTTCGTAACTGTTTCATAGATCTGTTTTATAACGCTAATATAAAAATAAGTGAAATACATTTAAGATATAACACAGCAGAATCCAGGATAATAGTAAAGTATTATCAAAATCAATAAGACCATGTTCTATATTAACTTAGATTAAAATTCATTTGTGTAATTTCTTAATTACAAACATTTATACATGTTATAATAATACAAATCTCAGTGAGTTCAAAAAAGATTATGCTCACTCCTACTTGCAGACTGTGTATAATTTGGAAGGGTTATTCATGATGATATGGACAGGTATGCATCTCAAGCTAACTTCAACGAACTGGTGGAATGACTAAATAATAGATTGTAGTAGTCAATTCTATTTCTAAACAAATCGGTGTAAACTGAGTATAGGAGGAGCTGTCAGTATTCCGTTAACAGGTCACACTTCTAGCGTTTTGGGGCTCTAGACCTTCTGAATTGCAGCAAAACTATGAATTGTAAAAGAAGGCCGATTATTATGCGGTTATGTCTGGAATAATCAGCATGTTGGAGTCTCTTGGAAGGACAATTTAATAGCTTATTGCACTACGTCTTACATGTGATAAGCCAAAGTTGAAGTTTGTAACATACCTCAAAAATTAAGTACAAACTCAGAGGATAGTTAGTAAATTAGTGACAGAACTTGTCCAAATTTTTGGCGATGAACAACTGGAATAGTTAGACCTTTTCTCTTACCACTGTAATTGAAATTTAGTTTATTTTAGGTTGGTAAACAACGCATTTTATAATGTGATTAATCCCCGAAGCTATTTCGTTTGTTCCTTTCAGTCAATAAATTAAAGTCAGAACAGTTTATTTACCCTGTTCTCCCTCCTTTGCACTGATTATCTTAGAAACCAGCAAAAACCAAGGTTGGGTCACCTCTGTATGGAGTATAAAGTCACTCACAACAACTGAAACAAATTACTGACATCTGTAACAGCAGTTTATTTGGCTAAAACGTCTAAGGGAAAAGCCAGTGCAGTGACTAAAAAATGGATTATGACGTATTATCCACATCACTGCAGCTTAGAGACAATGACATGATGATTAATAATGTTTACTTGTTGCCTAATACCCGGCAGCCATCTGTAATTCAGTACTAAACGCGATTTTCATTCTATTTTCGGCTAGTTGTTTAGATAAATTAACTGTTCATCACCAAGTTTTATCTTTTCAGGTGTATATGAAAACTGGAGTGGATTCTGAGTTGTACAGTGATCACAGCCTTTTATATATCAATTTAGATAAAGTCCCTTTCAAAATAATATATGACATAACATGATCGATAGTACACCTTTAATTTCAACAAGTAATCCTTATTACTGAGAGGAAAGTTAAAAATACATCCACACATTATTTATAATTGTAAGATAGTAAACACTATTGAATGCCTAGTTGTCAAATCAAAATGATTTAAACACTTCTTAGACGCTTTGCTCATCTGTACGTGAGTTCATCAGCAGTGTAATCAGACGGATTGACAGCCAAGCTTAAACAGCTCTCTGAGCTGACGATGAGCTTAGACCTAAACAAGTGAAATGTATTTCCAGTGTTTAGACTACTTCGATTAGGCCAGCACACAGTACTGGTTAATGTGAGTGATTTCCAACTGCTCATTTCAATCATTAGTGTATATGCCATCTTGCTATACTATTCGCTTTTTGATTGAAATTTATGGCATCAAGCATTTGAAATACCGCATTAATAATGTTTTAGGATCCTCCAAAACTGGTGAAATTTTATCTTAGACTGTGTAGTTCGTAAATCATAAATTTATTCCTAATAATTTCAGGGTTAAGTAATTTGTTTTATTCATAGAACTGAACTGTTCAAACACTTAATAGTTGAGGTGGATTTTCATTCTTACAAAATGAACCACCTTACTAATACTTATAAAAATATATCTCATCACAAGCCATGATAACGTTAAAAACCTAAATGTTTTGAATGTATGCTTCAGACGCTAGATAAATCCACACCTACTCTCTCAAAGATTAAGTTGGAAAACGTTAAGTTTTTCAGGGACCGTATTACCACTTAACTACTAAATTTGACATCTAACATGTGGCTTAACATAATCACCTGTCAGTGTCATCAATGACATATAGGAAATTAATCCAGTTGAATGAGGGGATAATTAGACGTAAAATATTTCAAAATGAATTCAGAGTGAGCTAATAACTGAATCATAATTTAACTCACTTATCTTTATCGAATTCTTTCCTATTACCATCAAGTATAGAAGTGAAAATTTTTAGGTACCAAAATTTTTGTAAAAATAGGAGCTATAGTGCCAACTGAAACACTATACTCTCTACAAGAAGCTTGCTATATCGTTATTACTATATGCTTACTATGTAGGAGTTTGTCTTTAGTTCCAGTGATTCTCAGTAATATGGAGGAGTATATAAGCTGTTGCCAAAACAAATTTACCTCTCTTTCGTCTCCACCTACTTGATTGGGTAGATCATTGTTGATCATTTACGACTTGAATTGCCTCAGATAGCTAGTCTTATGTGTGATTTTGTAGTAAGTGCTTAGAGGAGTGCTGTAATCATATCAGGTGTTACTTTTGGATGTTTTGAAAGTGATGTTTCGGTTTCACTTACAAAGCTGTAATATCTACTGTGACATCTGCTATACTATGTGCCGAAACACCTTGTAATTACTTTCGTCATCACATATATATATCGGGTAATTCAATGAATTCTAACTCAGAATATCAAATTCGGGGACAGGATCTATCAATTCCTCGAAACTTTGATCACCGGCTTATTTATCAGTCGAATTAACTTTAAATAGGGTAAACAGTAATGTTAGTAGCATAAAGCTTGAACATTTCCAGTGGGTGCAGGATGTTATTTCATTGGTAAATTAAGCATTGTGTTATAATGTTCCAGCCAGGTCAGCCCTATTTTAGCAGTATTATTAGTCCCTCATGACACACTGCAACTGGATGAATCTGCAAGTGTACTAAAATAAACTTGCCGTTATGTTCACACATTCATTACAGATTAATTTACTTAAACTTAACAATTTAAAGTAATATCTCATAGCAAGATTTTTCTCGCTAACTCTCAGGGTATATTGTGTAATGCATCGACATCATTCGGGTAATAATCTAAAACCAAGAAATATTAAACATCTGTTTCCTGCTAGTCTGGTGATTTTCCTCATAGAGCATTTATGATCCAACCATGGATCAGGTCTAGTACCCACAGTTTACAAGGGGAATGATGACACAATATGGTAAATCAAAAGAAGTTAAAATTCATGAGTAACCTGATTACATCCTGTTAGCTCGGACAGTATACAGACCTGTCTCGCTAACTGAAGATCATGGTTTCAATACTTGATGGGGTCTTAGATGTACAGAGCTTAAGAGTCTTCTTACACTAGCAGTTCAGTGCTTCTTGGTCCTCAGTTGTTCTCTATATGATTTAGTTTTTAAATGAAATCGACCTTGGAAGTAACCAATAAAACTTATACTCGGAGATTTTATTTCTTTTATACTGTCAAGTTTCAATAAATTTATTTTCAATAAATATTAACACATAATGATAAGTTTTAGTTTTTGCAATATTTTTGAGTACAAGCAGTTATTTTACTGGAAATACTACCGGAAATAAAACATTATCCTTTGTTAATACGTATAACAAGGGCGCTTAAAATAGCGTGCAACAAGTCAGAAATTTAAAGCGTACACATTCTAATGTCAGACGATATAACTATTACACCTCACTCAATGTTTAAAGACAGTGGAATCCCAGAAGTTTTATTCATGACACTTATACATAAATTTAATAACCAATGTACATACTAAAATCCATATATTATAGTGTGAAAACCTAAGTCTATAAGATAATGTTTACTTACGCTGCAGTAATAAACGGTTCTCTAAAAGAAAAGTGAATTTTTCAAATGTATAAAATATGTGCATTCTTTTAAGTATATACTAAAAGGCATAATTCTCCCTATTCACATTCACATTATATTGTTTATTTCCATTTTAGATGTGTTTTTATTTTCTAAAATCTTTAACTTCTCTCCCTCAGTTAAAATACCTAGTTTACCGACTACATTTCACACTAGGTATGAATCGTCTATTTACGAATGGACTCAGAATACCTTGGATCACCATCAAATGGGAAACGATTCTGGCATATCATTTAAAGGGGTAATTATACATCTCATCAATGTGAATTTTCAAAATTACTGTGTATGCTAATAAGCAAGTAATGAAATTCCTCCATTTCCGTATTTATAATTATACTATATCCATCAAAAAGTGACTTGCCTTAGAGAAATTTTATGGAAAATAAACGGTTACAAGTACATCAACAGTATAACTTACAGATACTTGTTGCTTGACTTTCTGGATTTTTATGTGAGTGCATGTATGATTTTGTGAAATAAAACAAAAAATTGTTAAGTACAGTTTAATTGGTGTATATTCTACAGTAAGAATTGGACACATAAATGGGTGGAAAGTTATGTCTTTACAATTTATGAAGTCGTCTAATTCTTATTTCTTTCTCAGGATTACAAAAATCGCTTGTTGACGAGTGCTGGAAATCCCTCAAACACACATACACGTGGTTGGACTAGATTTAAAAGGTTAGTTTCTAATGTAAACGAAGATCCATGATAACTGTATTAGTTTCAGTCCAATAAATGATTAGGTTTTCCAGAAGAAATGCCTCTGGTGATGATTTGAAGAGAAACCATGTCCTTTGGTTTTGATTAAGAACAACTGGTTTCTTTAGTAGGACATCGGCATATATATTCTTCTGTTTGGTTTTATTTGCAAGAATACATTTTTATGGTTCCTGATTTGTTGCTCTGATAGGATTCTTAATAAAACTCAGCAAATCTGTTATAACCATTATTATGCACAAATGTCAACATCATGTTAGAATTCTTAATTGGCTGAGACTAGAAGGAAAAGTGCTTTCATGCAGAAGATCCAGAAGTGCACATAATCCTCGCCCAATACAGGAAGCGTTTAAAAGGGATTGATTGTTTGACACCATGACTACTAGTCAAAGCTAACACGATAAACTTTGACTGTTCCATTTCTGAACTAGACGTTCAACCCATTAATCAGATTTAACCCACGATCGGAGGGTGTGTTATTAAGTAAGATATCATCTAGATACTCGATTAGAACCCAGTGCTGTGTTTTATAACCGCATGATGAAATCCTCTGGAATTTCATGTTTTAAAAACTTACTCCAAAAAGTTATACTCTTATTTTATTGCAGTTCTAATTTCCTCGATATATTCCCACTCCTCAATATTCTTAATATTAGTAGACTTTCAATAATTAACTAATAATTAGGAAATAAGTATCTTCCATCACTTTCCACTAAAATTTATCTGTCTTCATATCTTATAAAAGGTAAACATCCTTTAGCAGGCAGTCAAGACAGGTGGTAAAATAAGTATTCCAAGTGTTAACATTTTCCACTCATCTAAATTGTGAAAATGAGCGTCTTTATGACGTGAATTATTCGTATCTAATTCCCTATCGGGACACATGCTTTCCGTTATATCTTAAATATTTTAGAAGCGTATTTATAAGAAGTTTACCACCTGTAATAAATCTGTAGAGCAAGCTGCAGACAATACGTTCGACTGTTTTAAACTCTCCTTACTGTAGTGGAATGACAAAGTAGCTGAATAGCTAATCATTCAAAAGAAAAACCCCATTTTTACTGTACTTTTTAACTTCTAGCAATTTTTCCTCTATGCGCTACTTGTTTAGGTTTTATGCATTCGGGTGAGAACCAAATAAATTAGACTTGGTCCTGCTAGATGGTAAATTCTGTTTTGCTTGTATCATAAAGAAATAAAAGGCTCCTAGTGTAAGAGTAGAATTTAGGCAGTGTGATAGAATAAAATCTCCACATTTTTGAAATAGTGCACAGTGATGTAATATTGGTACCCAGATACCGTATCCGGCACAATTTATCGCTTATTAATGTAATTATCAGCAAAACATTGGGCTAGAAACGTTACCCATTTATTAATATCATGTCACTGTGAGCTTTATGTAACAGACAGACTTATTTCGTGTGTAATGAAGCCTATTACTTACATTTCTCACTCGAACTTACATGTATTTTGAAGATTGTTTTCTAAAATTATATTTAATAGGGAAAGAAAGTACTAATGAGAAGGTAAATGGTTCCATTAAAATAAAAGTATTCCCTAAAATGTAAACTTCGTTGAGACATAAATGATTAATCACTCGTTGTAATACAACCTTTTACTTATCTGTACTTTGACCGATCGTCAATGGTGAGAAATCTTATGCATACAGAACATTTTCTCTAACGTAATTTAGAGTGCATGTTTGGAAACCAGTGACTAGATTCGTCTGCATCTCCTTGAATTTTGTTGATCTTATCGACATTTCGATCCACAGGCTAATGAACCACAAGATCCCTCACCTATTTAAACTTATGATTTTCCGTTGTCGATTTCTCTGTAGGAGAAGAATTGGCTTTGGTGACTCGTTAATCTTGTGGACGATACCTAACAGTTACTGTGATGCTTCTTGGAATGTACTGTAGGTGGGAAATTCATTTTTTTTTACTAGGATGCGAGTAAATTAAATACGTTCTAAACTGTACTGCTACACTCCTCACCCTCCAATAGGTTGTGGAGCAAAGACAAACAGTCGTCCAACACGTGGAACCGAATGCATTATTGGGCTTCATAGACTAAGAGGTATATTAGTCAAGGATATCTCATGTCGCTTCTATTTAATGCCATTAGAGATTAGCCAATGGAATTTGCCCTGGTCGATTTCAGTGTTTCAAAGAGTGACTTGTAATCACGGGCAAAACTCGTCTATGTAAAGTACGCATACTTTGTTGTCCTTTACCTTAAGACTCTGACAAAATGAAGAGTCTTCTGAACACCTTGAGCAAAAATCTTGATGTGTTTGTCTTGTAATTCTCTCCTCGCAAATGTGTGATGATGCTTTGGGACTAATTTTCACTGACTGTTAGTTATAGGGTAGGTAGTAAAATAGTTAAATTTATTGAACAATTCTCTTATTTAGCAACCTCTACCAGCCTTGATGGTGCGACTGCTGACGGAACCTCAGCAAGTCTGTGAAAGACCCATTAGGTACTTGCCAAGATACGTCATCTTTCCTATAAGCAACATATCCGCCTATCCATCAAAATTTGTGTACTGTACAGCAGCTGACGCTGTCATTCTTTTCGCTTGTTAGTCATTGTAATTGGAAGCAGAATATGTGAAAAAACTAGAGGTTTATGACAGATGACATCTGTAATCGTCTTTTGTGTTAGATAGTGTAATGTGGTTAGCAATAATGTTTAATCACAGAAGGTTAGGCAAGGAGGGGAAGTCAGTAAAAGAGATTGTGAAGCTGCATCATTTAAGATGGTGTAGTTACGTGCCAAGCATTCGAAGCTACCACCTTCAGCAATGAGCTATTTGGATCTAACTAAGATTAGCCGGTAAAACAGCTATGTACGGCCTGACTAAAACGTGGCTCCAATCAGTGAGGACTTTGACGTTGTGTTTGAATGCTGCTTGTCTGGGGTCCACTGGATGCTATAAATCTCGTTGTGGAACTTCTTTTTGTCTTTGCTTTTCATTGGGTCACCATGTCACATTCATTCTATTTTCTTGATGTTTAGGGCATTCTGGAAGTGTTATAACCCATGGTATTTTGTGTTTTTGACCTATGATACTGATACAAATTACTGTCAACCTGCTTAGAATTCTACCAGTAAAACTTTACATTGCATAAATAATGAATATCCATTAGGCAAATGAACGCTCCTTTAGGTTGTAAGATTTTCAGTAGACGCCTACTACTTAAACTATATTGTTGTACTATTTGTATTTTTGAGTATAATTGATGTCAAGTCTCCCCTTCACTTTATTTAGATGCTCATCCCAAAGTCAATGTATAAGTCATCTCATTTACTTTGTGGGACAAGAGAAATCTACTCAGAAATCCACGAACAATCACTGTTGTTAACAGGTTTTTGTCCGGATATTTAATGACTATAGTGTTAGGATATAAAGCTTGATTGTGAGAAGAATAAGTGATACACTCATGAAACCTGGAAATATGCAGAAGAGTATGTCAAACTACATCAGAATTATTTTACAAAAGATTTTATGGGAAAATCCAATAAAATAAAATTTCATGATTTTGGTTTTGTAGGGATTCGATTACTTTCAAAAACGATTTCACCACAAACCGGCATCAGTCGCAAAATCACCAAAAACCACTCAGCATTTGACACCAGAAGGCCCTGGGTTTGATTCCTGGTGGAATCCTGGTTATGCACTATAGAAGAGTCTTGAACAAACATGAAAAATTCGTTCAGCAGTTCTTGGTTTTCTTGAAAAATCCATAATGTAATAAAATACTTCATAACATTTCTTAATGCCTTCTTGACATATGGTCATCAGTTAGTTAGAATATAAGATATATGCTTTCGCCTCTAATGACATAATATTTATAGATGAACTTACAGTGCCTGAATCGCTGCAGTTCTATAACAAAATATAATGTCACTATAAATATAAGCAGTTAAGTTCATGGACCTACCAACAATTCTGTCATTCCTTTAGAGATTTTTCAAGCTGAGCTTCCTATATCATCCTTAGTGCCAAGCTTAGTGGAGTTGTCTTTTGTATGATATACTGAATAACGTTGAGAATTCACTGCATGAAAGTTCATGGTGGGAGAACAATAAAATTTGTAATAATTTTACCCTCCAGAATCGATGTACACATAAGCGTAAAAGTGCTTCTTAGAATCGATAAACAAGTGACTGTAATTACTCTTTTGAAATGATCAAAGCTGTTCATAATATCATAGTAAAGAAAAGACAATTCACAGTAATAATATAATATTAACTGTTCACTTCCAATTATACATATAAATAAGGGGGAGCCGAGTATGGTGCCTTATGACACTCCACTATGTACCGCTGTTCAGGAGCAGAGTTTAAAGTCTATATTGATTATCTACCTTCTACCGATAAGGAATCCTGTAATCCAATTTAATATATACATATATATATATATATATATATATATATATATATATATATATATATATATGGCAACAGAAAACAAAGGCCGGCAACAGATAGTCTTATTACGGAAATCAACACGTATTTGTATATATTTCACACACATTATTATAGCTTATTCGAGTAGACAAACGCACTCTTCTGATTGGTTGTTTTCGAGTTTCTCGGAAAGTGGAGCCATCTATCTGCGAAGCATATTTTCCCACGTTTAAGTCTGCTGTGATTGGTTGTTGAATCAGTCTTATTCGTATTTTCTCACGGCCAATATTAGTGACCTAGACATTGACGTAGATTAATGTCTACCAACTGGCTAGCAGCCTGCTCTCACCACATATATATGTATTATTGTCTTAGATTCTAGGAGTTAATTGGAGTTTTCCACTTGTTGACACTAATAAGCAAGGCAAATTTGAAATTATGATAAAACTAAGAATTTTTTCTCCACCAGTGTTAACACATTCAAAAGTCAGAAACTTTGTTATTAGGCCAATCAGATCATAAACAATCACCTATGAGACTAAACTTATTAAATAAAGTCTAATTATTTTTCAATAGTTTACACACAATGATAAGTTTTGTTATTGGTAATATTTCGAGCAAAATTACTGCCCGTGTTCACACCACTGTTGGAATTGTTTTATTCACACATTTATTGTATAGTTCAATCCTTAGATTCCTAAAGTCTGATGGCTAACATACTACAACAGACTTGTCACTTGGTTTACTGAACAGGACGTCAGTACATAAAAACGCACCTAAGTATAGACAGGTACATTAACTAATAACCACTTTCCAGGTCATGTTAATTACTATAGATTATATTATGACGTCATAAGAACATTTATTTTTGAAGAGACAGAAGGCATTCAATAGATCATGGAAATAAGTGAATGAAGCAAGTAATTCAACTTAATTTGTGTAAAGATCAGCTGTAATGAACAGTGACAATAAAATTACCTCGCATACACTTAAACTCACCTTTCTTTAGTGTTCTAACCACCCATATTCCATTAGATAACTTGAAATACTGTTTTTATTACTTCTATATAGTGTTTATGTTTATAAACCTTTGTCATCGAGAAATCTGTTTCTTATCATATTTATGATTTGGTGAAGACTGTCCTAATGAGCCAAAACAGCTGTTTAGAATTCCCTCGGCTGTTTTCATGCCCTGAATTCCGAGTGGAACATAGAGCTTTAGGTTTGGTGGCTTGAAGTTTCAGTCAGCCTATAAGTCTTCTTTCTGTGGGACCACAAATAATCATGCGGACATGAAATGTCAGCATAATGTTTGAGGCTAACAAACCTGCTCAAATTGCGAAAGACATGAGAATCGAAGCGAAGGAACTGAAGAACTCTTATCTTAAGCAAGTCCTTAAATTCTATGGAATGACTTTTTGACCGTGTCTGATTTCATAATGAATGACTTTCTATGCCAGAAACATGTAGTGTAACTTTACTGCAAGGTTTCAAAGGAGGATTGACCTTCCCGAAATCAGTTTTAACAATAGACAAAATTATTTCCAACTACTTACACATCCAAGTTTTCTTGTCTTTCTCTATAATGAAATTTACAGTTTAAAAAATCGTCTTTACAGACAACTGGAGGTATTGTGGTGGTGTGATACAGACATTGTGTGTTCCAGTGGAATATTATTGTCACATATTCCCAGAGTTCAGTACTGCATTAGCAACAGAATACTATACATGTTTGAACATTTTATTTCATGTCGTCTAATGTAAACCAAAATCACACACTAAATGATTGGTTAAAGAATATAAACTGTATAGATATAAATAGCTGTTTGATCACTTGAAAATATACCTTAACTTCCGTGTCTTGCCTTTTGTTGTTACAGTATTTGTGAAACCCATTAATAACTTGCATGCGGCCGAGTGAATCCCAGAATGCGTAACAATTTTTATGCATGGTTAAGACGTTCTTTGACTTTATGCTACTTTCAGTAGATCTTAGAGTTACATTTTAGTCATCATTTTCAGTCCACTTACAAATATCACTAATGGGAACAAAAAACTTGGATTGCAGCAGTGATGGGCTTGACTCCAGAAAAGAACCGTAATGTGATTCAGTATTCAGATCCTCTCGATCTGGTTATCAATATCTATTGGCTAACATGAGTAGTGTCTGACCATTCTTCTCATTCAGTAGTACTTACCAGGTTACCTTTTTTATACCACTTATATTATCAAATAGGTCATATATTGTAATCTGTATATCTTGATTTTCCAAAGGATATTTCAGCTGGAACTCTTTTTAATTTACAAATGAAATATTTTAATCCATACGACTTTTTTTTAGTTTTACTTTTACGCCTATGAAATAAAATCCTTGTCGTTACTTTAAGTAAATAAGAATTGAAATGAAATAACGCGCCATAACAATGCCGAATCAAAAAAAAAAAAAAATAAGGCCCCTCATTGGAACCAAATAGACCAAGAAATAAATTTTTCATTTTTTGACATTCTGTCTATCTGATTTTTATTTTCCATTAGACTTTTTGACTAGAACAGATAGGTAGATATTTGGAAAGTGAATTTATTCACCTAGTAGTCAAATGAGCTTTATTCTGCACTAAGTTAATTGAAACGTCTAACTACAGCGTGTATGTACTGTCTTGACTGTCCTTGTAGATCGAGTCAAAGAGGGCTCAGCACTAAGTATATGTGTCTCAGACTCGAGAACATCTGGTAGCCTGGTTCAGAGACGGTGAAACTGAAGCAGTTAAAAGCTCATATATAGACGCTAATGCATCCTTTAGTGCTATTTGCTATATAACTGAGGTCTTGTTGTATTCACTCGGACTACATTTTCTTCCTATCACTTATAAACTTAAACCTAATGCGACTCTAAATCAGTGATCATGTCCTACGGGTAATCTATCCACCGCATTTCTACCTATTACTATTATGATGGTGATAAAAAATTTTATTTTTTCAATTTAAGAACTTGAGGAGAAACAAGTGAAGAGGATATTCTTCTTTCGGACTGACTTTCTGTGTGAATACGACTGAAAACTCTTGAATACCACGACTGATTGCATATGAAACGGTTGATTTTATTTTTTAATTGGTAATGCATCATCAGAGAATTTAAACAGTGACTGAATATACATTTACTTTGCATGCTTTTCAGTATTCCCATGATACATAATCCATAGAAGGGAGACATCATCTAAGAAACTGCATTCTTTTCACTTTTATTATGTAAAAAGTTATGGTGACTCTAAACTGGCTAAGCTTCCGCTTGTGAGGCGTTCACAGTCACCCATATCGGAATTTCATGCATCATTACTATTTACAATCAAGTATTTATTATATAATGGAAACTCACTTTTTATATGCTACACATCTAGAAAATGTGAAACCAGTGATACAAAAATAAAGGTTACACATAATGAAAGAGGCAATTTTTATCGTTAGCTATTTTTGATAGCTTTGGCATGTGAAGATTATTAAAGCACTAGTACAAATGAAGATTCCCTGATTTTCTCTGTGTATGTTATTTAGCAGAAAATTAGTTCTATATTAGCGGGAATTCATTATTGTTTAAAACTGTTGTTGAAGAGTTCTAAGTATTATCGGGTAATACTCAGAAAGTACAATGAATTAGGTGGATGACACAAGAACTGAAAAAGCTAAACTTCCTAAACTAGCTAACAGCTCATTCAACACAAATTATTGTCTGATATCAGTATGATACCTGTATTTTCTTCACTCAACTACGGATGAAAAAGTGACATAACATCTTTTTCATTATTGAAATGGGACTATGAACACTCAGACATATGCACAAATTCGTTTGATGTTTTTTATTTCTTTCTATCTATTTCGACATTTAATTCCGGAAACGAAATCATTACGTTAAGTAGAGATTACAACGATACCTTAGATTCACTCAGATGATAACTATTACTTACAATTACTGCGTTTTGCAGTAAGCGGGAACAAAGGGGAACTAGTAAAAACTAGGATTTAGGTTTGTTACTATACAGATATCGTTACTAACTGATATCAGTGAGGGAACCATTGAAATTCAGAAATTATTAGACAGTTTCTCTGCGTGCAATCATAACAACATGAGGAGTTGAGATGGGGATTAGCAGATCCTTAGATGGACACTTTATCTTTGAGTCAGTGAGACAGGATCTAATGTCTTATGATTTGCAGGTATCATTTCATGATATAATACCATTGTAAACCAGTGTCAATAGTGTGTAAATGTTCTTATTTTAGGTGTGTGCCTGAATTCGATTTATTCGGTATTCTGGTAGAAGTTCAAGGGAGAATTTAGAGTTAGTGTATTTCTTTCTATTAGACAGTTATCATTCTCTTTTCCACCGATATTTTATAAAATTGAGTACATTTTAATTCTTTTAATGAATCACAAAGACCACTTTTCTTAAATGAATTATTTCTTTGCAGTTATATTGTATTTATCGTGAACGGAAATTAACTCATCGCTCAATTTATTGTAGATTTCATTGGTTGCACTCGCCGGAATGTATTCTGAATTGTTTCATTTTCCTGTATGAGGATGATTTAAATCTGGCAGTTTTTCTGTAACGTAGAGTTTATATTCTACACTACCTTCATTCTAGTCCACTGTCTCTTATTTGTGTATTTAATACCATGCTCACTTTTCCACATCAGACTAAAGAATCACAAAACCTAATAGAAATCTAGATTAATATACCCTGCTTAGATAATAAACTTAAGAGAACACCCAAGTATAGCACTACATGTAGTTACATGGAGCTATACAACTGGATGGGATATAGTAGGTGTTAAAAGGCAGTATGTTAGTGTGGAGGGATAGACAGAAAAGCTAATCTTCATTCACAGGATCAAATGAGAATTCGTGCAAAAAGGGACAAACCGACATTTTGATACACTGTCAGACTTGTAACATGTTTGTGGTGAGATTGGACGAAGGTGGTTTATGTTCTTGGGCAGGAAATATCTTTTCGTGGTAATCTTCACTCGCACTGAGCTTTTGGCCATATATATACAAACATTATTAAATGTACTTTCCATCTATTGTTGTTGTGTTTTCTGGCTTAAGTAGAATGTGCTTGGAAAATAGGTAGATGTCACATCATGCTGTTGTAATAGTCAAGCGATGTTTGTCATCAAAACGTTTAAGTCACTAGCATCGGTGTCACTATCCTATCTCAATCTCAGTGTTATTGCGAAACCTAACACACTCGTTTGGAATTCTTGAAAAATGAAATAGCTCCTACGAGAAACTATAGAGAAGAATAACAGGTATGTAGATCACATTTCAAGGCTGTGGAGATGTATTCACTATGATTGTGCATAATGGTAAATTTCAGATTGAGAATCATTTAGTAAAGTAAACTATTTTACTGTGTGTAATGCATGTAACGAACAAAACAACACAGAATTACACATTACCAAAATCACAAGGTTTTTACATGTACAAAAAGACAATATTCTTAAATACGGTTAAACTTACAGTCCATCTATTGTTCTGTGAAATGAGATTAGTTTATGCAATACAGTATACAATACTGTTTCACTATGTGATACATTTAATAATCAAACTAATATGGAATTACTTAATACCACAGTGCCCAAGTTTTACACATATATTAACTTGAGATTAGTTTATTTCAACCGCTCTCTCTCTCTCTCTCATCCAAAATACTTTAAGGGAATAAATTTATTCATTTTAAGCACATTTAATATTGGGTTTGCCAAAAATAGTTAATAGTTAACCACCTGACGGTTAATGGCTAACAGGAGGATCTAGAATATGTGCTTCATTCTATTTGGGACTCGCTAGCTGGATATACACATCTTCCATTATGATAGTTTTCCTGCTCAGACACTAAGTAAGCAACCGCTCTTCCAAATGAGAAGACCACCATCAACTAAACAGCATCATGTTAAATTCACAGAATTCTTTGAAGTAACCCAACAAGATGCTAACATGTTAACAGGAGACTATTTTCACCAGGAAAACATTTACTGATAATATGAGCATTTCCATTCTGGGTTTGTCAGTAGGTAATTACTCATACATATTATATCTCTGATTAATCCTTATACTGCCATCATGTCCTGGATGACTGTAGATTTACATCAGTGGGATATCTCGATGCCTTCATGTTAACATTTTAAGTATATCAGTAGATTTATGACATTATTCAAATGGAGAACAATTTCTTTTTATTACTAGCGAAATAATTTACGAAAAGCTTTGCCTAAGCTAAGTGAGACAACCTTGATGTGCCACAATGATGACTGATCACCATAATATTTCATCAACAAGCAAGTGAGACACAGTTTGAAAATTACTCAGTAATTCACAATGTAAACAATTTGAGGAGTGAAACTTTATCATGGCTTCCTTTGGAAACCAAATTATTCAGATTGCATTATGTGATCTACCTGAACTGATTTGGCTGTTTGAAATGAGTTGATGAGCTCGACTTCAAACAAGCGAAACAGCCAACCGATGTTTAGATCACCCCAATCTAATTGGCAAGTAGTACTGGTTGGTGTGAGTAGTATGCAGCTACTCATATCAATCAATAAGTGGCATATAGTTTCACTCAGGCAGTCAAATAGTTCACTTAATTTCTGAACACTTTATCTACAATGGCTAGCTTTTCACCACATTTCAAAACTATTCAGGACTTCATTTATCATTACAATGGCTTATTGATAATTCTTGGAGATAAAACATCGGATTCTCTTTCTCAGTGAAATAATGACGCATACAGATTGATGACTGGAAGTGAAATTAAATTTGTATCACAGTGGGGTTCAAACTAGAGTATGTCGTATTACTAGACTGGTATTTTACCAGCAGAAGACCTAAATGTACATCAGCTATAGTAATAAACAGACAATTACTTGCAATTCATTCGTGTTATAATGCATCCAAGTTATGTGACTTACTCATTTTGAAGAACATAGTAACTGCCGCACAAAATTGACAGTAAATACATTATCTGAATTTTGAAATAATTAATTAATTAGTTGAAAAAATTACAATAAAATAAAAGTAGGTGTTTCATTTACTAATCAGGACTCTGATTTATCCTTTGATGATTTAGGTGAATTGAATATATATGTCAGTTTTTTTATTCCATACTATCCAGTAGAAATAAACTAAGAGAAGTCATGAGTATTATTCAATAACACATGAAAAGAGTTGGGCAGATGAGGAACACACTGTGGCCATGTAACATGATAGAAAACACTTTTTTTGTCTGAAGTATTTATTGGCATTGGATCAAAAACCTCATGGGAACTGAATTACTGTCATGCTGATATATCAAATTGATGAATCCAAAGCATTGCTTGGATATGTATTCTAAACTGAAATTTCTACTTATTACTTAGCAAACAGTAAACATATGGTCAATACACTTCTTAAGGGAAATAAGGAATCACCCATCAGGAAGTAAATTAATGCATATTAAATGTTTAAACATTCTGAAAAAAATTTAGTCATCAAATAGTATAGATAAAGAACGTGTTGATACCAGGATCTTCAAGGTCACACTTCTTTTTTGTGATATTTTACTTATGTAACTTACAAAATTGGAATTTCTCGGCTCCTAAAATAGCATAGTACAGGAAATTCTGATTAATTTAACAAGTCAAACATGATTGTTCTGATAGATAGATCGTACCCCTTGTCAAAAAACGAATCAATCAAAAGTGTACTCTGTGCTAACTTTACTAATAGTTGGACTAAGAGATGTTCAATCGACCCCATCCTCTCTTTAAAAGCCTATTATCTTGGATTATGCACCATTTCACATATTTTACATTTTGTTATAAGTGTAAACATATTTCCAGTTCTACTGTATGAATATACTAACCCTTGTAGCCTCAGTGTATGTTCTCCAATAATTAGCTAACTCGGAGAAATTATTCAGTAATCGTAGAAAGTTAGTAGTGTTGTAATAACTATATTCGTACATAAATGTATCTGTAACAGGATTCGTGAATTTTCCTAATAAACTATCAGAGCAATAAATTAGAAATCATAAAATATCCATCTATATCACCAAGAAGTTGAAAGTATTATTAAGGCAAACTGAAGGGAAGATTTCAGGTCATCATATGAAATATGCTGTGATGATAGATTAGTGAGCAAAAAAACCTCAGTTTGTGAATCTTTTGGTAGTTCTTTTAGCCCCCCTTGAGCTCAATTATTATCGTCTGAAGATTTTAAGATGTCGTTTTGGGAACCATTTTCTCCATACTTTCATTCAGATGTAAATTTAGTAAATTCTGAATGAGTATTTCCGACTACATATAAGTATTCAATGCTTTTTTTTCTCTGCATCTTTCTCTCCTAGTTCGTTAATTGACGAAAAAGAATCAGTTTTCAATGTTTGACAAGTGTGTTCGTCTTAGCATTTTTGTAGCATTACTAGTTAAAAGTTTTGATGATAAAACTGAGTGGAATTCCACTTACTTTCCCCCTTAGTGGTGATTTATTTAAACTCGCTTATGACGTTCATTTTGAAATGGATTAATAGGTTTTGCCTTTTTTGAACAGATAGCTTCTTACATCTCTGACTGTTTTTAAAAGATAATATTCTCAGACCACAACAATCAGTATAACTCCATAGATTTTAGATGCTAAGTTGATTTGTCTAAATGCGCTAAAATGTTAAATGTGTAAAAGAAGCCTGGAGTAATACGGTTTGCGGAAGCATTCTCTGTAAAAACAATTTCAACCAAACTTATTCATACAGAAAGTAGGTGAAGTCGATCCTTCACTTTCGCGATTACTGATTTCAAGTGACTGAGCCAACTCCAATCTTATAAACTGTAAATACTTTGATTGTTCTATAACCATATAAGTGGGTAATAACAGTTCTTTTCCTGATGTGTTTCTATCTTTTTTTGCCACCTCTTTTTCCACTATACGTTTCTCGAACTTCCGGTTTCGGAATGCAGCCAGAAATCGTAATACTCACTTTTCAATACTCTGGATTTATAAAAGTTTTCTCTGCCATCTTTCTAAGTATATTATGTCCATAGCTTTACAACCACTGAAGTTTCATTTAGTCTACAGTTGATGTGAGCATATGAAATAGAATGAATCTGTAATTTTATCCTGTAAATTTGGTCTCTCTTGCTTTATCTTAATTTATCAAGCTGTTTGATTGAATTAGCTCTAAAAGGCGATTATTCCACTTCAAATGTCAACTATAAAAAATAGCGAAAACTCACAAATATGGCCGTTTAATAGCTCTGTTATTATTTCAAGAAATGAAATTATGCAGAATTTTTAGAACACAAAGATTTATGCTTCACTTATCTGACTTTCAAAACACATTGAAAATGTAGTACTTTGGTTTGAATAAAAGTGGTGAGGCAGCAAATTTTTGATGTCTCATAGTGTTCCATTTAGAACTGAAGTAACATGTAATAATAATAATGTGCTTTGCTTCTGTTCCCCTCTAGTTGAACATGCGTACAGGCACTATATTTTCAAAAATGCTATGACGTTGATAGCAGTATTTATATTTACAAGAAAACTCATTTTTCAGGACTCACTTGTCAACGTAATCATCGAATCTGAAATGGAAGTGCATTTCATGTGAATAATATTATTCATAAATTGTTGTTTGCAAATTATACTGCTTAATATGCTGAGTTCACTAAAATTACACTGGTACTTTCATTTCTGTTTTTAATTAGCTGGGGGTAATATTTTTATCACTTGTGCTGAATGTTGTCCCTGTGGGACTGAACTTGGGAAAGCAATCAATCACATGAACAATAAATTTTGTTCGAAACGTCATCTAGTAAATAATACTGTTTCACTGTATGATACATCTAATAAACAAACTAATTTGGAATCAGATGTTCTGTTAAACGATAGCAAATAATACTTGTGATGCAGCAATCTGTAATTAGGACACAAGTATGGTATTCGCTGTTTTAGGATTCCTACTTAAGACTGTCTACAGTAGTCAAAACAGAGAACACTTAATTCTTACACAAAAAAAGGAAATAAATACACTAAAATTGAAAGGCAACAGTATCTTTAGAAGAATTACAGTCATCGCGAACATAGAATGTGAGCAGTAAAATAAGTTGAAAAATTGATACTACCTAATGATAGTAAGTAGTATAAATCAATCACAAAAATATATCTGTGGAGACAATTTTTTACAAACTACAAACTCTATATTCATAAATCTAAGATTACTAGATAGAATACAATAGCCAGTAAAGGCGAATCAAAATAACATCAGAAACTGTATTGGGGCACAAGTATAAGATAGAATAATAGTCCGTTGGTCATGTTTGTCAACTCATTGCATATACAACGTACATTTATTGACCACATAAAATATGGATGACAAACGAGTGATGTAAAGCGCTTATTATCAACGAAATACGAGCTTTAGAGGACGAACTGTATTAATTGGTGTGAGAAAAGTACAAACAGTGCAAAATATGTAAACAAACAAATGTGGTACGCTGAATTTAAGTTCGAAGGCCGACAGATAACAAAAATAATGATAAAATAAAGTGGTCAAGCAGTAGACTGTGGTAAAATAATGAAGGCAAGATAATACAGTCGAGAGGGCAGTGAATAATAATAGTAGTATTAGTAGTAGTATTAGGTAAACTAAGTGAGGAAAGTGCGAAGGGTATAAAGACATGAAAATGTGGAATCCCTTTTATGGTAGGCTTAGGTAAACAAAGAGAATGAATTTATTTTGCTGCATATCTATGTTAGGTTTGTGCGTTGAGTTGACAACCATAACCAACGGACCATTATTCTATCTCATACATGTACCCCAATACAGTTTCTGATGTTATTTTGATTCGCCTTTACTGGCTATTGCATTCTAGTATTCATAGATTTATAAATACAGAGCCTGAAGAAGAGGTTACTGAGAACAATTGTTTGCTCAAAAAATATTTCCTGTTCTGAATACATGTTGGGGATCTTGAAACAATCAAATGTTAAGCGTGAAACGTTGGGAAAGGAAGAAGTTTAGCCTCTGAAATAATATAAAGAATGGGATTGAGAACATATTTAATCACTTCGTGGTGTTTCAGTATTTCCAGGTATTCACTTTAAAGACAAAAACTCAGTTTAATGTAGAATTCATTAAAAATTCGTGACAATGACTGCTTGAAATCCGGTATTCAAATGTAAAACACCGCGAAATTACGCCACTTTTTAAAAGCCCTCCCTGTACACTTGACACGTGGATACCAACTAATATTTACAAACGAAAGATTATCATCATATGAGCAGTATGAAGGAATGTTCTAGTTCAACATGTTGCCTGTTACGGTAGGTATCAGTGCTGGTGAACATTGAACCATTTGTTCGAACTGGTCTTCATATTGGCGGAACTCAAGAAGACTATCATTACTTAATCGTGTACCGGTTAGTAGAAGATTGGAGAAATACAATCAGATGTATTGTTGTACACTATATTAACATTTATTTACAGACTTTGACACTGATCAACCATTGTAAATCTGTTTTGTTATCCGCAGGAGAATAAACATTCGTGTTGCTCAATCGTTTCCTGTTGTTCTGGATCGGTTACAGTACAAAGTACTCTGCGTATTAGCCTTCGTCTTCGGAGACCAGCGATAGATCGAGGATCTCTGTGATCTGAATATCTGACAGTAGGAGTATTTTTGGATGAAGTCCATCTTTATGTACAAAATGATATGTGATTTTCATCAAGGTTTCAAATGTACCTTTCTGATCACAGTCCATGATAACGGTGTATATCAAGAATTCTAAAGACTTTATTGCTAATATCTAACAAATTAGCAAACTATTTCACAGTTTCAAAGAGGTTTTAGATTCAAAAGAGCAGAAGTCTTGTTCATCAAAAGTCACAGTGATGTTGGCTTAAACTAAAAATACTGAAATTATAATATAGAAAATGACGACTGATGGGTTAAAAAAGACGGTAGGCAACAGTCGTCGTATGAGTGACCGCTAAATATTCATTAACTAACGTTTAACACCAAGAGTAGAGTCAGAAATTAGTATCACTCATTTTAAAGACCAAAATACAATCCTTTAGTCTTCTAGCGATTAGTATTCTGTTTCATATTTATAAAATACTTTTTTCCTGTGTATTCATATTTCCAATATGGTGCAAGTAGTATTTGGCTCAGTTATCTTAAAAAGGCTTTTAAAATCAAAGCATAAGATAAGCAAGGCATAATTTATTTCATGATAATGAAGCAAATTAATGTTTATCTTTATTCATACCTATGAAGTGTTTATGAACTTACACTAGGGATAATCGACTACACCTGATTAAAAATTGTCATTATGTACACATTAATTCAATTACTAATTTAAAAAGGTTCGACTAATGAATGAAAGTAAAATTATCACAAAGTACACCAGTGAAAACAAATAAAAAAACTTGAAAGATGCGTTCACAATTCACTTGTTATCTAATTAATGTTTACTTAAGTAATTGAAAATAAAATAAACTCCTAAAAATAAACGTAGGTTTTCCTTTGAAGATTACTTTCTTTATTTTTTTATTACAGCTTGATTCCACACTGTATTTTAGGTACAAGTATGGAATTTTCAGCATGGATATCGGTAGCCCGAATTTCGCAGGCCGACCATAGATATCAGGTGTGCGTCGGTGGGGGATCGAACTTCGGACCATGTGCATGATCAGCGAGAGTCCCAACCACTGTGCCATCAGAGGGGAGTTCCGTGGGCTTTGTTTGGTTGTTGACGTCGTTGACATAGCATCGTCTTTTAATGCAAATTATTCTAAGAGAAAAATATCTACTGAACAAGAATTCAAATTTTTTGAGATACAGATGGCTGTGAAGAGCCTATTATCCACCTTCCGGATGAAAGCGCATAACACGATACTGATAAAGTAAAGTATTGCATTTTTGAAGGTTTCATTCCCTACATGAGCACATGAATGGCATGTGACCGTCCCAGCATATTTCGAATTCTTTGCCACTGAAATCTAAATCCAGGAAGGAATCATTGATATAAGAATAAAACTTGTGCACTGCGGTAGAGTATAATTCCATTATGGGTAAATTTTTGTTTTGATAAAGTCTCACAGTGTTATACAGTAATGTTTACCAATGACGTTAATTGTTAAGGCAGGCTTAGTTAAGTGTTTAACAAACCGAGCAGTAGCACTAAGTAGCACAAGAAAAGACCTAAATGATGAACTAAAACAGATAGAAGAGGCTTTGGTGTTAAATAACTATCCTTTAAAATTCATTAGGAAGATCAAAAAAGGCCAAACGAAAAATAAAAAAAATAATCGTGAAACTATTAATAATAACATAAATAAGATAGAATATAAGTCATCTACAGTTAAACCACATAAAGAGGGGACATCTGAAACCCTACGTAGGATTCTAAATAAAGTAGGAATTAGGGTGGTATTCAAACCCTCCTACAAACTCACTCAGGGACATCTCTGTAGGTTAAAGGACCCAGTTGACCCAATTAGACAAAATAATTTACAAAATACCTTGCAATGACTGTGAGGTCAACTACATAGGTCACACTAGTAGGTCAGGGGTAGTCAGATTGTCGGAACATAAGAATTTAGCTAAGGTAAGAATGGTTGACCCTGAAAAGATAAGTAATTTAGAAAAAAGCTCAGCAATTGCAATGCGCGCATTAACACACAGCCACACAGTAGGGTAGGAGAGGGTTAAAATTCTAAAAAATAATCTAGATAGCTGGAGAGAGAGGTTGATTACTGAATCCTTGTTCTTCGAGTCTACACCAAACACATACAATAGAAATGATTCATCACTCATACCTGAAGTATGGAAAATACTGCTGCCAATCAAATCAAGTGAAAAATAATGGAACTATATAAATGAAGTTAGGAAGTCGTGTGAGTACCTTGATATGATTATGAGCAATAAATTGTGCTCGAAACGTCATCAGTAAACATTGCTGTATAACACTGTGAGACTTTACCAGGAAAGAATCAGTCTGAATAAACTTCTGGTAGACATAATCCTTGAAATGAAGTTAATGAAGGTAATTTTTTGATAAAACAATATTATTCTACTGCTTTAGACGAAAGACGGACATGTGGATGCTGTACACCAAGAAATCTACAGAAACCGTCGTAAACTACTTTTGTAATGTCACAATCCATCTGGTAAATTTTAGTCGTAGATAAGATATATTAAGCAAAACAGTTTTTGGAATGATTTTATTCTCTGAGTTGAGTAGATCAACTGTTATCCTCATAGACAAGGTCGCTTTTAGAAGTCTTCTTACCGTTATTGTCCCTTAGGTTTCCGGGTGGAATGCAGGACTTCAGCAGCACATCTCCATTTCACTCTATTCGCTGCAGGGCTTTGTAGCTTCCTGCACGATTACTCTTGAGCTTTCATCTTCTTCTAATACGCTCTCCTCTATGCCACCTACAAACGCCTAACTCGTCGCTTCTCATCCAGGTTCTATTCGAGGGCCTGACGTGTGATGTCACTTAATGGTAAACTCAGTGTATGTCCAACCCATCTCCATCCTCTTCAGCATATTTTCTGAGCAATATGTTCTTGGTTCGTTATTTTCCAAAGTTCCTTGTCGCTGATCCTTTTTGGCCATCTGATCTTCAGTATTAAGCAAAGGCAGCTGTTGAATAAAGTCTGCAGCACCTTGTTGGTAACGTACACACCAAGTCTCAAAACTATATGGAGGCAATGACTTGATAAAAGTGTTGAAGATTTCTCTGTTGACCTAATGTTTGACCCTTTTCATGTGATTTGTTCATTATTGCCTGATAAATATAATGTGTCAGCATATCTTGAGAGCAATCCAAAAAGTCATATCATAATGGGGTAAAACCTGAAGATGTTGTCTAGAAGGACAATGAATGGTTCGCAACTAAACTACTAAAGTCAGTGAACCCATTCACATAAAATATCCACCTCAGCTGTCAGTAGAAAAGTAAATAATGGAGGATACTATTGTTAGATATCATTGGTTTGAATCCTGATCCTATTCAGATTTTCACTTCAAACTAACCCATTAGTCTATCACACAAACTTCGCTGAATAAACTGTAAAAATGATGATATGTCAAAACTGATTCATTATGTCTGAAAAATTTCACAGAATAAAATTTACAAGCTTACAGAGAATATGGAGTATAACAGCTGAAATATGCAGATTGATACATTTTTAATATATTTTTGAGAATAAGCCGTAGTAATTGCTGGTTTTTGAAAAACGGTTTAAAAGACATAAAGGCTTTACTTAATGATGTCTTGTTTCACTAAAGCAGATAGTTAAATTATCTTTAAAACTCAATAGTTTTTCTCTTAAATTCACTTTCTTTTGTCATCTACTTTGTTATGAGTTACTATGGTGTTTATATATTTTTCATATTATATTTTTTATCCATATACTAATGAAGTCATCTAAAATTAGTCAATTAATTCTATCCTTCTTTCTCAGATCGCTGGTTAACGATTCTGAAGAGTCATAGAACAGGACGAAACAGTTGCCCAGTGCATCTTAGTTTTCAATGCTTCACTAAGTGATGTAACCAACGGGAACATCTTTTATTGCATAACGGACAATTTATTGATATTTTTTAAGGTTATGCTTACGATGACTGTTGAAACTTGTATCTAAATATATATTGTGGCAAAGTAAAATGTGTATCATGTAACTGAAAAATTAAGAATTAGTCGTCTAATTCCATTCGTTTAGGGATCATTAAACTTCCCGATAGCAATAAAAGTACTGAAATGACTGAGAGTTTATTACAAAGTAAATCTGCACACTGATACTGTGATACATAACAACTGAGAGCGAAATGAAAACTCTGTCCAGACCTTATTGACTACATTGAAATGACTTGTTTATTGGTTCTTTGACGTATATCACTTGGTAAACTGGCTAGTTAATGCATCAGAGTTCAGCCCAGTGGACTGCCATAACCAGTTTCCCACAGATCACTTCCAAAGAACTAAGATTTAGCTAAACGATTGTCTACCGGCAGCTGGTTCATCAAACTTTGTATTTTGAAAACCTTATCCCTTCACATACGAACATATGAGAAAATTATCACAGATTTTCGTGACTATCAGTGTGTCCAGTGGAAATTTTGGTTAAGGGTGGCATTAATGGCTGTTTGAACGGCTTTAAATGCATTCATGACATGACAGCCCAATGGCACCACGAACTAAGTGGTTCTTCTTATAGTCACTTGGATAAATAAGCATTTATTACAATTAACCTCTAATGGAAATAGTTTGTCTAAGTGCTTGGAATCTCTTTAAAGTCATTGAAACATAACTTTCCCTTCCTGGGCTAACTGGCTTAAATATACGGAATCTAGTTATTCGTATCCATAAAAGCTTCAATAGAAGACTGTAAACATAGGAGTTAAGAGAAAGCTAAGTTGATCTTATATTTTCTTCAAATAGACTTGATTTCACACTATCCTTAGAGTGATGACTTTCAATGGTTTCTCTAGATTAGTCAATTCTATGTCAACACAGACAACCATGCAACTTTCCTTTGATCTCTGAAGTATATTAGTTGTTTTGAAAGTTGTCTGCTTCAGATTCTCGACAACAGATACTGCAAACCCTAACAAAATGTCAGCTAATCGGCAAATACTCTGTTTACAATATGTTCATAAAATAGAATTTTATAGTTTCAAATAGTTTACTACGTTTTTACAATTTTTCAAAATATTTAAGGAAAGAAAATAGTTGTCCAAGATGCTTTAAAAAGGAAAAAGATTGAGCTATCCTAACATTTATATACTGTATGTTTAAAAGTTATGCCATGTGATATAATATTACAAATTTTGTAACTTGAAATCTTGATCTCAGACAAGGTTGTATGGTTATAAGCAACCTTGAGGAAACTCATTTTCGTTCCAATATCCAAACCTGAATTACTCAGTGCTAAAGTCAGATTCTTCATCACCAACAGGTACTCAAGTAATGACTTCATGAAAAATGTTGCGCTGAACAGCACTAATTAAAATCAGAGAGAGTATCTGTTCCAGTGGAATTTCTTAGTACAACGATAAATGCCAAACACCGAAGAGAAAATATGCCGAATGAATCATTAGAAGACCCACAAGCTAGTTAATTTATATATATATATATATATATATATATATATATATATATATATATATATATATAATCTCACTCAGGCACTTACGTGTTGCGTAGATTCCAAAGACTTGTATAGAAAATGTAAATACAAAATTATTATGGTTATTTTTATACAAATATATTTTTTACTCCGAACAGTTAATAAAACTAACCAAACTATCGTACTTGGAGAATTAAAAAAAAATAAGTAATTTTGTAGAAGTTCATCCATAGTCAGATTTATATCAGCATACACCAGAACGCTACAGTGACAGTTTGAAAAGAGGTCAATAAATCCACACTCTTTGGAATAGTTTTCAAAAGCATCGAGTGAATGCCTTTCATAGCCCTAGTTAATTTTGGAATTTTACTTTCAAATTTATCTGATATTAACTCTAACGGATAAAGATATTGAGCATTCACTGATCATGTTCAGTGTATCTGATACCTTTTCTTAAATAGAAGAGATCTGACTCCATGTGCAATAATAGGAGTAATCACAACAATATATTTGCATTTGACCAAAAAGCTAAAATAAGTTCAAGCTCATACCACTTGAACTCATTCCTGACAAAATGTAGCATGAGATTATCAGGTATGTACCATGATCTAAGCAGTCGAACTGACTTCATTGGAGCTGCATGATTGTGTTTTTGGCTGTTATGGTTAATACGGTAAATAATGTACAATTTTATGTGAGATGAATCAGGTTAGCTAGCATGTAGTTGTGAAGCATGTATTAAATAGTTTGGTTTATTCATTTCTACAGTGTTGTATGTTTAACCAAGATGAATTAACTTAAAAATGTTTAGAATAATAACAAGAGAAAATTAAAACTAATTCATGATAAAGTTGTAATAAAGCAGTCAGAGTGAGTGTAAGTTCACATTTACGTCCTTTTTTTACAGCTTGATTCCACACTGTATTTTAGGTACAAGTATGGAATTTTCAGCATGGATATCGGTGGCCCAAATTTTGCAGGCCGACCATAGATACCAGGTGTGCGCCGGCGCGGGCTCGAACCCAGGACCATGTGCATGGTCAGCGAGAGTCCTAACCACTGTGCCACCGACGCCACGTCTTGAAATAGTGGAGAAGATTGTGGCTCAGGATATTTTAGGATGAATTGTTTAATTGTGAAACTTTCATTGTTTTACCCAAAAACTTCCTCAACTCTAACTTCGATGTGAAGTGGAGTTTGGGGATCCTCCAAGGATGGGATATTTGTCTCTCCTGGTTACTTTCACAGTGATTGGCTGTCCCTGTAGATTTCCTTCTGAACGTATTCAGTTATATTTATAATGATCCTCTTGTTGACCTGAAATTTGACTTTTATTTTTCCTACCTGTTTTTTTTTATTGAATAATAAATTAGGTATTTATCCGCACGTCAAACAGACATAAAATGGACCTACACAAAAACCTTGGAGGATCTGGACTTCGCCGATGATATATGTCTGACTTCTCACAAAGTGGAAGATATGCAAGTGAAAAGCAACAAGTTGGCAGAAGAAGCATCAAAGATAGGAAGGACTTAGGGTGAATATAGGAAAACAGAGATGATGAAGATTCCTGGCCAACACCACCAACAACAACAGACAACAGTCAGCATAGACGAGAGGAAACTGAAAGAAATAACCTCCTTTACCTACCTATCTGGGAAGCATCGTTTCAACTACAGGCAGAACTGACGAGGATATCAAAGCAAGGATCGGGAAAGCAAGACAAGCTTTCATTACTCTCAAGTTTGCATCAAAAATAAGATCCGGATTTTCAGCTCCAATGTGAAGTCACTGATACTACACGGATCAGATACTTAATGCGTCAAGAAGAACACCTCAAACAAACTACAGACCTTCATCAGCAGCTGTCTTCGCTTGATACTACTCAAAATCAGATAACCAGAAAAGATCAGCAACAGGGCGGGATCTCTGGGAGCGAACCAACCAGGAACTGATTGTGCAACAAATAAGCAAAAAGAAATGGAGATGGATTGGCCATACTCTGAGGAAACCATCAAGTGATATCACTAGACAAGCCCTCGAATGGAACCCCAACTGGAAGTGGCGAGTTGGTAGTCAGTTCGAGGGTGACTTGGAGGAGGTCATGTGAAGAGGAGATGAAAGCATGTAGACAGACTTGGAGCCAGGTGAAAACTCTAGCAGAGAACCAAACGCAATGGTGACGTGCAGCTGAAGCCCTATGTTCCTCCAGGAACTATAGGAAACAATAATGATATAATTATCCTCATGTCAATTATTTACCAGATAATTCGAGTACTAGGCCTCCAGGAATTCTCCGGCGTTCTTTGCTTTTTCCTTATCTAAGATTTTTACACTGTCTCGTTTAATTTTACATCCTCAATTGTTCACATGAGTCGATATGAGTCAACATAAGTGAATAGTTTACGTGATTACTATTATTACGATCAACCAACTCCAAGTTATTTGTTTGGTGTAGGCTAGAAGTGGAATCGGTGACTTGCGTTTTCTTCTCGCCATTTGTCAACTGAATTTGGTACTAGGGTATCCATTCAAGGAGTTCACTTGATACAGTCAGTTCTATATATATGTATATCATTATATCCTTTAATTCCTAGAGGAACATAGGGCTTCAGCTGCGCGTCTTCATTGCATTCGGTTTTCTGCCAACTTTTTCACCCCGCTACAAGTCTACCTACACGTTTTCATCTCCTCTTCACATGACCTACTCCAAGTCACCTTCGCACTGACGACCAACTCTCCGCTTCCCGTTCGGATTCCACTTGAGCGATGGCTTGTCTAGTGATGTCATTGACTTGATGGTTTTCTCAGAGTACGGCTAACCCATCTCCATTTCTTCCTGCCTATTTGCTGCACAATCGGTTCCTGGTTGGTTCACTCTTATATATATATATATATATGAACACATTTAAATTGCTTCTCCTACGAACTTACGTTCTACTAATTATCCCTAACCTATGAAGTATTTAAAAAAGATATGTAATTGAAATGGTAAAAATGTATTGCTTAATACTGCATTTTCAACCGTAGTAACTTATTTCCAAAAGTAAGCATTTCAAAAGTTAACTAAAGACAGTCTAATTCTCCCAGAAATGGGCTTTATAAACCGCTTACATGAATCCAGTAGTGTATAGTCTAAAGGGTAAGTAATAAAGTCACTGATATTTAAAAAAAAATAATATTTATATACATATAAATCTTTATAACATAGTTGAAGCTTTAAATCTTTCAGTATTTTACTTGCTTTATGAGCATACGTTTCTACGTGCAGAACTTTCAGTGTCGATTAAACTGTGAGTCAGCTTCACGAGAAGATGAATTCGCTGTATTCTTCATGAATATTTTTCACACTAAATTATTGGTGAACTAAATGACGTAAGGAATATTGGCTGACGTATTTCTCCTTGACTGATGCACTGTTTGACATCTGATTCTTATTTCTATTTTAATGCATCTTCCTTAATTTTCGAATTGACGATTTTATCAATGATTTGCCTAGTGACACTAAGGAAAATTCCTAGATTGAAACGCATGCTTTGGACTGCTTACTAAATATTAGTCCTAGCTTTCATGCATATTATTATCCTAACAGAAGTCTTTCAGAGTGCTGTTTTTATCCGATAGCCTAGAGGTCTATCGCTCTGAGACTGGTCTTGATAATAAGACTGTTATAGATATCTGAAATTCGAACTCTAAATTACGCATTATGTACTTAAAATAGAATAAGCCAATGTTATTTAGTTCCACTGGTAAACAAAGAATACTTCGAAATACTGATACCACTTTCAGTAACTCACAACTTTATCACTTGCTCTGTTTAATCTTTTTGCAGTTTTATGTCGCCCTATAAGTCTGAGAAACCATAATGTAAAGGCTAATATAAGAATCTTCCGTGTTAAGCCTAACTAGAGGATTCCACTTTTAAACGATATCTAAAATTCTTACCTGTCTGCAAGTGCCCTTCGACTGTAAATTATAATGATGAAATTAAATTTTCCTTTTGCCAAAATGGCTAAAAGATCATTACCGTCACTTAAAGCTACTCATATACTTTCGGTGTTAATCGTAATCCTCCCTAAATAGCCACAATATTTGTGAAGACAGTTGGTGTGAAAAATTAACTTCAGATCAAATTGTAAATTAGCTTTGTATGCACACCATATGTATTATTATTCAATGTGTAAAACGTCTATCGAAGTAAATATGAGTCTATCGATACCTTTTTAAAGATGTGTACGATTTATTTAGCTTTGTCCATGTGGTGGTGTATTCTAATAGATTTTCTTCCAACTTATATTTCATTTCTAGGAAGAGGTACCAGTGCAAACTTAGGCTTAATTAAAATCCACTTAGTGCTTCATACGATGGCAACATTATTTTAATATGATAAAAGTCTTTACCAAAGTAGCACCTAAAGAACACTATACACCAAAATATACAAAACGATTTATACTCAGTTACGTTTTATGTTTTCATAATGAATGCTGTTTTCATCAAAGATTCTATTTTTTGGAATGGAAATTTAAAATTGCCAATGAGCATCGACAAGTACGCAGTGTAGTTTCCAGGGTTCACTACTGACCGACCCAACCTAGATTCCAAGTCAAAATAAAAATTGCTCTCAAGAAAAGAGCCTTGGAGATTCTACTGAATTCAGTGAAAATAGAATGATATTAGTGTGCTTGTTTTAACGACCAGTTGTACAGTCCTTTGTATTTAAAAAATTTTTTTTCATTCTGGAATTCGGTAATCATTCCAAATGACAATAGTTTTCAGACCCACTGCAAGCCAAATATGGTTCTGGTATTTATATGTCTGTTGAAGTTAGAAATCTATTGGTTATAAACCACATTTGACAACTTACGCTGAACTAAAATGCAAACAAACGGTATTTCCATTCAATAGACTAAAATACTGATTATTGACGAAAGAATTCACTCTCATTATGTCGGTTTATAAAGATAGAATGACTATAGAAATGTAAAATGCAAACTGTCTGCCTAAAAGTCTGAATTGATATAATGTTTTAGGCAGAGTTATAATTAAACAGTTAAGGCGAATGACTGTAATATAATTGGTTCCCAAAATTTAGCTGTCACAAAACCTTTTTGATCTAAGAGATATTTAGATGAAATCACTTCTGTACAAAACAGTTTAATTTACTTCAAAACTTCTATTTGAATCTCACTGGTAAAAATATGATGACATTTACAATGAAGATTGAATGAGTTGTATTGTAGTTTGTGTCATTTAACAAACTATTAGGTTACTAATTTAATCGACATGCCAGATTCAGCATCACGAACTTTACCACTAAATTGTTTAATATCACCTAGGTGACCAATTTGTAAACGCCGTGAGGTATTTTAAAACCATACCCTTGACCCAAATAATTTATTCTTAAGTTATTAGAAATGGAAATAGACGCTAACATGTCTAAGGAACCATTGTAGTGATGAGAGCCGATGAGGTGTATAGCCAGAGTATAAAGATACTGGATGTTAACATTTTAGTTTCTCAACGGTGAGTCTATTAGCAGAATTACAAACATGGTGAACAGAATTCATTCATTAATGAGAATGAAACTACTTTAACTGTACTAGTTTAGTTATGCTGTCTGGTATGGTCGGTCTATTGCGAAGCTTTTGTTATTTTTCTAGTCAGCATCTATAGCTCAGGTTTCAGTATGACTTCATATGGCTTCATATGAAAACCTTCGCTGAAGACATTCTGTAGGAAGACAATGAAAGCTTCTCAAATAAAACATCCAGTTTAGACAACACGGGTACACTAATATCATCCAACTGACCTAGAAATCTTCGCAGTGACTTCAGATTTGCTAGGAAAACTAATCAACATATATTTTAAATCGATTCACTGAGAAACCAGTCCACTTTTAACAAAAGTCTCCGAGAAATTACCATGGTGATACGCTGAAATTCAATTTTCTCATTTAAGTACTTCGTTTATTTACATGTCACTTTGTGATATGTTCAGAAGAGAGGCCTTCAAACGAAGAATGTACACCTTTCTTTTCAATTATTAAATTTGTTAGTATCAATTGCAATTTTGGATGACTTTTGCCTCAAGATATGTAACCAACTTTTCGGTATGCATATTTTCGATATCAACTGATGAACTACTGAAAACGACAGACTACCACTAGTTCTTGCTAATCTTTGACAGAAATTGTACGGAAGTTAAAACAATTTTCGAAAAACCATCAAATGGCTTCATAACACTGACATGAGTTACAAAAACATTTTTTTCGCAAAAAATGATTGAAATGAAAATATTATTTTACAGAAGACACTATATATCAATCAAATGAAATTATTTGTATCTATGGTTACTTGTTACTTGTGTTTGTTGCCTATATTTTTAGTCATCTTAGTGACTATTTCTAGCCGGATGAAGTTTATCAAACTCTAAGTGGAAATGAACACAAGTCATCCAGTGTTTATATGCTTTCTATTGAAAAAAAAACCGAAACCTGGTATTTTCGTCACTTACTCTGCCTTACTACAATGTGAAGACATAAAAATGTTCAATATTGTATTGTAAAATATTAGAATTCAGATGAATTTTGGAGTTAAAAATTTCCTATAAATTTGTTTAACAATAAGGGGATTTCACTGATTTCAATGAAGACTACATCATATCAAGTACAAAGGAATTGGCAAACTAATGGAGCACTGGCTGTCTATTTCCATCATCTTAAAGTAGAATGAGAAAAATTTATTAGGGAATTACATAAAGAGAATTCGATCCAGCGTCTTTTACAGCATTTCCACTGAAATTCCTTTTGTAATGATTAGAAACTTCTCACGTAAACATTTATTCAGCTTCTGAAGTGTTACTGTTGCCCCTACTATTCAAAATTAATTTTGATTATATAAGTAAGCTTTTAAAAAGACTTGAGGGTTTCTTTAAGGCTGTTTTTATATCACCTTCATACCTTAGCCTAACATCTTCGGTAAATTCACATTTTTCACCCCACTTATGATAGTTTTGTCCTCATTAATCTAAAATTGTATTACCCATAGGAAGTAATACTTTTGTTTTACTTTGAGTGTAGTTGAGGCTATGAACATGCGTTGCTGAAGAACCTTATACTAGTGAGTGATAGTTATTTAGTGTTCCGTGATCGATAGTTGTTTTCTGACTGATAACTAGTCATGATGAACACTATATTGACTGTGAAATTTCCTGGTTATTAATGAATGCTTTATTCAGTTCAAAAGGGTAGTTTTTGTAAATGGTCCTAATTATTATTTTTCCCATTCATTTTATAGCCTTATGTGAAGGTGTGTCTAATCAATTTAGCCATTTAACTTTCAGACGATGCTTCAGTCTGAATGACAGGGTAATATAATAACTCTTCACTCACAGTGTGCACTTTCTATCCTAGTACATTGAGCTGTACTGGAAAGCTAAGATTTATTATTCAGCAATATTTAAATAATTAAATTGCATCAAGACAAACAATACATAATTTAATGCATTATCAAACTTACGAAGATGAAAAGTTGATTATTTCTTCCCTAGAAAAATTTAGGAATATTTCGTGTGAATTATAAATGTGAGATTGTTCTTAATAAACTGTCATACACTTGTAGATCTGTGTAACACGAATAGTGCTCATAAGTTAATAACTACAGGATAGAGTTCCCTCAATTTTCCGTAAGAATTCGTTATCAGTGAAGTCTACCAAGGCAGCTGTAAGAATAAATAACGGCCAGTGACATTGACTGACAGTGTCGTATCAATCTCCGAACGGTCGATGAGATTTGTTTCATTAACCTGGAAGTCCTGAGTTCAAGTATTGGTGGAGTTATAGCTGGGCGCCCCTGAAAAGAAGCAAACCGAGGAGAAATAACTGTCCAGTACTTGGTGGTTATCAGTAGTTCTCTCACTGAGGAAAGTTCCTGATCTAAATTAAGATTAATCGGGTCTCCACAAACCAATACTTGAAAATTTGTAAGTATATTTAAATGAACGGTTTAAGTGGTGTGAAATTTAATAACTATTGTTTAGCAATTGATATAAGAATAAAACTTGTGCACTGTGGTAGAGTGTAATTCCATTATGGGTAAATTTTGTTTTGATAAAGTCTCACAGCGTTATACAGTAATGTTTACTGATGACGTTTCGAGCACAATTTATTGCTCATAATCATGTCAAGGTAATCACACGACTTCCTAAATTCATTTATATAGTTCCATTGTTTTTCTCTTGATTTTCACTTGATTTGATTGGTAATAGTATTTTCCATATTTCAGGTATGAGTGACGAGTCATTCCTATTGCATGTGTTTGGTGTAGACTCGATGAACAAGGATATCTGAGACACTACGTAGGATTCTGAATAAAGTAGGAATTTGGGTGGTATTCAAACCCTCCTACAAACTCACTCAGGGACATCTCTGTAGGTTAAAGGACCCAGTTGACCCAATTAGACAAAATAATTTACAAAATACCCTGCAATGACTGTGAGGTCAACTACATAGGTCACACTAGTAGGTCAGGGGTAGTCAGATTGTCGGAACATAAGAATTTAGCTAAGGTAAGAATGGTTGACCCTGAAAAGATAAGTAATTTAGAAAAAAGCTCAGCAATTGCAATGCATGCGCTAACACACAACCACACAATAGGGTGGGAGAGGGTTAAAATTCTAAAAAGTAATCTAGGTAGGTGGAGAGAGAGGTTGATTACTGAATCCTTGTTCTTCGAGTCTACACCAAACACATGCAATAGGAATGACTCGTCACTCATACCTGAAATATGGAAAATACTGCTGCCAATCAAATCAAGTGAAAAATAATGGAACTATATAAATGAAGTTAGGAAGTCGTGTGAGTACCTTGATATGATTATGAGCAATAAATTGTGCTCGAAACGTCATCAGTAAACATTACTGTATAACGCTGTGAGACTTTATCAAAACAAAATTTACCCATATTGTTTAGCAATCTTCAGTCATGCTAACTACTATCTTACATGTTGTTTGGAGTTATAATATGATCAGTTTGTATGTTCAGTGTTAATTGGAGAATGAATTAAGGGTAGTCAAATCACGGCGATGAAAGAGGTAAAGCTTTTTGTGGGTTTTATTGCTTAAGTTCAATTGGCATTCGATTTCAGCGACTATGAACTTTAGGTAACAGGGCCGGAAACTGACTTCAGCGGAACAGATGCTTCCAGTCTTTATTTTGACAAATGTAATGAACATTTAGATTTCTGACATATGTTTGGCTACCGTGTCAATTTGATTTACCTCGTTGATAGTATTTTTATGAGTATTTTGACCACCTCTTTTGCATATATTGCATGTGAAGTGTCGCTCTGGAGTGGCATCCTATGATTTGGGAATTTAGTTTGTCGACCATTACGTCCACTTCTATAGAATTTCTGTTAAACTGCTAGAAAAGCATTGGAATCTCGTACGCACCTTTTTTTAGAAAAAGCTTTCCTAAGTGAAATGCATATTCCCTGAAATAATGGAGGTAAAAGTTGGACAACTGATATAAAATGTAGAAGTTAACCAAAAGGCCTGCAGTTCATGTTCTTGCTTATTACTGACCACTGAAATGTTTCCAGTGAAACTTCGAGGTATTTTATTCTCCCAGCGTGGTTCTGTTTCGTATCGCTTTACTATGCAGTCATTCACATCAGGATTAACCTCATTTATGACTAATTGACATGAACCAATTACTACAGCTATGGAACAGGAACTATTTTCAAATGATTCAATTAGATGTAAGAGTGGTATTAAATAAAAGCAAAATAACTTCTGAAAACTTCACTTTTGTGTTCTTTACTTCAAGTACATGAAAGAAACTTACTCTGCATGCTCTGCATTGGTGCTAAAATATAAAAAACATGAGGCTTCGGAAGTCAAACAAGAATATGTTTGATATATCTAGAATTCTGTACTATATATATGTATGTATTTATATTTTTTCTAATAATATCTGAAATCATGATACCAAAAAACACGCATTACCTCTTGGAACAAATATTTTTCATATGAAGGGATTCAGACTTTAAACTCTTTTAGCTTTATGGTGATAGCTGTCTGCTAGCCAAAATTGTTGACAAAAAATTTTCGTCAATGTTCACGTCCCGAATCGGGGTCACGAGATAAAACAATAACAAAGCCTAACCTTGAGGAACTCAACAATCAATCACAGCAGACTTAGCGTGTGCAAATACGAATCTCAGATATATGGCCTGACCTTCAAAGAGACGGACACAAAGAGATGACAGGATTAATTTTGGTGAGAAAACCACCAATCAGAAGACGTTGCTTCTCTGCTGATAATAAAGAATAATGATATACATAAAAATCTATAATTTCCTTTGATTTCCTCAATAAACGATCTGTCGCCTGACCCTTGTCTTCTGTCGTTGCAGACACACTTAATGCGTATTCATGGGTGTTACCAATAATTTTGCGAGTGTGATTCTGATGGTTTTTAAACTAATCTCTTTAAATCAAATGAAAATTTGAGGCAACAGATAATAGGAAATATAGTAGAGTTTCAGAGGTTTCAAAAGACTTCTAAAGAGGGTAATTATATATAAGATACAATCTGGTTAATGGTTATTTAGTTATTACTGGTACATAATCAATGTATGGAATCCCGAAAGCTTCTTATATACATGTAAATGTATCAATAAGAGATTGAAACACAGATGTTTCAAAGCTAAAGCATATACTGCAAGAAGGCAATACTATAATAATTAAACAAGAATTTGCTATACATTCATTGCAAAGAAGAAATATCAAAAATAACCACAATTAAGGTCAAAGTATGGTTAACTGAATTCGATCATTGGCAATGAAATTTGTAGGCTTATAACCGTCCCTGTTTTAATGCATAAGTCGAGTCCCATCCACCTTCTAAGAATTTAGGCAAATGGTAGTTTTCTTGTTTGTGCATCAATCTGAAATGAAATCAGGCGGTATCTGTGTTGTGTTCAACATCTTTTCTGCAATCGACAACAGAACTACCAAAGCTGTTCATTTTCTGTAATTAGTAATATATCTGGAAAAAATTCACAAAATGAAATCTTGTTCAACTGCTCTGCTTTTTTAAGCCTACATATTTTGGCGAACAGATTATATCATGTTATTTGTCAGGTATCCGTGGATTTTCCTTCTGTGGCGAGAGCTGGCTTTTAGTCAAAATTGGTGGACATTAATTTACGTCAATGTTCATGTCCCCAATATTGGTCGTGAGAAAAATGAGAACAAAGGCTTTGCGTAGGCGGATACAGTTAACATATAGATGATCTGACATTCAAGAAACAGCCACTATGAGATGCAAGGTTAACTTTCTGTGAGAAACAACTCGTAAAAACATAACTAACCCTTACAAAACCAAATTATAGAAACAACCAATTAGAAGACTGTATTTTTCTGCTAACAATAATCTATAATATGTACATGAAAATCTATAAATATGTGTTGATTCCCTTAATAAACGACCTGTTGCCTGTCCCTTGTCTTCTATTGTTACACTTCTATTACAGTCAATAATTTATTGGTAAAAAGAAGACTATTTTGACCAATATGAATAAGAATTAAAACTCAAAATTAATCCCTTTTCATCATTATTCATCAGTTCATCGGTCTGATTTCTGCTGTCTCATTCTAGTTTTCTGTTTGAAATGTCTTTCGAAGTTATTTCATCTATGATAAATAATTCTTCCTCAATGGACCAAGCAGTGAGAATAAATCAAACCAATAAAGTAGTCAAAGAGGCAAATAACGGTGTTATAAAATTCATTCACACTGAAAACAGTAAGTAACAGGTGAATGAGATGTTACAGACATAAAGACAATGTTTCATAATAGGAAATTGTCTTACCTTGTCACATCTAAGTCCATTTAAAAACGTTGATAAATTTGAAAGCATGATTTCTCTCACAAGAAAAATTAAAAGTCTGAAAACCCTAAGAAATAAACATCACTTAGGTTGAGTAAAACTCCTCATTTATTTATTGAATGTAATCGATTTTATATAAAACAATACCACGCTAACGTAATGCATGCAGAGAAGTAATAACACTAGGAGAACAAAGTTTAAGCAGACCAAATGAGGAAGTGGTGATAGACATTGGAATGGATCGTATAATTAATGTTGAAAATTGAAAAGATGAGAAGTAAATTATCTCTTGTCATTTGAAATAGTATTCATTGACTAAGAAGTGGAATGAATGCAAAAGATATTATGAAAACAAATTAATCTGTTCACTGCACACCGTAAGTACTACCGTAGATACCATCTCTTTCCGACAGTATGCCTGATTTTGGAGTTCGAATCACACAGAATTCAGCACTAGAAGCTAATCTACGTTTTTCTCAAGGTCAAGAAAGATTTTCGTCAACCTGCATCAGCTAGAGAACTATTGAAAACCAATCACCACTGCATCATAGGTGTAACGTATCAGTTTAGAACTAGGATTGAAGATAAGTTCGTCCCAGGATTTTACTTTACGAAATCACGACATTATCATTTATCCAGTCAATAGAAATACATTGGACTTCTATCAGTTTATGATATCCTACCGCAGTCTCAAACAAAGTCATCGATCACTAGATATCTCAACTGTGAACTTTAGAAATAAATGAATATAAGTGAACTCTTAGTAATTCCTACTGACTATTATCTAACACCAAACACTACCCTATCGTAACGCTAATCATAATGACCACACTAAACACCTGATCGATAAGTTCCCAACAAGAATTAATACGAAATATCAAGCGACAACAAATTCGCATATTATCAAATATACCAAACTACACTTGAAATATTACATAGCATATTACATAGCAGGGAATAAGGAGGTGATGCATATTACACACGTGTAGAGAAAATTTGGGACAGCTCGTTTCAGCATACATTCAGTTGTTCAGTAACTAATACATGTTTTTAAAAAAGATAACTTACCATTAACAGCTGCTAAAAGAACCAAGGATGCAGTAAGCACATTGCGAAAAGTCATTTTCATTTTACAATTGTTCAAAATGTCTTAAATTCACATGCTATTTATATATGCAATATATTAAAGACACGTGATGCAATGACATTCTCAGTACGAAATGAGTTATACAATAGATAGAAGTCTAATTGAAGAAGGGATGACTTCTCTGGACAGATCTTTTCAACCTCGATTTTGTATTGTTCAAGTGTAACAATATTATTTATTGTTTGTTGATAAAGATGAAATAGTAAGCTGCATACTCAGATAGTGTGCTATCTGCTGTGTAGAAATACCTTCACTTCATCTGCATAAAAAGAAAGAGACCCTACACCGCGTTGACTCACTACCTTTCATGTTTTTGTGTTGTTGTTTTTGTTATTGTTGTTTTGTTGTTGTTGTATATAATGTGTGTAACGAAGATAGACATGAGAATGATGATGTGAAGTGAATTTTCAGTCGTCTTAAATGACGAACATTTTTAACAGGTTTCACTCATTATTTGATTCATTTCTATTCACAACTCTGATGTGCCGACTATCAAAGCAAAGTTCTAAAATCATAATCATAATAATAATAACATTACTAAAAGAGTCGGTGTCAGTGATCATTATGACCATACCATTGTAGTCCATTGAATACACTGAGGGAAAAGGCTTCTAATAATATTTCAGTCAACTCATTGGAATGCATACCCGTGTTAATTACAATTCGGTGACACAATTGTGTGCATAATGCACTAATTAACATAAACTGGGTTAACTGAGTCATAATGAAAATGTTGCAGGGGAATTTGAATTACGAGGAGTGGAGTGAGTCTCCTAAACTGTAAAACACACCAGGTTAGGATGAATACTAACTGGTTCCCATGTGATGGCAGGAAACGACAGTATTTGACAGTAGATTGTTTATTTGGCACAATCATCAAGTTATATCACTAAACAAGCCCTCGAGTGGAACCCGAAAGGGAAGCGGCGAGTTGGTCATCCAAAGGTGACTTGGAGGAGGTCATGTGGGGAGGAGATGAAAGCATGTGCGCAGACCTGAAGCGGAGTGAATAAGTTTGCAGCAAACAGAAGGCAATGGAGACGCGCAGCTGAAGCCCTATGTTCCTATAGGAATTAAAGGATATAATAATAATAATAATAATAATAATAATAATAATAATAATGTAAAAATATGCCAAAATGCATAGACTTTACACAAAAATCTCCATCTGCACATATTTTTCTTTTCGCGCTTCTGTTATCACACTTTCATGCTTCCTACACTGCTTAACAGGGATCTTTGATATCTCCTCCTTGCAACTCATTTCGTCGCTCCGCGGTTCAATATTCCAATAGTAGAAGTCACACAATGTATTAATTACATACTCTTGTCAGTAGCAAATACCACAGCATATGTTGAAAGGGAATGAATAAGTCCCATCTGCTGTTCCCCTGCTCATAACTTGGTCCAAAATACAAACAAAATCATTTTAGACTACACAACTGAATTATTTTTCCAAAAAATAGTTATCGAACTGGCAACATGGTTCTATGCGATCATCTAAGAACTAAATATCAGCAAAAAGTAGCAAAGATTATTGACACTTTCAACATCAAAAAACGCAAAAATATAATAATAATAATAATAATAATAGATGACATAAATAATACAAACATACAAAACATCACTAAAAACGAATAACACAGCAGTAACTAAAAATAAACCAAATTGAAATAACTAATCGGAAATAAATAAGTAACTATCACAAGCCCGAATGAATATATATATATATATATATATATATATATATATATATATATATATATATATATATATATATATATATATATATATAGGAGCCACAGAGATAACACCATTAATAACTACGTTATCAGGAGAAAAACACATATACAGCAACACACAAATGTCGTCATGATTTCACACAGATATTGCGTGACCCGTGAGGTGAGCAAGTGGCGTGATAATGCGGAGAGATTTCTCCTCTCAGATGAGCTTGTGTGAAGTGATATTCGCAAAAGCCGTTAGCAGAGCGTGGTTTCGATCCACGGACCTCTGGGTTATGGGCCCAGCACGCTTCCACTGCGCCACTCTGCTCGGCCGAGATCGCCGTCCATTTGACAACTTCTACTCCCACACGCTGCAACACTCAAACACTAACCCCACCCCAAATCCCATCCCACAAACACACACACACACACACTCATTCACTCAAACTAAATAACCAGCAACACAATCATCACACAATGCACAACAACACAAAACCGCTAATCAAAAATAACTCATTCACACAAAACACCAACTCAAATTCCCATTCCCTCTGTCGACTTCCTCATTCTTCATTCTCGTCCTCATCCTCTTCATCATTCAATCCCACATACAACCACTGGTCTCACGCTCACCAACACTCTTCTAGAAGACAGTCGAGTGGAAATCTCGTGGTCATCACACTCCGACGACATGCTTGCCTCCTCGCCTATCCAATGCATGCTCACAACAATTTCCACCAATCGAATTCAACACACACTCGCCATGACAACTGTCACCAATCGGAAGAAACCTCCACTGATATCTAACTGCGATTACTCAACAGGCTGACAGTCAATCACGCGCCACATCAACCGTGTGTCACGAACAGGCCAGTATAGACACGCACAACATCTGTGCAGTACACCTTGTCTCAACTCCCAAGCACTCACTCCGCCAGTCGGAGAATTGTTGCGTGAACATGTGAAAAGTGGGACGAAATGTGGGATGCATTCGGTTCACAAAGCAGGATAAATGGAGAAAGTGGGGTATAATTCTGCATGTTGAGTACGTAACAATGTGATTGTACACTTTTTGGTTACTTGTATAAATTCGAGATATTGTACATAATTTTTGTTTAAAACGCTTCTTGTTGAAATATACATAACTTCCGTGTACAATTGAAAAATACACTCTGCTGTTGGAGACTTCGTCTTCTCCCTGGTCACTTCTGCTTACTTGCTCCACTCACACCGTGTTGTATACTTCGGATTTATTGTAGGAGCCTACTACTCTCAACCGAAGACATTTCTACAACCGGAACACAGCAGCTACAGCAGACGCAGTCCAAACAATTAACGTGCCCGTGGATTATATAATTAATTTGTAGCCGAGGACTTAAACTTTATTTCCAAGTAATCCTTTTTGTTGCTATAACTCGTCACTGTATTTTTGGTAATATATTGTGATTTAACACTCCACTGACTTGGATTATTACTTTTATATTTGGAATGTTAGTGAACTCTAATATTAGTCCCCTACAAATTAATTGGTGAGCCCGATAAGAACACGGATTATTTTGGCATATTCATATTCTTATTTTTGCTATTTTGTATATTCATTGTGATTTTGTGTGTGGTTTATATTTGTATCCTAATTTGCACCAATAACCTCATATTTATAATGTCATCACCTCAGTCCGGTACATCAAACGAGCAGACAACTAATAGCGAGACAAATGCCACAATAAATGCCATCACTGATTTTCGTTTACCCCAATACGGTTTCGCAGAACCAAGGATTTGGTTTGCGGTAATTGAACCGTTGCTAGAAGCACGGGGCATTAAGTCCCAAATAGCCAAATATGGTATGGTGCTGGCAGAACTCCCTCCGTCAGTATTGACAGAAATCAGCGATTTCATCGAAGATCCTCCGACGGAACATCAATTTGATAAACTTAAAGCCCTCCTCATACAACGTACCAGTTTGTCGGATGAGAAAAGAATCCAACAATTGCTCACAGGCTGTGAACTAGGCCCACGTAAACCATCCCAGCTGCTCAGGCACATGCGCCAGTTAATCGGACATCATAAAGTAGACGAGGTAGTGCTGAAACAGATGTGGTTGCAACGTTTACCTAGAAATGTCCAGCAAATTTTAATCATCTCAGGAAAGTCGTATGACTTAGACCAACTAAGTGACATGGCAGATAGTATTATGGATGTTTTATCCGATAACACCATAAGTCACGTAGCATCTGATAGTGCCACACCGTGTCATTCCACACCCACGGCAGACACACCGATACTCGCCGCCATTGCAGACTTAGCGGCAAGGATTGACAAGTTGGAAACTAATAGGTCTGATCGACAAGTCCGGAGGCGGAGTTCACAAAGAAGGTCACCATCACGACGACGATCCTTCTCACGACAGCGTTCTTACACGTCTTCTCGGGATAGCAATATATGCTGGTATCACTGGAAGTTTGGACGTCATGCCCTGAAATGTGTAAAACCGTGCAGCTTTAGCGAAGCCAACCAGGCTCAGGGAAACGCCTCAGCCAGACAGTGATGGCGACAGCTGTTACTGGCAAGCAAACAAGTCGCCTCTTCTATGTGAAGGATAAAACTTCAGACACTTTATTCCTGGTAGACACGGGAGCAGAAGTTAGCGTAATCCCTCCTTCACTATCCAGGCGATCTACACGGACACCCGGAAAACTGTCTCTCCGGGCAGCTAACCACACAAGCATACAGACGTATGGAGAGCAATCCCTCATACTGGATCTAGGTTTACGTCGGCGTTTCACATGGATTTTCATAGTAGCCGACGTCAGTCACGCCATCCTCGGAGCAGATTTCTTGAGTAATTTCAACCTGTTAGTTGACGTCAACAATAAAAAACTGATTGATAACAACACCCATCTAAAGATCCATGGAATTATCTCCAGCTATTCTGTCTATAATATCAGTATTGAAAGACCAGCAGATTGCCCTTTTTCCTCCCTACTTCACCGTTTCCCTAAAATTCTTAAGCCGTCGTACAACATCGAGGACGTCCCTCACACAGTTACTCACAAGATAGTTACTACGGGTCAACCAGTTCGTGCTCGTCCCGTAGATTACCCCCGGACAAATTGGCAGCAGCCAAGGCAGAATTTGAACACATGATGCAGCTCGGCATCATCAGACCCTCCAATAGTCCTTGGTCTTCGCCCTTACACATGGTGCCTAAAGCTGATCATGATTGGAGGCCATGTGGGGATTACCGACATTTAAACAATGCCACAGTTCCCGACCGTTATCCTATTCCTCATCTTCATGATTTCTCCCTGACATTACACGGAAAAACCATTTTTTCTAAAGTAGACTTGGTCAGGGCCTATCACCAAATACCAGTTGCCCAAGAGGATATCGAAAAA